TGATCAGGTCCAATTTGCGTGAGATGATGTGGGATAGTAATCATCACAACACGGAGAGGAGAGTCCACGACCGGTCAGATATAAGAAAAACAGGGGCGAGCACGACATCAGCGGCAATCGGAACCTGATCTTGCTGGTGAATCCCTCATACATGCCGATCGATTCTGCCGTACTCGATCACGACATTGGCTGTGACCGCCTGCGATTTCGGGGGAGCATGATGAAAAATTCAATTCCCTCATGCCCTGGGGAAATCACGCAATACTTGCGTTTTGGGTCTCTGTGGGTCCCCGGAATGCTTTGGTCTCAGTGCAAGACAGCGCAAGGCTGCTGATAAATCCCTTGATCCTGTTCTCTGGAACACGGTCGAATGTCCTGAGAAGAAAACATTCATCCGGGGTAGGACACTTTAATGTGGTAGTCTGTGGAACCTCTCTGCATCTATCGTTCCTGTAGTACGCAGGGTCCTCTCCTTGTTGAAGAATATGACTGGCCTGGTAGTTATTAGCATTAGAAAGAGAATGAAGGGATTAGAGCCATGTTAGTTTGTCTCACCTATCATTATTAAGCTACTCTGGAATACAGTGCGGTGAAAGTATCCTGTACCCCACTCACTCCATTTTCATGGTGTTGCACCGTGAACCCGTCCATGTGTTGCCACTCAATTGCTGATACTGAAGTGCCGTCAATTCTGCCTGGGCGGTGAGAGCTCTCTATCCCATATCAATCATGTGACCATCATGCGGACTTGGGTTAAGACACCCCGCCACGTGCCGCGGATCGGCCTGCAGCAACCGGATCGATTTTACAATTCCACGGCGACGTCTTCTTTGACAGCTTCTCCTTCAAGCGTACGGTCGAGCTTCCATTGATCATCCTTGCAAGGTGTTTGCAATAGCATTCCCATCCTTCTTTGGTTTTGCTTCACTCCAACGTCCTCAAGTCAATCCTGCGAAGAAATGGCAGCGAACAACCCCACCGCACGTCCACAACGGCCGATACTGCAGGAATCGCTCAGGAGCAATTCCTTCCTTCATGACCATCAACAATACAAACCCTCAGTCCCTATTAGCAGCATTAGCAATGTCCTTGAGAGCGCCCTCGAATCGGAAGTAGGGTCCTTGTCCCTCAACCCGATAAGCCCAGATCCCGAAAAAGTGACCGACAGCGGCATCACTCACAGCTTGTTCAACCACCAAGTGAACCCTCTTCCCACCGGTACCCCGCAAATTGTCGCAACCATCTACTACAAATCGTCGGATCCAATTCATCCCCATCTCCATCCTGATTCGTCGCCAAATGCTGGGGCTGGCGTTAAACTTCCGTCCCCCACGGTTCCTGTGGGTTCGGCTCCGACAATTGATATTGAGAAGATTCCCCGGGAGCCTCCTGCGCCAGAACCTGAACCATTAGACCACCTTTATGGTCCATTTGTGTCGCAACTTTGCTTGACGAACTTCCTTCAAATCCTCGAATCCCTTCCGACCCCTTACCAGCGCATGAACACCTCCCACCGCTGCCTCGACCAGAATGAACACCCGCGCGTAGTAGAAGTCACTTTCTCCCCACCCCCCAACCCGGAATACCTCACATTCGCAGACCTGCGCAAACATGAGAGCATATGGCGATTCGAGCGCGAGTGGAATGTAGAGGTTGTGCTTCAGAAGGAGAGCGTCTTCCGCCGTCACAAACGGCTCGTAGTTTTTGACATGGATAGTACTTTGATCCAGAATGAAGTAATTGACGAGATTGCCAAGTTCATTGGCGTAGAGAAGGAGGTTTCGGTCAGTCTCACTGCGGATGCTTTCTTAACACTTTTGTTATTACATTCAAGTGCGCTCGTGAGTGCTAACCTTTGCCATAGGAGATCACGGAACGCGCTATGAACGGCGAGCTGGACTTCTCTGCATCGCTCAGGGAGCGTGTCGGTCTTCTCAAGGGAGTGCCAGCGGATGTTTTCGAGAAGCTGAAGTCCGTCATTACTATCTCGCCTGGTGCGCGTGAATTGTGCAAGGCTTTGAAGGCTCTCGGATGTAAACTGGCAGTTTTGAGCGGTGGTTTCCAGCCTCTTGCTGAGTGGTTGGCCGGCGAGCTTGGCCTCGATTACGCATTCGCTAATCACGTAAGTCCACTCTATCCTTTCGGGCCTTTACCTCTTTAGGGCTCTCTTGGACTATTCGATGGTCCGGTATACTGATAACGATGTGTAGCTCGAGGTAGACCCAGCATCTCAAACTCTGACGGGAAAACTCGTTCCCACCTACCCTATTATCGATGCCAGCCAAAAGCGTACGCTCCTGCAGTCCATTGCGGCCGAGAACAACATCCCTATCGCCCAGACCGCTGCTGTCGGTGATGGCGCCAATGATCTTCTCATGCTCCATACTGCGGGACTCGGAGTTGCCTGGCGCGCCAAGAGCAAGGTTCAGCTCGAAGCCCCCACTCGTCTGAACGGGGAGACTATGGTGGACATTCTTCACCTTCTTGGTCTCAGCAAGGAAGATGTTAAGGAACTGATTGCCGAAGTAGCATGAGCGTCACAGAAGCCGTAGGTGTGTTGCGAACACGACAAAAGACACGTCCTATCTCAAATAATATCTGGCCAAGAAAAGCTTACGTGGAGACTTCTCCAGGTGCAGACTTCTACTTGGATCATCAGCAGGGACTTACAGGAGCACCGGTTGATCGGCGCGCTTTCCTTGATTTCTTTCTTTCCTAAGCCGATGGACTCAGCTTTGGTACACACGTATGGGCTGCCTGCGTTTTCACTTTCTGACGGGAGTAGTCGAGAGGACGGTTGACCCTAGAGGGAATCATTTAAACGTAGGCGTAGTGGTGTGAAGGATTCGGGTACATATAAGGAAGGCCACGGACATTACTCAATGAATATGCCGATTATATTGTTGATTCCATCTGAATATAAGTGTTGAACTCAATGAACTCTCAGGACATGCCCGGAGGACGCTTTCTATTTTACCTCCCAAACCCCAAGTAACGAATATATGCGAACAACGGCCCATGCCCGTCATTATCAATACATTTCATAAAATTGATAAAAAGCCAACCTGAACCTGCGCCGAGAGAAAGTGAACAATAAGGAAAGAAATTTATGAGTAGGTATCTTCACCGAGTAGCCTCATCGACAGCAACCTTGCTATCCGTAACGGACTCGCCCGCAGTACCAGCAGCGCGTCTCTTCTTCAAGACATTCTCGATAAACGCCTCACCAGCCTTGTAACTACTGCGAACCAAAGGCCCAGAAGCACAGTAGAGGAAGCCCATATCCAAGGCGCGCTGGCGCCAGAGTTCAAACTGGTCAGGAGTGACATACTCATGCACAGCCATATGACGCTTCGTAGGGCGCATATACTGACCGAACGTAACGACATCAACACCAACAGACCGCAATTGACGGAGAGCATCCCAGAGCTGCTCCTCCGTCTCACCAAAACCGAGCATGAGGGAAGTCTTAGTGATCAGATCAGACCTGGCCTGTTTCGCAGCCTTCAAGACGCTGAGCGACTGTTGGAACGTTGCGCGACGGTCACGGACAAATGGCGTCAGAGCCTCGACCGTCTCGACGTTGTGCGCATAGACGTCCAGCCCGGACCGAGCCACCAGCTTCACCATATCCAGATCTCCGCGATAGTCACCGGTCAAGCACTCAACCAGCATGCTGGGCTTCTTCTGCTTAATCTTGATAACAGTCTCGGCGAAGTGGCGAGCACCACCATCCGCCAGATCGTCCCGATCCACACTTGTCAGCACCACGTATCCCAGACTCCACCTCGAGATCGCTTCGGCGGTATTCTCCGGCTCATGCGGGTCGAGAGGCGGGGGCTTGCGGTTGGTTTTCACACTGCAGAACCGACATCCACGGGTACAGGTGTCACCCATGAGCATGATAGTGGCGGTAGCAGCGGACTTGTCGCTGCCGCCCCAGCAATCGGAGATGTTGGGGCACCGAGCCTCTTCGCAAACAGTGTGCAGATTCAGACCTCGTAGATCTTTCTTTAATCGTTGGTAGTTCTTGGAGTCTGGAATCGGAGTCTTGAGCCACGAAGGCAAACGGGTCATTTCCTTTTTGCGGCCGGCGGGGCCGACCATGGCAGTTTTGAGGGCATATGCCTCAGAAGGTTCGAGCGGAGCGTTGTCTTCGCCTCCGGAGACAAAATCTGCGAAGGAAGGGCCGGCATTCAGCTTATCTGTGAAGTTTGTCCGTCTACGGGGTGCTGCCGGGGCGCCGGTGGCGGACGGCGAAGGTTCTGTTGTGGCATATGTGCGGCGGGAGATCGGGGCAATGGACCCGGTTTGAGGAATGGTCCTCGCAGAGGAATAGAGAAAACGTAACTTGTTCGTCGATGCAGCCATGGTGATGTTATTCAACTTGCAAAGTTGCGAAAGTTGAATTCCGCGGGAAAGATGAGGGAAGCTCCGACATGATAACGAAGTCCGCTGTCCTTACTCAGCAAGTCTTAACCTTATTCGGTTTAGAGCCCCTGGTGCCTAAGGCCCACATATTTGCCCTAACTCATGGCATCAAACTAATATACGAAATACGAGATCTATGATTCGTGGATGAGGTTCTTATGCTGATGCAATGGTATCATTGTTTAATATATAGGCTGAGCAATACTCATTTAGTGATTATAAATTAACCACTGTGACTAGTTAGATAGACAGAGGAAATAAAGGTGATGTGGTCGAAACTTGTTCGCAAGAGACAAAAAGAAATATGTAGTAAAAGGCCAAGATGGTCAATGATACATTAGTAAAGACAAGATTGAACGAATAAGAGGAAGCGACTGAAGTCTATGCAATCTGGTATGCAGGATTAAAACAAAAAGGAAAGAAAGAAAGGGACATGAGCTGAGATGAGAAAATTTAGAGGGGGAATATGTTTGAACCTGGGAATTGCGAGACAGCAAAAGGAAGGCAGTATTGGGGTTCATAAGGTCAATTAATCAAGTGAGCGTACAGATGTTGGAAGGAAATACAGTCTAGGCTTTGGTCTCCAGGACCTGAGCTAAGACGAGCACAGCGGACTTTAACGTTCCGTCGTGCTTGCGACAGATAGCAAAGAGCAGATCGTCAATTATTCGGTCTAAGTTTTTGTTGAGCTCTCCACTCCGCGACCCCAAGACTCGATCTCTAATTTGCGATGGCGATGACGGGGCAAGTGGCGTAGGTAACATCGCGCTCGCTCTCTCGGGGACAGTGTCAAGGCGAGACAGATTGGGGCGATGGCCATGACTTGCGGTCTTTCGTTTAGATGTTGCTAATGAGAGCACGTAGTTCCGCGCTATTAGAGCTGCACAGAGACCATCCAATAAATTATCTGCGGCATCTGGAAAGATTTGGCGAAACCTGCGCAGGATATCCTTTTCGTCGCTATGACGAACGAGTATGATGACCGGGGATGTCAACCTTAGCATGCACCGTGGGAACTCCTTGATCGAATGTTCCAACTGATCCATTGCCCACTCATGATCCCACCACTTCTTCAACTCGCCATTTTCAGCAGTGTTGGATGAGGGCACAGAACGACGAGGTTTCGGTGGCGAGTAAGCTTTGTATATTACATCTGGCCTTGGAGGTGGGTTCGGGGACGCGACACTGCGCATTGGCTTATCGCGGATAGCGGTTTCACTGATGTTCCCTACCGAGCTTACGTGTATGAAGTCATCCTCCTTATCCGGCTTAGGTTTGCTTGGGGAATCGCAAGATGGATCAGTAGTAGCATACCCGCTATCTGACATTTCCAATGGTGTGTCAGGGCTGAATGCAGATATTTCTTGCTGGCCCAGATCTGGTGTTGAAGGCACTGGGGGCTGAGGTGGGGTTGGGATGGAGCAGCTCATGGCGGGAGACGATTGTCGTGATATATCAACGAGCTTTGGCTTGGTTTTGCTAGCCACCGCAAACATCTGGGACAGTGTAAGTAGATATTAGGTCAATAATCTTAGAGAATTCCTACCACTGGTTCGTCCGCAGGAGCCTTCATCTCGCGTTTACGTTCAGGTGGCGGCGGGCTCTGTTGGACTATCTGTATTCTTCTTCTGTTGTTTTCCTTTGATTTTTCTCCCGTAGTCTCTAACTCCAGGGGTGCCCTTTGGAGCCAGTCCTCACAGTATGAAAAGTTACTTGGGACCCAGCTTCCTTCACTCGACACTGTTCCTGACCTGCTCCGCTGTGTTTCTATGGAAGATCCGGATAATGTTCTCTTCTCGAAAGCATCTACATCCGAAGAGAGAGCTGGTGAAGACATGCGTGGAGAATCAGTAGATACCGGAGACCATTTTCCATCGTTGGAGCTATATTGTTTCATCAGATTGGAATGTGCCATGTGCACATTCGTCGTGTCCCCTGCTCTTTTCAGAGTCACCTCGTTTCTGTGGGTGCTATAGACCTCACTCGAGATCGTCGTTGGTGTATAAACGCTACTCTTCGGAGTGCCATGGTCAGTGTCCAGGTCTGAGTCCGGTTTAGGGGAAAAATATGCAGAAGATGGCGACGGTTGGGACTCCCTCGAGTCTGATAGAGGGGGACTTGGAAGGAGTCCAAATGCTGCCATGTTTGTCGTTGTGATGTTCTGATCTGATCGACAAGTCCGCAACGTTTGGTTTCCGGATGGAGTTCGCGATAGCCTGGACTCTCTAGCAGCAGACTGAACGCTCTCCACCGATGGAGATGATGGTAAGCGCAGCTGGAAAGGTTGCTTCATCCTGCGCACGGACCGAAACGGCGAGGCAGGGGTGGCAGATAGGCGCTCTGTTGGTCGTTTGTGTTGCGCCGTGTACTCACTTTGCTCCGGGAGAGGAGACGTCGAAGGGATGAATGAGAGAGAACTGTGCGCTTGTTGCCTCCTCCAGGGCTGAAATGTTGGCGAATAGCGAGGGTAAGCTATATCATTTCCTTGGTCTGTGGGATATTCATCTGTTACGTAGTACGAGGGGGTGTTCCTGTTCGCGTATGTGGGAATGTTATTTGTGGAAACGGCATATTGGTGATGGGGGAATCTTGTGTTGATATCCATATTTGCGAGAGCGCAGTCCATAGTGGACATGCCGGGCGAGGAATGTAAAGTAAATAACACAACAGCGACGAATCTTCAAAAGATAATTTGGATACCCAAAATAGAGCGAAGCAACAGCAGTTTGATCCACAGAGGCGGCCAACAAGACCTTATACTAGCAAGCAAAGCTGCACTCAGTCATCCCTTGGCTACCTGGCGGCGGTCACAGAAGACTAGATGTAGGGCATGCGCCTTTGGCCCCTTCCAGCGGGTCACCAAACACCCTGGAACATGAGTGAACTGTAAAGGGTCGCTACGCCTACCGTCCTTGCATTCCGGAGAGAGGTGAGATCGAACAGCCGCGATGATTATTGGCTCTAAGCCTCGATATGCGCCACCTGCAGGAGCGTCACAACGTGGAGGATCCGCTCTTCAGGGCCATTGCAGTTCGTCATTACGGAAGGAATAAGACAAGCCGCCGCAGGGACACAATGAAAGCCCTTAAAGCGACCCGAAGAGGACGCCACGGACCAATCTTCAGCAGGACTGTTGCGCCGGGCAATCAAAGTCGGAGCCCCTAGAATGACCCCCTTGCGTCAGTTGCTGTGGGCGCGGTGATCTGCTCCATTATTGGAGGTGGTTGCAATAACCAGCATGTGCAAAGCCTCCAATCGTCTGCAGTTGCGGAGATCTGGAGTGTCAATATTAAGATGCCACAAATGCCATCCGGGGGCGCGCGATGCCTTCTTGAAATATGGACTTCTTGCTACGAGTAGCCTCAACTCCCGGTCTGCTACATCTGCTGTGACGAGGGTCATGTTTCAAGTTGGCGCAGGGGTTTGGCTTCTTATACCAGGGATCAAAGGAGGTCTCTTAGAAGGGAGACCAGGGATTGCAAAAGGAACCATGGCTCAACGCGATTTTCTCAACAGTCCATAATAATCGCTGGGAAAAGTACTCCGACAGGAGAGGATAGTAACTCGATAGTTCATCTCCCTTTTGGGGCGATCAATCACCTCCGAGACAAACAGTGCAAACTTCACCTTTATCGCTGCTTTTATCGCCGATCCAAAGAGAGAAAAAAAAAATGTAGAGCGGGAAAAAGAGCAGGAACATTGCCATTTTCTCCACCCCTTTTGACTCGAGTAATTTTTCTTTACCCTTCGACAGCTTTCCTCATGCTATCGGAGTGCTTTATCGCAGCTACCCTGACGTCGGGCAAAGCCCCGGCGTCAGCGAGTCTCCGCGATGTAGGGATCTGCGTTCATGAGTTTCAACCGTCACCTAACCTACGCTCCACCTTCAAGAAGAGCTCGACTCCAGCCAATTGTCTGGCCGTGAGCCCGTCACATGTGTACGCAGCTCAGGCGGAGAAAGCCATTGTCCATGTGTACAGCAGAGAAAAAGGGAATCAAGAGGCGGTTATTCCCTTCCCGGAGCGCATTCGCAGCATTGCGATTGCGGGGGGCAAGAATGGCGACGTCTTGGTCTTGGGTACCGAAGGGGGCCGTCTAATTTTATGGGAAGTGAGTTTAACCTAAATCTCCTGCGTTGCTATGCGGGGAAGAAGCAATTGGTCAAGCAAATCTAACATGAGCTCTATTAATAGACTTGCACTGGACGTCAAGTCGCTACAACAGCATCCCACCTGAGCCCAGTGACCACCCTGGTCGTTGACCCCAGTGACAATTTCATTCTATCCGGCTCCTCCGATGCCAGTATCCATGTCTGGTCTTTAGTCGACATCCTTTCTTTCACAAAGCTCCCATCCGGCCGGGATCGGCAACCACCAAACTCCCCCATCCGTACATTCTCGAACCACCGCGCTGCCATCACGTCACTTGCCGTGGGACACAGCTCCGGTAGATACAACATCGCCGTTTCGACAGCACAGGATAACACAGCCATCGCTTGGGACTATCGCACCGGACGCGTCCTGCGGACGTTCCTCTTACCTTCCAGCGCAGTCTCCCTGGCTCTTGATCCAGTTGACCGCGCATTCTACGTCGGCTATGAAGATGGCAGCATCCAATCAGTGGACTTATACAAGTCTCAATCCTTCCAACATCCTCTCCATGACCCATCACTACAGTCTACCCCAGCCCAGCCCTCCGCAGAAGAGAAATGGTCCCCGCCGTCTGCCGACTGCGGCGCCGCCCAGTCCCTCTCGCTCTCCTACGATGGAATGACCTTGTTATCGGGCCACCAGAACGGAAAAGTACTCTCATGGAATGTCGGCAGAAAGAAATACGCCACAACCGTAGCAGACTACACACATCCCGTGACGAACCTTCATATGCTCCCATTGGCTGGCCTCCCCAACCCCGGCCAGGATCTAAAAAGGGTAGTACACACAGTCGTCAAACCCCGATACGACAGTAGCCTGTCGGAATCATCTCAAGCTGCAGGCGCCGTACCTGCCAACTACACCTTCAACACCCACCTCCTCGACTCAACATCATCCAAGCCTGCCACAGCAAGGAACCTCGATGGCTCCGAGCGAACAAACCAGTTTGCAGAAGCTTTCACTCAAGCCGTCTTCCCCAACTCAATGATCGAAGAAGGTCTTGCTGAGCTAGCTGCCTTTAACCAGCCGGAAGGCAGCACCGCCCAAGGCTCGCCCATGATGACACAAGCCACAAATTATGAGGACCTCGCAGCAAAGGACTCACAGATAGCAAACCTAGAAAGCGAGCTTACAGCCCTCAAAAAGAAAACAACAGCCAACGACGCCGCCCGTCAACTCACCACAGACGAGGTAACAAAGCTTCGTTCCGACCTAGCCAATTTAAATGATTACATCAACGAACTCCACCAGAAACAAGACCAAGCACAGAGAGAAAAGGTCATCCGGCAAGCCCGGAAAGAAGAACGCGAGACCCGTAAACGGGAAGCTTGGTTTGCGGCTGAGAAGAAGGGAAAGAAAGGCGACGCCATCGTCCGAAGGATGGAAGCCGAGGAAGCTATGCAGACCAGTGACTCGGACGATCAGAGCAGCGATGAGTGATTATTTCTACTATTTACTGTAATCTGACGTTTTACATTCTTCTTCCTGTCATAATTCTTTTCCATAAACTGTGCACGGCCCTGTCATGTTTAATTTATCTTGATTTACGAAGGCGCTTGGTTCAAAATTTCAGGTTCAACTTCATAGATGGTGAGAGGCTGATTAAGTTATACTTTGTATGTACGCATTGTATATAGGAATGACTGACGCCACAATTGCTATACCGTGGCACTTATCCTACCTTCTATTGTTTCTTCGAAAAGAGGTAGCTAATAAATGGACAACCCAACAACGGAATGCCATTAAGTGGAATGCGGTGTCTTTAATTTCCACCATACGCTACACTAAATCAACCAATTTCCTAGATGCCCATTCCAGATACATCGCCAAAGATAAAGATTAACCTGTGACGCGACAGAATTCCAGATAATGCCGGGTCATCATTCCACCAATGGAGTAGAAGGATAAAATACCAATACGTACTAGGCAAGTCAATTGATATGCTGGAACAGTGCGAATTCTTTGCGTGACAGGAGTGACAAGTCGCATTCTTCAGCGTTTGATCGTCGGTCAATGGCATGATGGCATATGTGGTGGCGGCAAGTAACAGAAAGATAATGATTCCCACTGCTGGCCAAGACAGTCTTGCACATCCGTTCCGGACGGTGTCATAGCAGAGCAAACAAACATATTAAGGAAGAGAGGGTGCAGCATAAACCTCACCTGGAATGTGCCAATACAACTCTACTTGTGGTTCGTCGAAAATTAAAAGCTGCTCGATTTATACGATGGTCTCGGCCGGTGAGTACCTTCCACTAAGCCCCGGAAACTTGTCAGGCCCAGCCAAACGGCCTCTTCGGTGCGGATGGTTCTGCTCCCTTGGCCAGGAAGAAGGTTGACCCAGTAATCGAAAAGCTTCCCAGCTTCAGTCGGGCTAATGTCCATGTCGCATAGTTGAGGGTCATTGTGAATTGCCGCTTCGATCCCTGCTATACCACCGAACACAACAAGGAGGTGCTTGTAGTCCGGGGGAATTTTCCGCCGGTCATAATTGTCATGCTCTTGTCGCTCTTCCTCTAGAACCGAATAGACGGGGGCGCCTCGCTCGGACGTTCCAAAGGAGAGGTCGTAGCCACCGTCAAATGGGCATTCAGTGAACACAGACGACAAGGATCGGCAGCGACGCACATAGTAGCCCCAATAGTACCCAGCTTCAGAACGAGGAGTAGAAGGATGTACGGGCTGCGCATAATGCTCGGGACCACGCTCGGAGAACCGGACGGTTACACGGGCATATTCGGGCAGCTGGATGTCCGGGAGGACGACCTTCTTAGGAAGACCGGTATCGACCACGGTAGCATTAAAACTAGTAGAGCTACTGGATGAATGACGACGGTTATGATGATAGCTGCTCATCTGTGTACTAAGCCTCCTCTGCCCCCCACCATCGGAACTCGATATCACAATTCCTTCACGGTAGTCACACCATTCGTTGGCGCGAAGATGGTGCGGCATATCGAGGCTGGGAAGTAATCCAGCTCCACGAAGATTGGGGTGCATCGGAAAGAGGTGTTTACGAAGATATGGTGGGGTCTCGAGGTATGAAAGTATATGCGCTAGGAAATGCGATGGGTCCGAGTATGCGGTATACCGTTTGGCGGAGTGGTCGTTGCCATTGAGCTCGTCACTCGTTTTGTCTATAGGGGACTCGTAATAATCTCCCTGGCCGTAGTACTCATCGTGCGGGCTATTCTCATCGTCATCAAACACCACTACCTCATCAACACAAAAGACGGCGAGAGCACGTGCGATGATACCGGCCAAGAGAGTCTTCTGCTCCACAGAATGAGCACTTTTAGGGGCCTCGTTAGTATTGCTTTTCTACTGTTAAGTCGTCCCAGTAAAACAGAAACGAAACTAGTCACGAGACACGGTCTATACATACTTGGCCACAATGCTGCCTGGGATAGCGACAGTCAATGTATGCGATCGGCCACCAGATGGGGTAAAAACGGCGGTAGGCTTCGAGGTAAAAACATTACTCGAACGGCCATTATAATCGGGTTGACAGTGATCATGAGAGGTCTTGCGTTTCTATCAAGGCCAATTGGGTCAGTAACTAGCGGTAAGGGATATGGAGAAGTCAGAAGTATATATACCTTGGGAACATTGGGACGTCGCATCGTGGGCCGCGGGCGAGAGGACGAAGGTCTTGGAGCAGAGAACGAGGGGAGTATGGGATAGAAATTGGTGTTTTGTATTGGATCGCAAAATATTTCGCACAAAATCCCTTTGACTAATCGACAGGTTTGTTATTATGGACACCGAGATGGCTTGACCGATGAGGATGGTTGCTGATGACGTCGGTCTCCACCGCCTTATGGAACCTTTAGCGCCTACCGCACTTTAATTTGTCTACCCTTTCATCATCCAGAAAGGGAGGCCTACAGGTTCAGGTACCGCTACCAATCAGTTTCCGATTCACTTTGGATCATCAGGAACATGCCAGATTTGGTGACAGGCCACTATCATAATGCCTGCGCACCACCCTAATATACACCCTGCTGCGCTCCTTGCTCACCAACTGCCTCTCCTTTCAATTCCTGCATGATCTTCACCCCGGAACTAGTGCCAATCCGCTCAGCTCCTGTTTTCAGCATGCGAATACAATCCTGCGCGGAGCGCACTCCTCCGCTAGCCTTAACCTTGCACCCATTGCCTACCGAACCCGCAGTGGCTCGCATGAGGGCCACGTTGTCAATATTGGCACCAGGTCCATTGAATCCCGTGCTCGTCTTAATAAAATCAGCACCAGCCACATCCGCAATGACCGACCCCGCAATAACCTCCTCGCGTGTGAGCTGCGAAGTCTCCAGGATGACCTTCAGTTTAATCGGCGACGGGGCTGCCTTCCGCACACCCAGTATATCTGTGTAGACATCCGTATACTTTCCTTCCTTCAACAGAGGATACTTGAGAACCATATCCAGCTCGGCGGCTCCCTGCTCAACTGCATCCCGGGCTTCCTGCTCTTTCTCTGAGGTCTCATACATGCCCTCATGGAATCCCACAACGCAAGCTACCTTCACATCGGAACTTCCCTTGAGTTCCTGTACCGCGCGACGGACATGGTTCAGGCGGACGCAGACGGTCGCAAACTGGTACTGAAGGGCTTCGGCGCACAGCTGGTCGATCTGCTGTTCTGTTGCAGTCAACGCCAGCTGGGTGTGATCGATCGTACGATTAACCTCAGATGGTAATGGTGTCTGGTACTCCGGGAAAGTCTCCGGAAGTGAGACTTTAATAGTAGAAATCAGAGCAGCCCACGCTGCGTCGTCTTTCGGGATAGACATTTTGCTGTAAAGGGAACTGTCACAGGTTAGGTAGATGTGCGCTGTCAATATTATCGCAAACTCAACTCTAAGGCTTAGGCTCTATTTCAGACGTTTAAGTAGTTTAATGGTACGTTTGAATTTGTCGTGTATTCTGGGGATAGCGAATTTCTCTCTCGTAAATGCGGAGAAATGTCGTCACGTGATGATATCTCAATGAACATCACAGAGAACAGTTACCAGCATCGTATGTCCATGAAGGCTGTTAGAAATTGGTTGTTTCGGGATTTTGATCAGGAAGACTACCAACAGAAGGTGCTCTTCCTATTGATGATAAAGTAAAAGATATAGTAACCGGTATCATGATAATCCAACCCAACACCACGACTCATCCCACCAATGCGCAACGCTCTTTAACCTCCAAGAATACAAGAATCCCTCTGATTGAACTCAGCGGCAACTCTTGCATTCTGGCCCTCGAATATCGTCCACGCGCCCAATCTTCCTAGGTCCAAATCCACCGGGTCCGCCACCACCGCCGCCTCCGGAGCCGGATCCACCACTGCCCCCCCAGCGAGCTCTAGTATTCGGGTGATTTTGGGAACGGTTAACATTGAATCGCGAGTTCTGCGCAGCTGTGTACGGGTTGAGCTGTGGTTCATGTCAGTATGATATCGACAAGTACGATGGTGATAAAACACGACAAGATCGCTGGACAGCGCGGAATAGTACGGAATATTTTGGTGACAGAAGGTTACAATCCATGACGTACCGAGAAAAGGCTCACGAAATAGAGGCCCAGAAAGAGATAAATGTTTTCGATAAGGCGGTTGATGCGAACCCACAGGGGCGGGCTGAGATAAGGCAGTCAGTGAGTTGTCATCTAGAGCGTTAGGTGGCTCTTTCTTTACCTTCCAAGAACCTGTCCATTGGACAGATATGTTTGGGGTTTTGACGACATGATGCAGTAGTGACCAAAAGGTGTTGGTTCTGTTAATGACGGTGAAAGCGCGGTGGTAAGTGGCATTCATGAGATGGGGATTGGCGTGCTTTATCTTAGCGCCGGAACTCGTGATTCAGGTTCCACTTTAATGGAACGGTTTCCATATTGGGTAACTTGGCTAGTGAGGTCCCGTCAAAACTGGGAAGAGATAGCAGTCCTACCTAGACATATTAAACTCAGCATGGCATTTATGCATCCTGCGAATATACGGGGTATTACTACGTAGGCTGAGAAGTTATCTGGGTGCTTGGTGATATTTTACCACCAGTTATTCTTTGATCTATACAAGGAGAAATGGAATATATACACAGGGAATGATCGACAATAACCAGCAATATTCCTCTTGAAATCTAGTACGTATGGGTATCTATATATACAACTCCAGAGCTCCAGTGCCTCTGCAACATCGTCAGCCATAAAACGTCATTAGAAACGTAGCCTTGTTCAATCATGTTTCTGGCCGTTCTCCGGAACTATTTCATTCCGTAGGTCGTCCAAACCACGGAAACCTTCTTCGACAGTCCACTTCTCGTCCTTGCGAGGATGTAAAATGTGGCAGCTAGCCCCAACAACTAACAATCCAGGTGGCCGCGAGCCCTCAGCTTCAAATGCAAGGCACACATTTTCTAGAGTAGAACGGATCACTCGCTGATCAGTGCAGGAAGCCCGCTCGATAATCGCGCACGGAGTATCCTTGGGCCAAGGAATTCGTGGGCGTGAACCTTCCTGAGGTGGCGTAGTCAGCAACTCCACTAGCGCCGATAGTCGGTGTAATGCCATCAAGAAGACGACTGTTTGAGTGGGAACGTAGGTAGGAGGCTCGGGAGCTGCACCCTTTCTTCCCGTACCAGTGCAAATCAGGACCTGGTCGGACACGCCCCGATGAGTTGCTGGTATCTCTGCGAACAATGAAGCGCTCAGAGCGCTAGTAATTCCGGGCAAGACAATTGGAGTATACCCTTCACCTCGGAAGAATTCAAACTCCTCCCCTCCTCTTCCGTACAAATAAGGGTCTCCCTGCTTTAGACGAAGGACATACCGTCCCCGACGCAGTGAATCCAGCCCCATTTGCAAGAATTCCTCTTGTGCCTGATCTGCGTTCCCAGGGAACTTCCGTGCAATATGAACTTCTGTTCTCCGCGGAATTAATTTCAGGACAGGTTCTGGAACCAGTTTATCTGCGAGGATAATGTCTGCATTCTGAATCGCATTGTAGGTTGCTCGCGTGAGCATGTCCGGGTGTCCAGGGCCCGAACCTGCCAGAACAATTTTCCCTTTCTTTTGCAGATGGCTCACTCCATTGGTGCTATCCAGGTTATTTTTACCAGACGAGTATGCTTGAAGAATGGTATCGATGTCAGCATCACTGATAGCAGCGAGCTTTTGAAGAGGCCAGTATTCGCATATCTGGGAGAGCCAGCGGATCCGCCGTGTCTTTGCGGCAGAAACGTCATCCTCTGTCACTAACTTGTTGAACGTATGGCTTTGACCGGTGATATCATCCTCGTCTCCTTCGAGAGGTGCAGTGCACAGACCTGCTGCATAGTCCTCCGCCCAGAGGCGCCTTCTTACGGCCCCCAATCTGTCTATTGCAATTCCCAGATTGGAGGGAAGGGAAGAAGATATTTCTCTTCTTAAGCGAGATGCAAGCTTGCAACCACGCCCTGATGTTGTAATCCCAATATGAAGAGGGCCATCTGAGTACGTGGAAAGCAAGCTAAAAGTACATAGCTCCGGGGCATCAGAAACATTGACAGGAATTCTAAGCCGCCGACAAAGCTTTGAGATGTGTGCACCTATCAATTAATTAGATCATATTCCTTGGTAGCTTGTAAGATCAGCACATACTCAACGGGTGATTCCCACCAAGGGTGATGAAAACCGTGTCAACAACATGGTCGACGTCTTCCCTGCCCAGAGTCTTCAGATCATCATCTTGGAATTCTCTGCGTATCCATTGTACAGAACCATCCTCAATGCGCTCAGACAAGCTGAAATGCAAGTCTCCAGTGTCTGCCGCAATGATGACTGGCTTTGCGCCGGCTTCTAAGGATTTCGCACAGCGGGCTGCAGCAAGAGGATTTCCACCGACAATCAAATGAACTTGAGATTCAGCATAGACCGCCGTCAGCAACGGTGCTGGAGATCCGTTATCGCACGATGCGTCTTTCATGGTGCCAAGTTGCCACCGCAGGTAAACCCCGCTGTTCCGAATGGCCTTTCTTAATGTACTAACGAGATATTTGTGAAGATGTGGGAGGACAGAACCAGCGGAAGTCGAGTGATTTTTATTCCTTTACCCCACAATCACCGAAATGGCAGAGGGGCCCCCAGTCAATATGATTGCTTGCGGGCACAAAAGTCCGCGGAAATAGGCTCAACGCAACCGAATGAGAGGCGAATTGGAGATAAGGATTGAGTTTCTCCTGACAATCGCAGCTGCGCAGTCTGATAAGCCTATCTAGACGATTGATAAAGCAAATCCCATTTACCACAGTATTTATCAGTCATCTGAAATTGTGACTCTTTCTTTTATATACATTTCTCTGTAGTTCCCAATGCGGTTAAAGCGATATTGCGTGATCGTGCATTTCGTTGCTTATCTAAGCCCCGCATATGGTCATCGTGAATCAGCCTGAAGCTCATTAGCCGCCATCGCAATGAGGATGTTTTCACAGTTTGGCTGCCTCCTTTTGCGATGTTTCTCACCGATCAAGTTAGTACGGTTGCTGCAAGACAACCAAAAATGCAACAGGGTGGTTCTCTGACGATCGGCATATTAGAACACTGGAAGGATCCAACAGAAAATCCTAGAACTTCAATCAAGACAAGACCGGGATTGACATAGAACACTCATGATGCTCATCTGGGGAGGAGAATGCCAATAGAAAAGTAAACATGGAAGGCCATGAAACCTCCTTAGTACTTACCCTGGTGATGTTGACCAGGCTGATGCCTTAGTCACCCAAATTAGACTGATCATCACGTGATGTAGAGCTTCGGGCAGCTTGACTGGCAAGTAGACGTCAAGCTCCATGTTCGTTCCCATCCTCAGCCCGTCACTACGCTATCAGCTGCATCTTGTCACGATCTACCTTCCATCCCTCGAGTTCGGAACACTTAACTCTTCCTTCTTGATACCCTCTATCATAAACTCCGAAATCGTCAAACTTCGTCATAACATCCGTCATCATGGCTGACGGACTATTGAAGGCGGAGAAGGACTTCTCCAAGGATGCTGACAAGCTAATTCCCGAGGCCGAGCAGATCGCCAAGGTTGGATTTGCTTCATATAGCCATAGTGGAGTGTGATGCTAACATGACGGGTAGACCGATGCTCAACGCGCTATTGACAGTCTGCTCGGACTGGAGAAACAAGCAAGACAGGTATGACATATGACTGCCCCTGTTTGATATTCCGCGATGCTGACAGAGTTCTAACTCAGGCCTCTGATCTCCCAACTACATCCCGTCTTCTCGTCGCTATCGTAACGCTCAGCAAAAACTCCGGAGACTGGAGCCTTCTCAACGACCAAATCCTTCTTCTCTCCAAGAAGCATGGCCAGCTTAAACAAGCCATTACAAAGATGGTGCAAGTGGTAATGGGATTCTTGGATGAGACACCCAGCATGGATGTGAAGTTGTCTGTCATCGAGACCCTCCGGACTGTGACTGAGGGAAAGGTGGGTACCTCGACAGCCTCTTGTCCAGCTTATGGCTAATACACCATACAGATCTTTGTCGAAGTCGAAAGAGCCCGCGTCACCCGCATCTTGTCGAATATTAAGAAATCCCAAGGCGATCTCAATGCCGCCGCTGACACCCTCTGCGAACTGCAAGTCGAGACATTCGGATCCATGACCAGAAGAGAGAAAACCGAATTTATCCTGGAACAAGTGGCCCTTTGCATAGAGCGTGGCGACTGGACACAAGCAACTATCCTGAGCCGCAAGATCAATAGGCGTTACTTCAACCGCAAGCCGAAGAAGAGCCCCGAGGAGATCGCGAAGCTCAAGCAGGAAGCCGAGGAGAGGGAGAAGACCCGTGCTCCGGATGAGCCCCCGATGGAAGTTGATGACGACGTAACGGATCTGAAGCTCCGCTACTATGAACAACAAATCATCCTTTCGAACCACGATTACAAGTACCTGGATGTGTGTAAACATTATCGCGAAGTGCTGGATACAGAGTCGGTACAGAACAACCCAGAACAGCTGCGAGCAGTAAGTATTCTTCTTTGGCATGATCTTGTTGATCTTAAGCTAATGACCACATAGGTCCTTGCCCGGATTATCTACTACATCATCCTGTCTCCATATGACAACGAACAGTCAGATCTGTTGCACCGTATCCAATCGGACTCTCGAATTTCCATGGTCCCCGTGGAGAACCGGCTTCTGAAGTTTTTCACCATCCACGAATTGATGCGCTGGCCAGCCATTGGACAGCAATTTGGCCCCCATTTGTGCAATACCGATGTCTTCAATCCCCAGCCCAGTCAGTCGTCTGCAGACGACCAACCATTCAAGAGGTGGCAAGATCTTCGGAAGCGGGTTATTGAACACAATGTCCGCGTCGTGGCCAAATATTACACGCGGATCCAGATGGGCCGGTTGACTCAGCTTTTGGACTTGACCGAGGAAGAGACGGAGAAGTATATCAGTGAATTGGTCACATCGAAGACAATCTATGCGAAGATCGACCGTCCCGCGCGGCTGATCAACTTCGCCAAGCCGCGCGATGCTGATGATGTGTTGAACGAATGGAGTAGCGACATGAAGAGCCTCCTGGGACTCTTGGAGCGCATCGATCACTTGATCACCAAGGAAGAGATGATGGCCCGTATCCTCCCCACTCGGGAGAAGGGCAAGGCCCGTTAAACAGGTTGGCTTAGAAAGTTGTCAGCGATTACGCATCGGCGCTGGGTTCACGGCGTGTAAAATTACGAGACACTATCTAGAAATGGATTAATGCTTTTGCATGCTATATACATGATGCTGCGCCGGCTAATGCCATTTCCCAAAGCTAGTCGTATATCACCGCACAATCTTCATGGCGTCTATAGAAGAAGACAAAGCAGAACATTCTAAATCTAGATCTATAATCTAAAAGGGCAAGTCCATATCATTCACATCCTCCTCCTCAGCATCCTTCTTGTTACCACCCTCCAACTGCTCCCTAATAAACCGCACTGCAGCATCCAAATACGGCCTTTGACTGGGCAAGAAATGACCACCAGGATGCCAAACAACCTTACCCTCCTTCTCAGGATCTCCCGCACAAGCCTCAACCAGCGCCCTACTCCTCGACTCCTCAACAACCGCATCCAACGACCCCAAGACATGCAAAATCGGGGTCTGCAACGCCGGGCTCTCATAAAACCCGCGATACCGGGCCCCAGGCGAGCGGAACCCACTATAACAAAGCGCAAACTTGAAAGGCGGGTGATTCAACCCCTCAAACGCCTTGGGAAACGACACCCCAGACACAACAGCATCGGTCTCGGCCTTCCCCTCCGACGCAACATTGGCATCCAAAAACCTCGCGAACGCCTCCTTCCGGCCCGGCTCGAGCAACGACACCACCATGGCGGCCATGGCGGCGCCCTGCGAGAACCCGATCACGCCGTCGAAGGGGCCCTCCTCGGACATGACTTTTGCGACAGCCGCCAGCCCGTCCTCGAGCCCGAGGTATTCGGGCGGCGAGGCGGTGTTGGAGCGCCGGAACCAGCCGTAGGCTTCGAGGGGCTCGGTGGGGGTTTCTTGGGTGGGCTCGTAGCCGGGGATGTCGGCCGGGTTGAGGCGCAGGGGGCCTGTCGGGTAGGTTGCTGTGACGTCGTGAAGGGGGAAGGCTTTCGTGAGATGCTTGATTAGGGCGCGGCTTTTGGCGTGGAAGAGGGGGCCGGATTGGGTGTAGCCGTGTAGCATGAGGAGTTTGAGGGGTTGTTTGGACATTTTGGCTTGTTTTTGTAGGGGTTTCTTTTTCTTTTCTTCTCTCTTTTGTGTATTTGTTGGAATGGGTCGAGGAGGGTTCGGTTTGGAGGGGTTGTTGTAGGATTAGTTGGGATGAATGAGATGATCTGATCGGGGAATCAGTATGGTTAGTTTGAATTGTATCGCAGAATCGATAAGATAAGAAAGGCGGGAAAGCGTGGCATTATTGTTCCCCCTCTATGCCAAGTATAGAAACAGACCAGTTTGGTACTGCATTGCAGGACGTGGGAATCAATTGGAGGTTCATCCTAGCTATGGCATTTTGCTACAACCGCCTGAAACACTCATGAATTAGTTCAGTGATTTCGTGATACCCTGCCCCAAAGGCACATACATGCCTGTATGTGATTGCAGGTATACACCTACGTCAGAATCATGCACTGCGGGAGTATACAGCATGGGGGACCTATAACAAGCGAACACGTCCACCAGACCATGTATAAATGAATACCGCATGGGACTTTTTAATTCTGACGACGACACTGCACATTTAGGTCACTGGAAAAGTTGGCCCACACTATCAGAGGCTGAACGTTGTGAAACAACAAGACTGAAAGCAATGCACAGAATGCCCTGGTACTCATTTTCCTTGGCAAGTTTCAGGTATTACTATAGGTCGCCATGCGAGGTTTATACTTAAGAGAGACATATTGTCTTTTACCAGTACATATTATCCTGTGTTCCTGAACTTCTAGGGGCGATTGCCGTCAGTCCCAGGGCGTGTATACACAAATGCCTACCTGCATGTCAAGCATAATGTCGAAACCCAGAAACCAACAACAATAACCCCATACTTGTCTAAAAGTCCGGCCCAATCTAGCCTGGTTCCATTCCATATTTCCTGAAGGACGAATTCAGGTACCAATCAGGCGATAAGATAAGCCACCAAGTGGAGAAAAGAAGTTGAACCCCTCTTTAAATTTAAATTTCTCGGACATTAAAACAACAAGGACACCCATCTATACCAAATCCCATCATCGGTATTTTTAAGTATCCTTGTCAAATCGATAAACCCCAAAGCCACCCAGAATGGCCGACGCAAACAAGCTCCAGACCCTCGACACCCGCATGAGCGAGCTCCTGGCGTACGTTCTCAGAACATCACTCGTTTCTTTACCTCTCAACCATACTTCAAACCCACCTCAAAGAGACAAAAACAAAACATGACAAAACAACAGTAACCACGACCAGCATGGACTAATCAAAAAACATCTCAAACAGGGCCATCGAATCCCACCCAATGATGGCAGGCAGCCAACCCCACCCAACAGGCTTCTATATCCATGACTTCATCCGCAACACCCACAACAAGGTGCGGAGCATCGACGCCCAGAAACTCCAGTCGGCAGACCCCGCCACCGTCAAAGAGTTCCAGGATATCCGGGGCCGCAACGTGCTTGCGGAGCAGCTGATCGAGGGTAGCGGGCCGATGGCACAGATGATGCTCATGATGGGCGGAGGTTCGCTCGACTTTGGTGATGCAATCAAGCAGAAGGCTCAGGCGGTTAATGCTGTCTAACCCTTGGACATGTTTTGGTTTTGGGGTTGTGGTGCGTGTATGAGATGGGATCTATTTGGAATTGAAACTGGGGGCTTGATTGACTCCGTTTCGGGGTTGTTGATGTGTCCAAGTTTTTAGAAGTATTTCTTTGGGACACAACATGCCATTTGGCTAGGCAAGAGGCGTTTATCCTTTTGTTTTTCCCCTTCCCCTTCCTGTAACAGTGACGACACCAAAGCCATAGTGGCTATGCTGTGTATGGCATTGAAGAATACTACAATGTACTGGCGTACAAAGCTAGCTTAACACGGGGGGAATTTCATGCATCTCGAGTGGTAGGTGGAAAGAGGAGCACCGACAATGCTAGTACTGACCCCGTCGCTCCAAGCTACCTCTACTGACCGGACTAGTCCTCCTCAGTCTAGTGGAGAGGTTGGCTTTAAATTACGGCCTCTTCGAACGTCCAATTAATTCCCAGGGTTTGCACCACATGGGAGAGAACTTGGAGAGCCTGCTGGCTACGTCTGGATTAGTTCAATCTTAGTGTGAACGGGACGTGGGAATAGTAAACTAGTCGGCGTTCTTTGAATGAAAACTAGGGAATAACCGAATGTCGAAGGAAAGTTAGAAATAGACCACCGGTGCGGGTATATTGCCTATTCTAAGTTCTTCAATTGAAGGAGACCGAGACCCGGAATTGAAGATGGAGGGGGCAGAGAAAGTCCGTATCTTCTACGGCGTAACCAGCAGTACATGTTTAAAGACTCCACTGTGGAGCAGCCACCTCTCTATGCTACGGAGGATTAAGAGGCCTAAGACGGATGTGGCCTAAACAGGACTCCACCGCCCAAAGCAATGTACGGCAGTGGCTGCTTGCATCTACTCTACAGTGGGACCAGGTATTTACGGGGATCTCTACAGGGGTACTACCAGGGCAATCCACGGCGTAATCTGGAACATGAATACAATTGCATAGCATCGAGGGATGTACACGGCTTGAACGTCCGGATCAGATAGGCTAGCCTACAACAGGACCGTATTTCTACATCCTGCCAGGACCAAGCTCTATCTGCCTGACTGGATCCAAGTTGCACCCGTAGTCACATCCGCCGTCCTAGCAATGCCAGCAACCAGTTATTCATCTTCGTCATAGGGGAGGATCCACACTCAAATCCCTTGACATCCGAATACGTGAATCAACCGGCAACGCTCATGCAGATATGCCCCATGGTGGGATCCACCCGCCATATCCTTCCATGACGGGAAAGGTGTCGGGAGAAGATCATGTCGTACGGATCCCACAGCATAAACAAGAATAAAAGCAAACAACGTTTCGATAGTAGTCAAAAAAGAGGCAAAGGTTGATATAGTATGGACCGATCATTGCCAGATATCCGGAACTCCCTCCATGTACGCTTTTTGGTGGAAACTTGGTATAGAAATGGCTGCGCCTGCTTGGGTACTTCTCATTTCCCTTCGAACCTTTGTATTTTTTGAGGGGTTTTCTCGCAAGGGGGCGAGGACTCCATCTTCTATCTGAGTTTTGCTCAAAGAAAAGATTAGATTAATCCATCGAAAAACGCCACATGTCTTTCATCATCGCTCCAGCCTGGTTGCGTCGTGACATCTACTTTCTGCGGAAAGAGCAGCCCTCAGTGAGACGGGCCTTGCCACCGGTGGGCTGGCAGAGGACGGTCGAGCAGCCGGCGCAGACGACGACGGTCTGGGCGTGGGAGAAAACGGTGGTGATGGTGAAGCAGCCGGGGCACTTGACGTCCATGAAGAAGGAACGGGGAGCAGGCACAAGTTGCTATTAACATCCGGGGAGTACCAGTCAGCCATCCAACCCACCAACTCTGTCGGTTCCCAGAATTGGTGTCTTATCATACCTTGAGCTTGTGCTTGCGGGCCTCGGCCTGAGGCGTAGGGTTGAGAAGGTCGACCGCGAGAACCTGTCGGGGGAGAAAAAAATTCTTGTTAGCAGCGTGGCCTTGGATGATTTCGATGGAAGCGGACTTCGGGAGGCGACGGCGATGGCGAGCACGAGATGAAAGAGTCGCACTCCTTATCTTTGCTTATGTCGAAGGATATCCGCGAGGTAATGGGCTGGACAAAACGGGGCAGAACCTACCATCTTGACGAGACTAAAAGTCGATCAGCGATAAAAGTTGAATGGTGCGCTGATGGAGATGGCCTGCTTGAAGGGTGAGGAACGAAGAAGGTGGTCTCGTGGAGAGGGCAAACTCTGAAGGGAATTCACTGCTCCCGTTCAACCCACTGGCCCTTTCTGGGAAAATAGGGCTCAAGCCCTCGCTAACACTACTTCTTTGAGGAGTCTTGGCGCGTCCGGCAGCTTTACCCCGTACCGTTTCGAATCTCCCCCAATCAGCGGCCGTCATTCTGCTTACCTCACGGGGCTCAGGTGCCCAAAGGTCCTTTCCCGAATGGACTCTTCCAGAGCCATCGCATTGTCGCCATCGTCATTCCTCTACTTCTACCCCCCACGGTACTTGTACGGTCCCTCTCGTCCCATGGATCCTTGACCCGATCTGGCAACCAGGCATTCGACATTTTGCCCCAAGATCACGTTACAGCATTAAGGTAGTATTTCTCTATCAACCTAATCAAACATTTTAGACACCACATGTGACACAAAGGTTTCCAGCCCATATGCATCGCAGGATGAATGGCCCGGCATCTTTGCTTTAGTTTTTATACAGCCTGACTCCCAATCCAGAAAGCCAACCCAACGCTCCAATGCCTTGACCCGAAACATGAATCCAGCAAACTTAAATCAGAAAGAAGAAACTCTCACCTGTGTATGACACACTCGCCATGGGAAGCTGAGACGCGGCGGTCTTCGCATAGTTGATATGCATTCAAAATCTTGGCACTCTTATCTCTCAGCTCATCTTCTTCTCAACTGCATCAACTTGTCCATTCGCAGTTTGCTTCTCAACATAGGGGTGCTTGATAGTGAGGCACCAGATGTCGATGTAGTCACATATCGTGGTGATGATGTCGTGCTGTTATCGGATGAGCCTCGAGAGCAAAGGAGCATGTGGGGACATGAGGGACTTACAATGAAGCTTCCATAAACACCAATCGCCAGACCGAGACACGCGTAAACGAATGCAACCTGACCGTCTCCGCCGCCAAGTGCGCTGGGCCACAGACCGAGAATGGGGCCAGCGCTGTCAAGAACAGCAAGAGCAAGGGGGCAAAGAAGCACGTTGAAGTAAGGGAAACTGGACTTGACCAAGTGTGCAGTGATCATCCTGCCCACTGCGTATGCGTTGACCAGACCCACGTAAAGGGCAAATGTGACCATGTAGTTCTCCAAGATAGTCGGTTGAAGATAGAGATAGGCCGGCACGAACACCCACACCGCAACAAGAGGCAGGAGACCAAAGAGTGGTGCAATGGGGTCCTGTCCACGCTCTTTCCGAATTTGCATGACATGCACGATACTCGATCCAACGGCGAAGAAGAGCACAATCGCGCCGTAGACCAGATACCACTGCGTAAAAGGCATATCATACACCTGCTCCGGGATGGCATCCAGTTTTGGAACACCGACGGTTTCCAGCATTGACTGATGCCAGAAGCTACCGCCTCCCATGTAGGCCGTGAGGCCAAAGACGAGGCAAAGTGTCAGGACACCCTCCACGGGGCCAGAGATAATGCCAAGGGTAAGCACTTGGGTGTAGTACTCATCCCAGGTCTGAACGTAGAATGTCATGGTTGCTGTTTCACGTTAGCCTCTTGAGGACTGCTTCCGGGCGCGGAATACAACGTACATCCCCAAAGGGTCACGACAGTAGCCCATGACTGGCCGAAGTTCATTGCCGCACAGAAGATCAGCACTCCCAAAGCGGTGTTGCACGCATCAACGCCTGTAGGATGAACGATGAATTAGTGCCGGTTTGCCATCTAAGGGTAGATTTGCCTCACTGTGGTCAAACAATTCGCCCAGAGGACCACTTTGCTTAGTTCTCCGCCTGTTTTGAGAGGATTAGCGTTGTAGAACTATTAAGTGATGGACAGAGAGGCCATACGCTTGAATACCGTCTACGCCGTCAAATGTCTGGTACAAGAACAATCCCACGGCGCAGCTGGCATAAACCCAAGATGGGCAGTCTTGGTCTAGAGTAGGATTGTACCAGAGTATCGTGAGGAAGTTGATTACCACAAAGAAGAAACCAGTTAAGGTGATCTACCAGTCTTCAGTTATTTCCCGTTCTTGCCATGAGTCGGAGAATTAAAGACTTACGGCGTTAGGACTAAGGCAAGCAGGCTGTTAGCCAGGCCGGATACCAGTGGGAATGAAGAAGCGTCACTACTCACGCCATACTCATGGGGAAACATTTGATCACGACATTGTTATAGAATGGTTTCAGGACATATCGGCTTATTAGCGAGTGGTCGACGCCGGCATAGCGGTATTCCCGCAACTTGGGCAGCTGATGCTGCCGGATGTACACCATGTTGCGTTGGTCTTGTTCTCCAGGGAGAAACTCTTCTTGTCCGTCCGGCTACAAAGAGTACGGTGGGAAGAAAGATTTTTGCTTGTTTTGCTTGGGGCCTTGGAGCTTTACAAAGATAGCGGTGAAATTAAGGACAGTAAGGCAAGGTGTCACTCCAAAAGGGGGTAGAACAGGACTAGAGACGAGGGAAAGTCTGGGAGTAGTTGTTGGGCAGTCGAAAAGACCCAAAGATAGAAAAGGAAGTCAAAGACAAAAGGAAGAAGCGAAATACGAGCGAGACGAAAGAAAAACAGGATACGCGCAGCTCTTGTTGATTGATGTTCCCTTTTAGTACTAAATTTTTAGTAGGCATTAATTACTTTCTTTTTTTTTCTGCCGGTCAAAAACCGCTGTTACAGACATGCCGCGCGGGGAGTCGCAAATGAATCCGACCTTCGAAGTTACGAGAGTCGTCAGAATTGAAGTTGGTGGAGAAATTCCGCCGGCTTCGGCAACCCACGTGTGTCCTTTCATTCGCTGGATGTATTTTTGTTGGGAGGACTGGGTCCATCTCCCAAGACCACTGTGCATCGCACAGATCATGGTCACTTTCCTGATCGTCGTCCATCATTTGCAGAGAAAAGAGGGGTAGAGAAAGCATGCTAGTAGCAACCCGAGGCAGCATATGAAGTCCATCGGGAAAGAAATAATGTGACACACGTAAACTTGAGGGAAAGACTGGTGGAACAATGTTCCCGAATCCATTTCTAAATACAACGATAAACGAAATGACGATAATGCTAGTGCGGATTGAATACACTAAGAGCCCTATGGCTGCTTTAGTTGAAATTCGATAGTGGATAGTGGAGCGACCAAGCTTTCCGTACTCCGTAAATAATGCCCGAAACTTGGAGCAACCGTTACATTCTTCCCCCAGAGATCGGCGGACTCTGTTCTCCAAGCCATGCAGTGTACTTGCGCCCCATTGATCTCGGTCCATGCACAACCTTGATGCTTGGTTTCCTTCAGTAGAGTGTTTGCCGTGAACTGGGCGCTCCCCAAGGACCTTGCCTATCATCGCAAATCGACTTGGACTATGGGGTGCAATGCACTTAGCCAACGGGGCTCCATGGCATAGGAATCAGAATCCGGCTCTGCATGCTTTGGATGAGAGGGACAGTTTTGTGCACCGTCTCTGCCCATCCTTCGATACCCCATGACTGCTCCCGGCGAATCTTGCGTTCTTCAAGATTCGCAAATTGCCACAGGTGGTGCACAGTGTTCAAGTCGCCAATCTGAACAAACCAGGCGCCGACTCCCTCCATGACTTCGCGGCGAGCCCTGAGGCCCGTTCGCCAGTGCGATTCCCACTCTAAGAGGTTACCGGGGTGAAGAGTGTAGGATCGGAGTTCGAAAAGACCGCCTAGTCGTCGGGGTGGGGTCGTTGGCCAGAACGAGAATTCCTGCATCAGCGACGTCTTCTTGCTCTTGATCAAGCTCTTCAGCTTGCGGTCAAATTCAGGAAACTCCGGATGGCAGGAGATGTTGTGGAGGGATGCATGATAGCCCTCGTACCGTTGGTATTCCCAGATATGGACTGCAGAGCTAGTATTAGCATTCTGACTCCGCAAACATGGCATGTATGGGGCCAGGAAAGGATCAGGTTTGATTGGAGATACCAAAAGTGTCATTATCCCCAACTTGCGTCCGCCAGCTTCCCACCAGATTCACCCTGTTTTCCTCAGTGCCGGCCATGCGGGGGTACCACTGCCCTACCAAGTCAACATATTCGTCTACTCTATCAGGCTTAACCTCGTGGAAGACGATCGAGTGAACGTATTTGCCGCGAGCGAGGACCTGGGAGAACGAGCGTTCGATATCCTTGTCGAGTTGCTGCCCTTCCTTCGTTCCGTAGATGAGTGAAGACAAGGGACCGCGCTTGGGCGATTGATTGGCTTCTTGCTGTTGTTCCTCTCCTAGAATACGGTGGGTAGAAAGTGAGCCCAATGCCTTATTATCAAGAACTTGGGCAGCGTCAAAGACAGCAGGGCTATAGTTACTGCTCGCATTGCTCGCACCCGGAGCAGTGGGAGCGGTAGCGTACTCACGGAAGCGATCACGGGACACAGGGGATGATGAGGCAGAGGCAGAAGCAGAGGCATCGACAGACTGACTCTCTTGCTGTACTTTCTTTTTGCGAGCCACCTCCAAATTCTCGCGGAACTCCTTCTGACGCACAGCAAATTCCTCGGCTGAGGTGGGGGTGATATCGCGAATGGAGGGAGCGCGGTAGGCAGCAGCAGAGGAGCTCAAAGGCCGGACCAGCGAGGACACCGGTCGGAAAATGCGTGGTGTGAGCATGCTTGTTACTCGTATACAAACTAAATGCCGTGCAGATAAATAAAAAAAATGCTGTGACAAATGCTTCTGGCAGAACAGAAAAAAAGGGCAACTTTCGAAAACAGAACAACCACAACCGTTGGTTAGCAGCGAACCAAGTTGACAACACAACGAGTAGACACAGCTATGAAGAGGATACAAGAGGGGATTTAAGAGAGGGGGAGAATGTGGAAGCACAGACGAAGGACAGGGGTAAGGTTGCTGTCGACACGCGATGGCTTGCCGAACGGTTAAAAGGGAGGTGTTGCAGGGGTTACACTCGAATCAAATGAGAGCAGTTAGTTTGTTCGTCAGCGATGGTCAGGCGGAGAAGAGTAAATCCAGACGATGGCTGCCGGATACTGCCCACGGATCGTGACAGGTTGCAGAGTTAGTAAATTATGTGACACACGGATTGCAGAAGATGGAAGAGCTGATAGGATGGTAGGTGTAAGAAGGTCGAAGACGAAAAGCTGGGGAAAGCAGCTTGAGTGCGGGGAAGGAGTCTTGACTCTGGCAGTCACGACACCCAATACTACTAGTACTACTAGTAGTACTTGGTACAGCCACACTTGCGGATTGGGCTGCTTGGGGGAAGCAACGTCACCAATTGCAGTCAATGCTTAGAAACATATGATCCAGCTGCAATTGAACAATAACTCCGACATTATCAGTCTCTCTGTAATTTGCTACATTCTCGTCGATCTTCAATGCGGTTTGCTCCATAACTTAGGTTACTATGACGAAAACGACGCTTATCCTGCTCCACGTCTATTGATCTCAAACATGGCGAGACAACTCTTTTCCTAATATTGGGGGCAAACTAAGCCACTTAGGATCTGCAGGAGTATTTCTACTAGGAGTAAGGGGGATAATTTACTAGAACCAAGTATTATTGCCATGTACTTCCAATTACTACTAATATTCCTGCCCATTAAGAGCTCAAATACCCGATGACGTCGAAGGGAAAGCAGCCACCGCCAAATGGTCCGAGCTCGATCCGAGCCAAAACAGACTAGTGCTTCCGGCTCAATGCGGTTACGACCGTCGAATCCCCGCCACAGCTTCACGGGAACAACGCTTCGCTTTTCCCTCTCTTTAGCGGCTCAGCCTGTATCGATAGCTAAGATCGACGATCGGAACCTCTGTGTGAACATTGTGCAACATTATATGACTAGTGTCGTATATACTGTGCCGGCGCTATGACGGATACCTTGAACCCTCCCCTCTCATATGAGGCATCTGCCACGACAACCCATCCACATGTGGCAACTACGTTGCCCCAAGAGGTCATCGCATGCTTGAAGAATTCACGATTTGTAGGTTTCCACTCTAAAATTGATTTATATTGGCCTTTGGTTATTTTATGGAGACAACGTCTTACTCTCGCTAGCTTCACCTGGCAACATGTGACGGTCTGACCCCTCATGTCTCTCTCATGTCCTATACCTACCTGCCCTCGACGCCTTACGACCAGTATCCAACGATTATCATGACCACAAATCCTTCCTCTCGCAAGACCAATCATCTTCTGACCAATCCGCGAGTTTCCCTGCTTGTCCACGATTGGGTGTCACACCGTCCGCCCACTCGTGCACCCAACCCCGGAGGTCAGCGCGACGGATCCCCGCCTCCGGCTGCGACCCGTTCGTCCTTGGCCAGCCTCCTGTTGAATCTGAACACGAGCGCATTATCAAGCATCTCTACCACCATCGCCGGTTCGGCTCGTGTGCTGGAGCCTGGCTCTGAGGAGGAGGCTTGGTGCAAAGAGCAGCATCTGGAGAATAACACTTTCGAGGAGGAAATGGGGCTCTTCGGCCAGCAGCAGCAGCAACAACCCGGCCAACGGAGGCCCAGCATCGCTATCGACGATGACGTCCGGGTGGTCACCGTCCGGGTACGTGAGGGTCGAATTGCAGACTGGAAAGGAGGCGTACGGGACTGGCAGGTTGTCCTGGAAGGTGAAGGCCAGTCTGCGCCGCTGGTCAATGGGACTTTGGAGTCGCAATAGCTGTAGTTTCTCATGTCGCGATTGAGTCTATTTTCCATGAAATTTTATCGAGTGGCTGACAGTCGAGCATTATGATTGACGTGCATTGAACCCTTTCTTTTTCCGCACGTGTACAATATGACAACATCACTGCGATATCTAAGGCGATGACTCTAGCATTCCCCCCAGCTTGATATCTACATAGCCGAAGATCATAACTGGGCGGTTCAACCCCTACAGGTCTAGTAATGCGTAGTACAAGGACTAAACGAAAAAGTACCTATCAGACATCAAACAATACCTACCATAAAGTAACCAAAATAAAATTCACTCAACCCCTCGTCCTAAAACCGATCACCAATAACCGTCGACATCATCAATCACATGATCACATCCCAATACTACTACTACATACTCCACACAATACAATCAGACCTACCAGTAATGCCAATCAACCTCCAAATACAACAACACCACCGAAAACCGGCCAAAAAGCCTCAATCGCACGCAACCAGACAATGCGCCCCTAACCAGATACACCACACTACCGAAAACCCAACAAAATGCGTCTCGCCCACCTCCACATCCCAGACATAACATCGTTCACACGGGTCTCCAACCTGCAACAAACGCTCACAACACGACTCCTCGCCCACAAAAAGCTCACTCCCAAAGAAACCCTGCCAACCACAGACCCCATCCAACCCCCCGACCCAACCATCATAACCTTCACCCCGAACCCCGTCTATACAACGGGCCGCCGCGACCTCCCACCCTCCAACACAAGTCCCACAGCACAGCTCTCGCTACCCCCGCCGCTTGAGCCGATCCGCTCGCTCCTCACCTCCGCCAACGGCGCAGAGTACCATCCCACGCTACGCGGCGGGCAAACGACATACCATGGCCCCGGGCAGATGGTAGCCTATACAATCCTCGACTTGCGGCGGTTGGGACTCACGCCGAGGTGCCATATCCGGGTACTGGAGAATAGTGTTGTGGATGTGTTGCGCGGGTACGGGATCCGGGGATTGATTACGGAGGATCCGGGGGTGTGGGTGCCGCCGGTGAGCGGGGAGGGAGTGCCGAAGAAGGTCACGGCGGTCGGGGTGCATCTGAGGCGGAATATCAGTAGTTATGGGATTGGGTTTAATGTGACAGAGGAGCCGATGTGGTGGTTTAAGCAGATCGTGGCGTGTGGGCTTGAGGGGAGGGAGGCGACGAGTTTGGAAGGGCAGGGGGTGCCTGGGGTTGAGATTGGCGAGGTTGCGGAACGGTTTGTGAGTGCCTTTGTGGAGAGAATAAATCAGGATTTTGCTTGTGGTGAAGGCGCGAAGGGGGAGAAGATTGAAGGGGTGTATAGGGTTACGGAGGAGGATGTGCTTGGAGTGGATTAGGTGGTTTGTTGGCGAGTTTGTATAGACAGCTTCAGAGCTGTGTAGATTATGCTATGCAGCTGGAACCCAAAATTAGAGTCATCAATTGGTAGATAGTACACATCCGCAAGTCTAGCAATAGTAATAAATAGAGCCGATTCTCCCGGCCTTCTGCCTTTGACCCAGAAACACGATACCAGGCAGTAGAAATATCCAGTTGATTAATGCGTGATCGCCGGGGTCCATTCCAAGCTGAGTCAGTTCGTTTTTTCCAGAATATTAAGCGTACATAATTAGGAAAGAGGTTGCAGCGAAGTATATATATAAAGAAGAGAAAAAAGCAAATAGCCACACAAATAAGCTGAAGAGCTGACATCGTAATAAAGAACATCAGTTGCACTCAGTTTGGGACGTTTGCAGCTCATCGTGGACTGTCCCAAAGGGCGCAACTGATAAGAAACAAATCAAAGGGTATACGAACAAACGATAGAGACCGTCAAAGACGCTAAAAGTTGCAACGGGAGAACCGTTTACAGGATGACACATCCTTCCTTGGAAGCGTTCGATCCCGAGACTTTCACTTCAAGGGCAACCTTGGCTGCTTCGTAAAACGTCTCCATGATGCCGCGATTCTGAACGGCAGAGCATTCTGTCATTGGATGGTTAATAGGACTCATTCTCCCAAACCACACGGCATCAACATGACTTACCCAAGTACTTCACAGCACCGATTGCCTTCGCCTTCGCTAGACCTTGCTCGTACGTGATAGCGTTCGGGTTAGGGTTCTCAAATTCATCTTTTCTCAAGTCACACTTGAGCGCTGTGAGAACCATCTTAACACCGGGGCAGTTATCCGTAATCTCCTCGACCCATTTGGTTGCGACGTTCTCGAAAGAATCCGGGCTGTCAACCTGTATTCGAGCATTTAGTCGATGCCCACCGATCCAAGGGCGCAAGGGTTCCTCACGCTGAAACAAAGCATAATCACATGTGTGTCCTCGTACGATAGCGCACGCAATCGGTCAAATTCCTCCTGGCCAGCGGTATCCCAGAGCGACAATTCCATGTGTACATTGTCGACAAAGATATCTAGACAGTCATGAATATACGAATTGGACATGAAAGGGGCGAAAGCGATTACCGTGGACATAGTTTTCTAGAGGGGTCATGATTAGCAAGCGCGAACGATTAGGAAGGGGCTAAAGCACGTACCAAAGACAGTCGGCTCACTAGGTAGGAGTAGCAAAGTCAATATCGCAGAGTGCATAACCGTGTGAAAAGAGCGTGTATCTTACTATACTGTTGGGAAAAACCTATAAACCAAGGATTAGTGGACCTCGTGAAGAGAAAGGACGGGAGAAGTTTATTACCCTCTTGTGAACACATTCAAGGCCGAAGTCTTGCCACAAGCACCGTCACCTCTAATCCAGTGGTTAGAACTCTATCCTCCGAGTGGTGAGAGTCGCAGGTTTTACTAACAGCAGCACCATCTTCCGACGGACAACCGTCTGACGTCCGCACAAACCCATCGTGGAAGGATAGTATTCAAGAATTTGGTACGGTATGCGCGAGGAGTAGCGACAAGGGGGGAAGGGATACGATCAATTAGGTCTGAGGTCGGGACAGGCGTATATATCTAGAATATCTAAGAGAAATATGGGATAAAGAATAATTTTTGCACTTCAGTGATAAGCAAATGAGAAGTTTGTGGCACTGGTGGTGAGGGAAGCAAAGCCACCGGTCATGGGCCGTGCAGACGATGTCATCGGACCTTGAAAGGGTCAGCGAATGAGACGATCCTCATCTGCCAAGGACTCAGGTCTAATTTCGCCTCGCCGGGGTGCCTGAACCTCACAAAGTATTCAGGACTCATAATATATGCCACACACTGGACATCAAACTATGTCGCAAGCTTATTGTTGGTGGGATCTCAGTGGCTGTGGTATCCGCATGTGCTCCATATATGGGGTTTTGTCTTCTGGTACCTACTTACACAAGCTTCAAACTAAAGAATGGCTTTGTCTTACTTATTTGGTCTTTTCTTTACTCTTTTTTTTAACTTCGCTACATTGTATGTATATTCCAATGATTAGTTCTACGTGACTCAACTAGCATTTACATATTCATATTAGAATAGGGTAGAAACAAAGAGGTTCAGCTTTTGACGCAATTACTTTCTAGACTTCTCCAGTGCCGTCATCAAGACTGCAGTGCGCCCAGTTGATACCGCGTCTCCACTGTCTTAACTTGAGGTTATAAATTTAGAAAACATAGCCTACCACCATGATAGCACTTTCCAATGACGAATAAATCACAGGCTAGCTGATGGATCACGGACAATCCTTCTACGTTGCAATTATTATAATGCAGTGATACAGCATTTGCTCACATTTTCCCGTCATATCTCAACAACTATATATAGTAAATATCTTTATAGTAAAATATCTTCAGTCTGTAAATATTCTAGAGCATATCACACTGCAACGCGAATTATCGTCTACATTACCGGTCCATTCTGGATTTTGGAATTTGACGACGCCTCTATGTCGTCTGTGATATCTAATAAGGCGATATAAATATATATTACCTTCATATACGCATCGACGTATGTTGTGCGACATCGGTCCTCTCACGTTTCATGTGGATAGTTGGCCAGTTCAGACGAAAACAGGAGTATTAGCCTATAGATTATCAATCAGGTCTAGATAACCAAAACAATGAGGTACTGCAAATAGTTCCAGATCAATTCCTGATCAAGAAAGATTGAAAAGTACGGTCGGACCCATCGACCATGAACTAAGTCAGCCGTAGCGCGGGGAACGTAAAGAAAGAAGGTGGTTGACAACCCCGGCCTCCGATAGGCTGCCGGCAAGCTCCATTTGTCTCTCACACTCTCTTCGACGCCTACTAGTATTATCTATCGCAACAACAACAATAACTGAACGACTTTCACGTGTACCCTTACGAAATCCCTTGGCCACCCCCCCCCGAAACTCATAATACCGACAGACAAGAAATACCCGAAACTACGAAAACAGAGCTTCACAAAGCTATCCCAAGATGTCTGACGATGATGACTTCATGCAAGATTCTGGCGACGAAGAGTGCGTATCGCCCGCCTGATACGGTGACCGTGGGAACATATAATTGACTCCTGCTAGCTATGACTTTGAGTACGAAGATGCGGACGACGACGAGTCGGGTGACATCGGGATCGAGAATAAATACTACAACGCCAAACAAATGAAGATAGATAACCCAGAGGAAGCGATCGATGAGTTCCTGGAGGTACCGGCTCTGGAGCAAGAGAAAGGCGATTGGTAACTAGAATTTGCACTTGCCGGGTTGGCTGGACAGGCCGCTGATGTTATGCAGGGGTTTTAAAGGTCTCAAGCAGGCGATAAAACTGGAATTCAAACTCGGGCGATACAGCGATGTAGGTCTTTGTTTAGTGCCCTCCATGCGTCTGAATGCCTTGCTGATTGGTCTAGGCGGTTGAACACTACAGAGAACTCCTTACCTACGTTAAGTCGGCCGTCACACGAAACTATTCCGAAAAGTCTATCAACAATATGCTGGATTACATCGAAAAGGGCTCGGACGACGACAAGGCCTATCAGTGTATGGAAGAGTTCTATTCATTGACGCTACATTCATTCCAGAACACGAATAACGAGCGTCTGTGGCTGAAGACCAATATTAAACTGGCCCGCCTATGGCTAGAACGCAAGGAGTACGGTCAACTGAGCAAGAAGGTGCGGGAGTTGCATCGGGCATGCCAGCGGGAAGACGGGTCGGATGATCCCAGCAAAGGAACATACTTACTGGAACTATACGCGCTGGAAATCCAAATGTATGCTGAGACAAAGAACAATAAGCGACTCAAAGCCCTGTATCAGCGCGCCCTCCGTGTGCGGTCAGCGGTCCCGCATCCTAAGATCATGGGCATTATCCGGGAATGTGGAGGGAAGATGCACATGAGCGAGGAAAACTGGGAAGAGGCGCAGAGCGATTTCTTTGAGTCGTTCCGAAACTACGACGAGGCGGGTTCGATGCAACGTATCCAGGTTCTCAAATATCTGGTGCTGACCACCATGCTGATGAAATCCGACATCAACCCGTTCTATTCGCAAGAGACCAAGCCGTACAAGAGCGACCCCCGCATCTCGGCCATGACCGATCTAGTCGATGCCTTCCAGCGGGACGATATCCACGCATACGAAGCGGTCCTGAGCAAGAATCCAGATGTCCTGGCCGATCCTTTCATCGCAGAGAACATTGACGAGGTCAGCCGAAACATGCGGACTAAGGCAGTCCTCAAGCTGATCGCACCCTACACGCGATTTACGCTGGCCTTCATCTCCAAGCACATTAAAATCTCTATCCCGGAGGTCCAGGACATTTTGAGTTTCCTGATCCTAGACAAGAAGCTGAACGCGAAAATTGACCAAGAAAATGGAACGGTTGTCGTGGAAAGCACTAGTGACGTGGATCGACTACGATCCCTCGAGGAGTGGAACGCATCGCTTCGGACCCTTTGGCGGGCCACCTTAAATGACGGGGAAGGATTTAGGACGGATGAAACGTCTCAACTCCACGGGTTGAGAGGCGGGCCCCTCTTCCAATCGGGATTTGGCGATGAAGCACCACCTGCAGTGGGTTTACGTGCTGGGCGCCGATTACGGACTGGATGGAAGGGTAAAGGCTTAGGACACGGGCCCAAGGTTACAGGTGCAGGCGGATATTAAGTGTGTGTGGTGTAGTAGTAGTAGTAGTGATAGTAGTAGCAGCGGTAGTAGTGAGTGGGTGTGGAAAGAAGCAGACGAGCAGACGTAACCCTAGTGTGCTGCAGAGTTTAATAATGAAAAGGAATATACAAAGGCACCACCGGCCGATGGGAAACAATCAATGAATGAATGAATAAATGAACCAATCCACCAACAAGCCCCATCAAACTAGCTGACACTACAACAATCAATCAATCAAGCAAGCATACATACAGACATACATGCACTTGCCAACACAAAAGCCAGCAAAGCAAAAATAGAAAGAGAACCCGAGGGAAAGTTAAAAAAACGAAAAGGCGAACCAGGTACCAAAGGACACGCAAAAGAAGAAAGAAAAAAAATTCTGCAAGATGCATACACTAAAAGGACAAGAAGTCAGGAGGACCCAGTTTCATCACTCATCAGTCCTTTATCATCATCCATAGCTGTGCAGGCTGCGTCTGCGTCGCGGTTCAATGATAGGACCAAAACACCGTAGGGAAAGCAGTTGACGGTCCCATGGTCCACCTAACGAGAGGGGGATCCACAGAGACAACATCCGCGGTGGGGACCCGGATTCCACCTTTCGCTTGGGGTTGAAATGCTGGGCAAGAGTACTCCATATGCAGAGAAAGAAAAGGCACAATCAAAAGGGCCAAAAAAAAAGAGGGGGGGGCAACCAGACAGGCAGTAGACTTTGCAGATGCATGTAGATGTAAGGTTCGGTTTTGTTCTGTTCGTCTGTTTCCTTATGGATGGTCCAGGAATCAGATCCAGGAATGGATATTGTCTTACGAAGGTATACTCGATGTATAGCAGACTCCTGGGGTAACATCAAGGTTGACACCGGAGAAGATAATGACTAGTGACAAGTCGGATTCCCACCGGGAGTCAGCAGCTCTGATCAAAAGTTAGATATGGTCGAATGGAGACACGGGTCGTACCGACATAGCTAACTAAACGCCTTGCGTTAACTACATGGCTAATGGGATCAGTCAATGATTCAGCGAAGAAACCACAAAGACAGGGGTTCTACAGCAAGATGTAATATAAAAATAGGCGATCAACTAGCAGAAGCGGTAGCAATTATTGGCTGTAAATGGTGTGATGGGGAGGGGCATAACATCTGCCTCTCTCTCATGATAATTACTAGTATTGCTAACCTGAAAGGAACATGTCCACCATCGTCGCAACATAGGAGTACAAGTAGTAATAATTCATACAATTAATTATAGGGTACTGCGGCCGAGTGGAGTTGATAGTAAAAAAATTGCGCGTGTGTGTTCGTTAATTTCATTGTTTTCTTTTTCTCTCTCGCCTTGCCAAGAGGGAACAGAACCTGGTTACTGGAGTACTTTCGACAATTGGCCGCCTGCCATCGAATACTAGTTCGCCCCGCTGAAGGTTGGGCTATCGTGTTAGGAGGGGAACGGAGAAGTCCCGTGGGCCTTCTTTTTTCTTTTCCTTTCTTCTTCTTTTTTTTTTTAACCCTCTTTTCTCGATGCTTTTCATTGTTCGTTCCCGAGGCGCTTAGAAAAACTAGGGTTGAATTTTCTTTGCTGATTAGTGGATACAGGGACGGTGACGATAACGTTAGCTTATAATGTGGATATACATGATACATGCTCGGTAGACTTGGAGTTTGTTTGCTTTCTGGAGTCCATCAGCTACTAGAGGCTAGTACGGTAGTCAATGGGGTCCCTGCGTGTGCGATAGTGGTGCTATTGGACGGAAGCTATCACTTAACGTTTGGTGATGAGGTATGTTACTTACGTGTCGTTTAGGTACCTACTCAGTGTCAGAGTAGGTTCGGATAGGGATCGTTGTCAGGTACTTACCATTGGAAGGATCCTTAGCCTGTCATCGGCCACATCATATTAGCACTAGTTATACCGAATCTTCATCCTTGTCTGGACGGTTACGGCACCGAGGAATCTCCGGGGTTTGCATCCACCCACTCTTGACCTTAACTCTCTTGATTTAAGTACCTGGATTATGGATGTTGAGCTACTCAACCAGTCACCCATAGGCCACGAAAAATGAACCATATAGAAGTGGCAACATCCAACAAGCCTCCTTGATCTAAACTGTAGATAGTTGGAATATGATCGCGACTGTGATCACATCAGAACTCTAAGTACCGGGGTGATTTTCCTGTTGTGGGTGTCTTTCGTGCATTTGCGTAGGTTGTATTTGATTTTTTGTTGGCCGTGTTTCAAACTGTTTGTCCGTGTAAATTGACTGGGTGGGGAGAAAGAAAAGCGGTATTCCAGCACGCTGGGATTAGGATTGAGAGCCGGAACTCCGAATTCCAGTCCGATGGATATCTCTCTGTTGGCGGTTGATTGGGCTTGACAGTTGTGAAATAGAAATCATCCCGGCATTCAGGTACCCGAGGAGTATGTGCAACGGGGCGGGATGTAACCAGAGGGGAGAGGGAGAGAGAGACAGAGAGGCAACCGCTAGCAAGCGACCTAGGTAGGTACCTTAAGGTACTCCGTACTAGTAGTAAGTATAAGAAGCTCACGGACGAATACCAAATCACAAATCCGTTTGGGAGGGCAATGGCTTCGGAGCGACAGCCGAGGTAGCATATGCAAGCCTGCTTCTAGTTGGATCGAAAATCATTGTAGACGGTGGGAAGTTGAGCATGACGATTGGCAAATCCTAGACGCATACAGAAGAGAAGAGGAGAAATAATATGTTTTTTTGTTTTTTTTTAAAAAAAAAAAAGAAAGCGAATTTTCGCTCCAACCTGACAGGTTGGAGAAGCTGGTAGCCGAGGGCATGGGTGTGCCGGCCGGATGGGCCAGCGGGCGTCAGGCGGTTCATCCCACTGACCAGGATGGCTCGCGGTGGTGGTCTGATCTCACTATCTTACCTGGTGGCTCATGGTAGTTGAGTTATAGCGCTGCAGGTTATAGGGTGGTAGGGTACAATCTATAGGTGATTGGGGATGTCTATCCGCATAATCACGATCCTAGCGTGATCATCGTAACGTTGCTTCTTTGAGGCACTGACAATGTATCACGATCATTGGAGGCCTTATAGAGTAGCTCAACATTAACTTGACGCTGGGAATGGGTCTGGAATCCTGGATCGATCATCGAATACGACCGTGAATGGGACACAGGAATAGGGATGCGCCCACTGGAAAGAGCCCCCATCGGGCTTGTTAAGATAATCCATTATTTTCTCCTAAAGCGGGACACGCAAAGTTACCCGGGATCCTAAGCCAGTGAGCAAGTATCACTTACTCCGCACTCGTATGCTGCATGCAAGACGGCAAGTAACAGGGACCGACAAAAGGATTTTAGATTAGAATCGATTGCTAAAGTGTAACCCCCCCTTGGGTCGTCGTCTCTAATACTAGTCGGAGTTAGCAATGACCCAGTTCGTACTCCTCTTCCGAAGGCAGGACGGAGTATGGCGACTGAACTAGTGAGCTTGTTAGAGCGAATCTCAAGTTCTCGACAGCGGCGTTAGTTTCCGCTTAGTGTCGCTCCACCCAGCGTTTGTCATCCATGTCGGGACATGTGGCCGCTTTCCACTGCATGGGGATCGAGGGTGTTGCATTCAGATCGGGCGATTCCTCGTTGTGTCCTTCTTTGTGCCTATCAAATACGGAGATTACGGGTTGTCCGACTGAGTTTCTATGGTTGAGTTCTGCACAGACAGTTGCGATCTGAGCCCTCGGCTTAATCCCGTGGAGATGCTGAGGCGCAGGTAGACAAGACCAAGGAAAGAGGAATTCAAAAGCAGGAAAGGGAAATTAGAAATAAAAATAATAATAATAATAAAAGAAAGGATCTCGAGAAAGACTACTACCACCACTATCACCGAAGATCCCACAGCCCCCAATCGAACAAACACCGTTCGGCATTTGCATTGGATCCAATGTGACCGGATGGTCGTCCCGAAAACTGGATATTGTTTCATACTACTACATCCAGCAGAAGAAAGGGCATGGGGAGCTGTTTGCCATTTCATTTGTATTGAGCATCTTGTTGAGTCATAACCATGGGGGGAAATGCCAATAGTTGAAGAACAGGACGTTGGTATCAAGTTCATGATCCACATCTGCGAAATATCACCGGTGATGTCGGGTAAGTCAAGTCACCGTAACTAGTGTTTCTCCGTCCAATCATGGAGCAGCGGCATATTGTCAGTGCTACTAGTAGTAGTAGTATCGGGGTTCTTCCTGACAAGACGGCAGTAAGGTAGTTTGATCGTCTGTACGAAGTACATACCTCATATTGGTGGAAGATAGGAAGGGTAATAGATTAATAGATAGACAAGGGAAAGTTCAGTAACATCAGGGCCCTGAAAGAGGCAGAGACGCGAGGGGAAGGAAAGGAAGAAAACAAAAAAGAATATACAATATAATAATAATTAAAAAATAAAATAAAAAGATAAAACAAAGTAGCTTCTGGATGGATCGTCATTTGAGGATCCATACAAGTTCAAACCAACCACTTAACCGGTTGTTCCGCTGCACTTGCTACGCTAACTGACGTCCACCACCTCACCTCTATTCATGATCATTGATCATTACTTTCTCTTGATTAACCCTATTAGACTGGTGGTTCTGAGTAAGTTGAGTTCCTTTCTTGGTATATCACGCTCAGTCTTTTAAATAACAAGATCTTGAAATTTTTTGAAAAAAAAAAATATACTATATTTATTCTTATTCATATTCTAATTTTTTATTTTTTTTGTTGGTCATCACCCATCGGCTGCAGATTCTCATTATTGACATTTGAACCAGGGCCGAATTTCATTAGTTTCTACTTCATGTGCAGGTCATTTCATTTTTCCTTTTTTTTTTTGCCCTTCTCTCTTCTTCTCTCCCCACCCACAAACTCCATTCCCGCATCGTCCTATGACAGCCCCGTTGTAAGTAAGTCCACTGACCGTATTTCTTTTATTGGTTTGTGTGCTATTCAACTTGCCCATAATTTCTTATTTTTTTAACCCTCTGATCGGCTGCATTCCATGGATTACCTTCTTTCAAGGCTTCTGACTGGAGCAAACCGCGACTAGTGGTTTGTTTCTACCAACAAGACCCTATTAGTTTCACCACTAGCTAGTATTCCACTACTAAAGAAATCAAAACCCCGCGCTGTCCACCGATCCTCAATCAACCACGAAGAAGCTTCTCCCCACGAATGTGTCGGTGATATTAAATTCCCTTATTAAACCCAGATCGTCGTCCGACCCTATTCCAATTTCTCCTCGCTAGGTTCCTCGGATCCCTGTCATCTTTCCATCTTATTCCCGTTAGTATCTACTATTTTTTTTGAGCATCATTGATCTCACCCACCGCCTCCCCTTGACAGGGCAATAAAAGTAGCTTCCATCGCATCATTTCCTGCTACTACTACTACTTCATTCTACATATCCGCATACACACCTCAGGCACGTGTATGCACAGTTGTCGTAAACGAGACGTCAGAAGGTCTGAGCCCTTTTTTTCTTTCTTCCTTTTTGATTAGCATTGTTACTATATTTTTGCTCAAGTCCTATCCTTATCTTAATTGTTGTTTTGTGACGATGATAAATCAAACTGCCATGTCCTCCCCTGCTTCCCTTTTGATTTATTTATGGGTTTAGAATGGTTTTTTGTGTTTGATCTTCTATCACCCACCTTTCTGCTTTGATATAGAGTTATTAATTACCCACCTTTACAAAAACAAAAACAAAAAAAACCACAAAATCACCCCCTTGGAATCTTCGACCACTTTTCTTTCCACCAGAAGGGCACAGTGCCAGTAACTCTACCATTGGAGTTAACCCTTCAATCATTGGTCTTGGGTGGAATCCTTTCCCGATTTAACTTTCACTATCATTCGTTCTCGCTCCCATCCTTGTGACCATCACGAGGGGACAGACCATCGATCTAGAGGTCGTTCTGTCGAGTCGGTGGTTCATCAGAGAACGGTTGGATGTCACATCTGTGATATATGTGTGTGTGTGTGTGTGTGTGTCTGTGTTTAACTCTCGGGTTTACACACTGCTGGGGACCTAATCGTCAACTGCCTTTTCCGTCATCCATGCCGTCATTCCCTACCCTTCTTATCCATCCTCGTGCCCTCCTCATTGGCCTCTCTCGTTCGGCCTGGGATCTAGTTGTCCACTCTTGATGCTTTGTTACACAACCATCCACTCCGTGTGCGGCTGTGATTATTGTTCCTCCTCTCTATGATCACTTGCCTGTATCCCCCCCGTTATTGGTGCATCTGATTTTTTAGATCGTACCAGTTGCTTGGAATTCCTTCCTTACAAGCCGTTGCCTGGTCTGTGCGCTAAGATAGTAATGAGTAGGTTGTTGTCATCGTCGACGATCCGCCGAGCTGGTCCGGTCCAAATCCTCTCTGGGGCATAAGGCGCAGCAGGGGGCACAACTACCTTGCTTGGAAGATGCTTCTTTGTCTTGTGCGTATCTCGCTATGATCGTTGATGTTCCCTGTTGTTTTGAAGCAGGCTGACACTGTCGGATGTCATTAAAGACATCAAATTACTTGTGAATCTGCACCTGGAAGGTCCTTGAGGCTCAAAACTTCCCTGAATTTTATATGCGATGTCCTTGGCGGATGTCCCTTGGAATCACCCCGGTCTTCTGAATCATCCTCTCCCTGCTAGACAAGGCTCCACAACCAACTTATATCACCACCACGCTCCCCATTCATCAGCTTTTTTCAACCCCGGGTATTCCCATCTACCCAGTGCCGTACATCCTGGAAATTCCGCTTTCTTCAACATGAACACCCTCTCCACAGAAGAAATGGAGCGGTTCCAGAAATTGTCCAACGAGTTTGAACCGGATATCCAGGTAAGTCCTGCTGAGTCCAAAACTGACCATGCAGCGTAACTAACGCTAAATCAAGGGCCCTCTAGTGTCAACAAAACAACCAAGCACTGCGATCGCCATGGACTATGCGAGTGCTGATCCTACTTTTGTCGCAAAAACCAGCGTATGTGACTGCTCCTTGGAGTCCCTACGGAGCTACCGAATGCTAAATATCCCAACCATAGGCGCTTGCAGTAACCCACCCATTCTCCCGTATCATGAAAGGGGACGGCAACTGTGGCTGGCGAGGTGATGATCCTCGCATTTGAGATCTTGTACCACGCTGACTCACTTGATGCAGCTGTCGCATTCGGATATTTCGAGAATCTTTTCAACCTGCGCGACACGCTCCGACTGCGCCATGAGCTGGATCGGATCAAGTCGTTGAATTCGCTCCTTGATCAGGTTGGCCAGCAGGAGCAACTATATGATATTTTCGTGGATGCGACAGAAGAGCTCTTTAATCAAATATCAGACGCGATACAGAACGGCATCCGCGATGACTCCTTTCTTGTAGACGCTTTCAACAACGAATACAATTCGAATGCCATCATAACGCATTTCAGAGTCAGTAGCAACCCTTAAGTGCTGTCCTACTTCCTCCCTTGTGAACACCAGACGCTCGGAGCTTGTTTGGCCAACGATGATTGACTTTTGCGAACACAATAGCTTCTGACAAGTGCATGGATGAAACTCAACCCTCACCGTTACCAAGCTTTTCTCTCGCTGCCCTTGGACCAGTATTGCGCAACTCGAATCGACACGGTCAGAACGGAGATTGACGAAGTCGGCCTCCAAGCTTTGGTTGACGGTGTGATCGAGCGAGCTGGATTCGCTGTTGAGATCTTATACCTCGACCGCAGCGAAGGCGATGCAGTGACTCCTCACATGTTGACCCCCTCCCGGCCAAGTGTTGTGACCATTCGTCTACTATATCGCCCGTGAGTCGAAGCTTTGATAATGACCCTTTTCAAGGCCCACCAGATGCGCTAATATCTTATACAGGGGTCACTATGACTTGCTCTACCAGGCTGAACCTACTGTGAATATGGAACCTGTGGTTAATTATCAATACGCGATGACTTCAAACTACACCCCCTGGGACCAAGGCGCGCTCTCATTCGATGTAAATTCGAGTCTAATGTCAATTCCGAATCTCATGATGGATCCAACTTTTGGGCTTGGTCCCCCGATCCCTGCAGCACCGGCCAGTCCATTCGAAATCTCGTCGGCTCCTGATGTCTATCAAACTCCCATGCACACCTCGCCGCCTGTCCCTGTGGCATCACCGCCACCTCCTCGGATGTCAGCACCTCCGCCTATGAGCTCTTTACCCAGCCGCTCGTCCGATGGGCCACAGATTCGGCTAAATCCGCTGGTTATGAAGCCTAATCTAAGCCATTCTCTTCCAGTCACGACACCATTTAAAAAGTATGTCCGCTCCGTTGCAGACCTTCAAATGACGGGCACTAATATTTGGGTAGCTCTCCCTATAATCAAGCTCATTTCCAGAACCAAGACTTTGAGCCAATTCATTGGGAACCTAGTGAATCTCGCAAATGATTCTCGATTATGTTCCTAGTTCTGATACTTCAATACCCAAAATTCGGGTCACTACGGAGCATCACGTCCAGATCTTTCTCTCTTATGATTAGCAATCAATGACCTCATACTACGCTCGTTGACTAGCTCCTACTCTGAACAGCGCTCTATCAAGGGAAGGCTGCTATTATCGCCACTCTCTCCACGGAGGATTTTTGGACTGTGTCATTTGCTTTCGGTACAATCGAGAGTTCACACCTCCACTCGCTTCCTTCTCTCTTTTCTTCATCTATTAACCTGTCTGTAAGTCTGTTGCTTAGCGTCTGTCTTACGCGTTGCATGGGTATGAGCGTGATTTCCAAGTTTTGCGTTTCAGATCATTACAACAGATATTATCTGGGTGGAGGCTATTTATTAAAATCTGTCTCTTTAATGAACGAAAACGCTCCTGCCCTCATGTTTGACAAGGGGGCTTCTACCAACCTGTATGACCTTTCCACTTATAAACCAAATTGGAGTTTGGTTATAATTGCTCCGAGGCAGTAAACTGGCGCATCTCTTCAGGCTGAACTCTTAATGAGATCAGGTGAAACATTCCCCAATTGCCCTAGGCGTAATCTTAACCTCAGATGTATCACATGAGGTTTCTGCAGCTGGACTTACCTAACCTTACTGGTCTCCATCTTGTTGGGTTTTCCAAGTACTAGGCTTTCCGTTCCAGCATAACCTCAGGACTCCTGTCATAATTTACTTTTTACCGTGATACATGTACAAGCTTAAGGGAGACCATAAACTCATTCCATCATACCACCGATATTGCAAGCATAATGCGGAGGGAATTCGGGAGCAATTCGGTGGCAAACTTTAGGTTAATACAGCTTTGAGCTTCGTGATGATTATATTTCTGGGATCTTCTAGATACAACCGGGATGTTGGAGGTGGCCCAAGGAGATCTGAATTTATTATTTACTCCCGAGGCTGTAAGAGGTAACTAGGATACCGGGCTTGCCCAAGCCACTGACTATAGAAGCTGTTGAAGGTCTACAGATGACGATGGAAGGAATCCAATATCTGAGGAGTCTTTGGCGCCATATTTCAATTGCTAGAGGATGGCATACTCTCAAACATCTTCGGGTATGCAAGTCTAGATATTTGAAAGAATCAGGCGTTAACTAGTTATAGGAATATGACCTGTAAGAGTTATGCCTGTCAGTGGCTGAGTTCAGTTCGTACATGTCTAGATGGGCAATTGACACTGAACTGGGTTCCCAAGGGGATTTTTATTTGTTCTCTAACAGTGAAAGTGACTGGACAGAGCCCTAGCTTACGCGATAGTAAAGACGGTCTACTACTAGTATCGGGGACACTAACGCGCGATTCTAGATGTCGGACGATTTGCTCCTTGTAGGCCCACGTCTTTGGTTGACAAGATAAGCAGGTTTTCGGGACCAAAGTTCCCTCCAGTTGGTTTAGATGGACATTACAATTGTACGTAGGAGCTTGTCTAATAGGACAATGCTCAGAAAGGTTGATCGACGGCTCTTTTCATTTGGTTACTCAACCCGACCTAATTTATTGCATAGGTGAAGTCCTACTCAGCCTTCATGCAGATTTCAATACTGTATTGTTCTTGATAGTATTACATTACTGTTACGGACCCGCGCCTAGTGGGCTCTAAATTAGAGTTTCAACTTGGTGTTTGATCTGAGCTGACTCAGCCGCTCTTCGGGCCGCAGATAAAACGATTTAATCCCACCTTGCCTTACCTTCTTCCTTTTCAATCTCACCATCACCTTTGTCCTGCACGAAGGACTGAAGCTATCTTTTTCTATCTTTTTGGCAAGACCCCCACGGGCCTGAGAGAGGCCCGTCCGCGCTATACAATCATGTCCACCGCAGTGTCTTCCACCGCGGCATGCTATAGGCTTGCAGCATTCTTCTACTTCCAGCCGCAGCAACAGTAGTCACGATTCCCTTCAAAACCACCTTCACCCCGCAGACCTCTATTTGCAATCTTACGATTCGCTGTACCACACCAATCCTCATTCCTACTCTCCGCAGTCGTCCCTAGAATCACAATTCAACCCATCCGGTGATGAGTTCACTGGCCTCGAATCCTGGGACACTTGGGCTACGCTCGATGCCGGTTATTATCAGCCATCGATAGCCAGTTCGACTTCTCTCTATCCGACACCTGTTATAGATTCACTGCCTACTCCTGTCAATAATGATCTCACTTCGATCCTGGAACTTCATGACTCTCAAGAATTCCTCCAATCCCTTGATGCCGGTCTAACATGTCCTGAAGGTTCGTCCAAGATTTTTTGGATTGCACTATATTATGTATCTAACCAACCTCAGATTACTGCCCTGAGCCCGCCACCACTTTGCCGCCTCCACCTGCAACCATGACATCGTCTCCCAGCTCATCGTCTCCTTCCAGCGACTCTCTCCCTACTCCATCAGTTTCTGGCCCTGCAAAATCCACAAGCGCCTCTCGCATTGAGAAGCGCCAGCAGAACACACTGGCTGCTCGCCGATATCGACAAAGGCGAGTGGATCAGTTGAAGAGTTTGGAAGAGGAGCTGCGCAAGGTGAAAGAGGAGCGTGATGCACTAAAGATGCGCGTCTCTAAGTTGGAAGGTGAAACGGAAGCCCTAAGATGTCTTGTCGGGCGGGAAAAGAAATAGTGACATATTGCTCCATGTTCTATATCTCTGGATATGTAGATCAGTGACATTATAATTGAGAGGAATCTTGCCGTCATAGTTCGTCCATTTAGTGACCCCGTAAGAAATAATACCTGTAAGGATTACATAGTAAGCAAATTAGATAATCCAAGCGTTGCAACGCAAAAGTATGAGAAAATTGTAAGTGGGGCTCTGACGATGTCGACAGATAAATTTAATCCTTCATGCGTCGGATATAGAATCTTTCAGAGATGGACTTCTCTTCATACCCGTAAAAGTGTGGAGTGCAAACTAGGGGGTATCAAAGTGGATTCAAACTGACCCTGTCAATCAAGGTTCCATGGATCGCCCCGAGGGGTAACAAATACCATACTCAGTATGTGTATGACATTTCAGTACCGTACGTGATATCAGTGATAGTACACTTGGCATCAACGTCTTAACCCATCTTGCCAATAAATCGGATTCTAATTAAGATAACTCGTTTTTCTGGTGTATTTTATTTCGGCCTCTACTTCAGAAAAGCCATACACCTTTTTATACTAGAAAGTCACTATCATATCATGTATATATGATGCTCCTTGTATCGACACTGTATGCAACTTGCATACAGTATGATTACAGCCGCCATCATTCGCTAGTAATAATGAGCGAGAATGACTCATGAGGACGGGCTCCGATTGGACAATCAGACCCATACTCAGGGTCGATTGTACACAAGTCCGCAAACATCTGATGACCTGATTTTACAGAGGGATGGAAGATGTTTGCCAAGGGATAAGTCCAATATGAAGTTATTGATGGGTTACTAATATTCACAAGATGAACGAATGTGTCATGCCATGTGATATCATCCCGACATTCTGCCAAGTTCACTTTCTCGGGCTATTGTATGTGACTTGATCGAGAAAGCGAATGGAGGGCCTCGCCGACTCGTTGATGCTTGAGTTTGGCTTGTAAAAGCCCATCAAGCTGCAAACTAAATAATGTGCATGCATATCATTCACTGATATGAAGGTCGATTGTCCATCGACGCCAACCTGCATTTGTCGACTGGCAAGTCAAAGTATACAATGGACTTATCGCTTTATTCATAATCAAAACTGTCTAAACGAGGTCACTCCATATTTGGTCTTTACGATCCCGCTTTACAGAGCTATGCGTCACAGCATAATCATCCAGGAAACTTTGTAGGACAAGGTCTTTCAATACTAATATCCTTCACCATAGGGTCTCTTTGACGTCTACCGAAACTTTTTGACATCGGGCTATGGCCGACCGGACCGTCCCATCTTCCCGAATAGCTCGTGCAATACAACCAAGTCAGTGACAAGGAATCCTTCCCCTCGTCGAGGGGAATTTGAAACTCTTTTTGAAAACTTATGTTACACTTTGTGTCTCCAACGACCCCAATGGTTTGATTTACAGGCTGTACAACAAAGAGCAATATCCAACCTCAGACATCCCGATGATGAGCGGGTCGGAATTCCGCCGTCTTGAGTGGCCGAAGCAGCCGAGAGAAGGAGATCGACATTTAACCTTTCCCCGCATTTTAGCATCTCATGATGTCGTCCGCCGTTTGCTTAATGCACTCATTGGTCGGAACACTGCCCTCCGTTGCCCTTATAGATGATATTCAGACTGGGACGGAGCACTGTCGTGCGATCAACCTCACTCACCCCTCGGAGGTCGACCGAAAACAATCGAGAGAACCGATGGTATATAGAGCGTTGTTGTGTCTACCGCACTACTTCATTATGTGACACTATACAATGCGCTGAACCGCAGAAATGGAATCAACAGTTATAGACCACCCCCCTGGAGGGGGTTTTGCCCTCATCTACCAGAATCCCTATTTACTGGGCGTCGCTTCGGTGAGCGCATACAAGTATAGCTATTTGCAAAGGCGACTGACCGTGATATCGGCTGTAGTTCTCAACTCTGGGAGGTCTCCTCTTCGGATATGATCAGGGCGTGGTGTCGGGGGTCATCACAATGGAGTCCTTTGGAGCTCGATTTCCTCGAATATACACCGACAGTGGCTTCAAAGGATGGTTTGTGTCGACACTACTCCTCGGTATGCGTTCTCAATCTCGGCTCTTGATTCCGAACAGAGAATAGCTTACATAGGATAGCTGCATGGTTCGGATCCCTAATCAACGGCCCAATCGCCGATCGACTGGGCCGGAAACTGTCCATGAATGTCGCCGTCGTCATCTTCGTGATAGGATCAGCTATTCAATGCGGCGCCGTGAACATCCCAATGCTCTTCGTCGGTACGTGGCATGCACGCATAGAGCCTTCAGTAATACTGAAACCAGCACAGGGCGTGCAATTGCCGGTCTAGCCGTTGGTCAACTAACCATGATCGTGCCGCTCTACATCTCAGAGGTATAGCACCTCAACCCACACCGCAAAATATCCCAAAGTCTCACCCCATCCAGGTCTCCATCCCCGAAATCCGTGGGGGGCTTGTCGTCCTCCAACAACGTAAGCCCCACCCCCTCAACACAAACTACCAGCATATTAACAACCCCGAAAACAGTCTCAATAACAATCGGCATCCTAATCAGCTACTGGATCGACTACGGCACAAATTACATAGGCGGCACACGCTGCGCCCCCAACACCCCCTACACAGGCCCCACAAAGACCACAGCCACCTTCAATCCCTACACAGACGTCCCCCCCGGCGGCTGCACAGGACAATCCGAAGCCTCCTGGCGCCTCCCATTCGCTCTCCAAATCCTCCCAGCCCTCATCCTAGGCCTCGGCATAATCTTCTTCCCCGACTCCCCCCGCTGGCTGGCAATGAAAGAACGCGATGACGAAGCCCTAACAGCGCTCTCCAAGCTCCGTCGCCAGGCCAGAGACAGTCCCGCACTGGTAAACGAGTTCCTCGAGATCAAGGCGTCAATTATGCTAGAGAACACCTTCGCCCGGGACCATTTCCCGGACTTGTCTGGCTTCCGGCTCCATGCTGCGCAGTATGTGTCGTTCTTGACGACGTGGGCGCGGTTCAAGAGGTTGGCTATCGGGTGCTGTGTGATGTTTTTTCAGCAGTTTATGGGGTGTAATGCCATGATTTATTACGCCCCAACGATCTTTGCGCAGTTGGGTCTCGATGGGAATACTGTATGTGATGTTTATGCTCTTGGTTTTGGTGTTGACTTGGCTGGGCTCTTTCTGACATGACTAGACTTCTCTTCTTGCGACGGGGGTGTACGGCATCGTTAATTGCCTCAGTACTCTTCCGGCGCTTTTCTTGATTGATAAGATCGGTCGTCGGATTCTACTCATGTCTGGTGCTGTCGGGACTTGTATCTCACTGGTGATTGTGGGTGCGCTTATTGGGGCGTATGGATCCGATTTGGTCAAACATAAATCCGCTGGGTGGGCAGGTATTGCCTTCATTTATATTTACGATATCAACTTTTCCTACTCTTTTGGTTGGTTTACCCTTACATGTTTCCTTTGGTGTTGTGAAAGAGTCAATTGCTGACTAGGTACAATATAGCTCCCATTGGATGGGTCCTGCCCTCAGAGATCTTCAACCTTTCTATTCGCTCTAAGGCCATTTCAATCACAACGTCGGCGACTTGGATGTGCAATTTGTGCGTTGATTTAATCTTCTTCGGGAATTCCGTGTTGATCGTTGGCTGACATCGCATGCTAGTATCATCGGATTGATCACCCCCGATATGCTCGAGTCAATCACGTGGGGTACATATATCTTCTTTGCGGCATTCTGTCTCCTTGCGTTGGCATTCACTTTCTTCTGTATTCCGGAGACTCGTGGAAAGGTTCGTGGCCCATGGTTTTTATAACTGAACACCAATATCTGTCCTGTACTAACGGAAGCCCATTATCAGACATTGGAGGATATGGATCTTATCTTCGGGGACACAGCAGCCCACGAAGAGAAACAACGTATTGTTCAGATTGAGGCCGAGCTCCGTGGTACGCAGGGGCCCAATAAGGACACCTTAGTGAAGCCCTCTGTACAACAGGAAGAGTACGTTTGAGGCCCTCACCCTCAACAAGTGCCTCGCACAGAACGGTGCACGCTTTCAACATTGTTTGTCCGGGATCGGTAAACACCACGATTATGTCGCTATAGTAATCGTGGAAGAATTTTACCTATTTATATACGATACAATCGTTCCCCAGGGTACTGTCTACGGTCCTGGTGACCACCGTATCGTAACCGTCGCTCATTCAAGGAAACTCGGCCTGTGGTGTGTAATTGACCCAATCAGAAAAGTCCATCCCGCCTAAGTTCAGTTCCTGGTCGACATCCGGAAACATAGCACCGAAGGCCGGGTCGTTAAACAGCTGGTCAGGAAACTGCATCAAAATAGGCGGCTGACCTGGTGGCCTATCAGCAGTAGCACTGGTGTATGCAGGCGAGCAAAGCCGATTAATGACTTGCAGACAACGAGCTGCAAGCCGGTTACTACTCAGTGAGGGATGCAATAAGAGGTTTTTAGTAGCTTCGATGTCCTGAAGCCAAGCTGGGGCATCTGTGCTGGTAGGGTCTGTCATAAGCAAGATGATAGGGATGACACCAGCTTGAAACAAGAAGTAGAGCATATACCATGCTCCTATTCTCGTGCAGAGATAGTTGCTCATGAAATCGCTGATTGAGGAGATGGTCAACCGCGCATTTCGAAGACACAGCATTCTACATTCGGCTTCAAGAGGATCTTCCGGTTCATTAGATGAACTAGGTGTCCATCGCCTTGAAGCCCAGCGAAGGAGGATTGGTCTATACAGAAGAACCCGGAGGTTCCAGTGTCGCCACATAAGCCGGTTTCGAACCAAAGCAAAAGGATCGGATTCCGATGTAAAGCTTGGCTGCTTGAAATAATCGGGAAGACCGTTGTACCATTCCTCCAACGGTTTTTGGAGACTTCGTGTCTCTTCAGGGGTAAGAGGCGGCGTGGAGATGAGGCGCTGGTAGACGCTGTTTGTGAGCAGATGGAATCTAGCCTGAGCGATCATTCCGGAGTAAATAGTTGGACCGTTGACTTCTGGGGGCAGTGTTGTCGTTGACGCGGTCAGGGCCTATTTGTCATTGTTAGAAAATGTTCATGCATAGGTCGCAAGAACCCTTACATCATCCTGGATATTGAGAACAGGCTTTGCGTCCATGACACTCTCCTCGGGAAGAAGAATTGGTCGACCGAACGTCTTCGCAGCACCGCTATCAAAGATAAAGACTCCCCACCACAATCTTCTCCTCATCTCTTTCTGAAGAAGACTTATTTTCCAGCCTGGGAATTCCTTGTGGAGACCAAGACTCATAGCCATTCTAACGGCCAAGCCTAGAAAGTTCCACCCAGTATTCGGCTTGTTTCTCTTCTGCGCGTAGTTACTCAAAAGCAGCAATGCCTGAACGAGAGTAAGGTTGCCGGTTTCGAATACTGACACTCGTTGCAAGTGACCTCTGGCTTCCTGGTAGAAAGTAATATCCAGGTCTGAGTTATCGTCTCCAACACTCCACGCCCCCAATGCTAGAATGGTGTTCAAGAGTATTTGCCACGCCTGCCCATGTCGGCGAGTTGCTTGTTCATAGAATTGAGCTCTGAAGGTGGCCTCATGCACAAAAGGATAGCTCCGGTGGTAGTTCAAGAAGAATGCATCTATAAAGGCTTGTTCAATCACACCAGATGGCGCGGTGTTCAGAAGCTGAGACTTCAAAGGTACTCCTTCCGGGCCAGCGTTTGGTTTTGCTGATCCTACCGGAAAGTTCAAGTCAAATCCGTGCTTCAATAGAGCTCGAAGCGGCACAACACTTGAAGATGCCCCTGCAAGGAAAGTCAGTAAGCAATATAACATAGAACAATGTCAACGGATACCAACCGAAATATCCTGTACCCTCCGGCTTGATAGATAGAGCTGCCATGCCATCCGTCAAATCGCCGACGGTGATTTTGTTTTCAGTCCAATCGAATCCATCAGCCTGTTGCGGAAGGGCTTCCGGAGCAGGTTCCGTCCTGTCGGCTTCAGTTTTAGCAGGAGTGGAATGTCTCGAAGAGGATTTAGACGATGGAGTTGGTTTTGGGCCTTCATGGTCGTGCATAAGTGATCGAACCGTTGCGTCCAGATCACCGCCTGGGAAGAGTCTACCTAGAGCTGTTTCAAAAGCTTGTAGACGGTCTTCCACGTAGGTTAGGTGTCTGAAATGGGGCGTCAGCAAGCAGGACACGCGTCGAGCAAAGGGGGCACATACTGTCGCGTTAGGGGGCTCCGAGTAATTTTCGGACTATATTTGCATTCCTTGTTCAGCTGCCTACATTGCGCACAAGTTGGCTTCTCCTTGGAGCACTGGATTCAGCATTAGTTTCGACTCCATGAATTGGTCCCTCCGTGTGGGAGGCATGTTCTAACCTTGGACTTGCGCAAGCGGCATTCGTCACACTGCACAATGGCCATATTAGCGATTTCATTCTCTTCTTGCACATCGAGGATACTTACAGCATAGGAGTGAGAATCTCGCGTACTGGTCATCTTTATCGATAAGAGTCTGCTTTCCAATATCGGAAGTCTTGTGTACGCTGACAGTTACACAAAACGGGTGTCATCTGCAAGAAACCGTTAGTTATCAGCTATTATACTATATCCGGAGGTATATGTCCAAAAATAAATTGATAGCGTTGGATGATGTAAGGATTTGGCTTGCCATTTTGGGTGTCTGGTTAGAGTCGATTGCAATTTACAAAACTTTAATGTGTTCAGAAGGGAACATAGCAAGATTGACAAGCATTCTGGAGAATCGATATACGAAACAATCTAGGAGCAAAGCAGGGCTATGACGTTGATGGTGGTGGGGTATCCATGAGGGTCGGACATAAAAAAAAAATAAGAGAGGGCAGAACACAGGGACAGACATGAGAGGACATGGGCTCAACTCACGACAGGCATGGAAAGGAATCAATTGTTCATGTCCCTGGGACTGAACTGGAGAGAAGTCAGCGACAGATGTAAACCCCCGAACCCATATACAAGAAGAGAGGAGGGCAATATCTGGCTGATCGGATGAATGCTTCCGCATTGAAGGAATTCACGATGCTGATTGACGCTCCGGGCGATGTGGGGGAAGGCACCAGTCAGGTGACGTGCCCGCCGGGTTGCCTCCCGGAATTTCAGGAACCAACTCCGGAGACTCGAACAGGATTTCTCGAATCTTATGCAGATATTACTTCAAAGTTATATACTCGGGATAGCTATTAAGATGATGGCATCCAGAGTGCGTAAAAATTTGTATAGGAAATGCCCATGAATGCCCATCGCTTCTCTTTTTGAGCTTAAGCTACAACTATATATACTACAGGTACGATAAATACTGGTTCATATGTTTGATGGACCACGTCATGCCCCATATTTCCTCCCCCAATGATGATACAAGTATCCACCTGCCTGAAAACTCTTTTCTTAAAAAATGATGTGATATTTAGGCAAGCACGGATATCGACCGCCTAATCTAGTATGTGAGTCTGTTGGGTATATATGCTTTGAGATCATACATTAAAAGAAAGGCTCCAAGATGTCCAATAAACCTATAATTGACTGGTATACTATAAAAGCTGTAAAATAAGCAAGTATAACAGCATATTCTACTTATATCCGGCGAGAAGTGGGAAGCAAAAGGCAAAGAATGTTGTGGACAAGATGTATATACCTCAGGTATCGTTGATCCGTGATATAAAAGTCTTGGCGTAGCGGAAAGAAGGTCAACCAATCATACAATCAGTTCGGACTTTTCTCTGATACAACGTCATATTTTCAAATCACCACGGAAATCGTACAAAAACAGTCGAAGGTCATTGCTGCGACCGATCCGCTTCTTCGTTTTTACGCCAGAATAAGCCCGCGACCCCTTGCGCCAACGGGACGATCTCTCGACCATGCCCACTCAACCACCCCTCCCACCCCTCCTTGCGCCCTATGTATCACCTCTGCCGCAATCGTCTCTCACAGTCCTATCCTCTGTACTAGGCGCAACGGGGAATTGGCTAGTGTTGCGCTTCCTCTACGCGGCGCTGGGTGCGCCTTCAAATTCTGAAACCGCGTTTGGGCTGAATGGAAGCGATGGGGTGAAGAATAGAAAAGTCGTGCTCGTGAGTTTTCTGCGGGGCTGGGAATTTTGGAGATCCGAAGCGAAAAGACTGGTGAGTTTCTACCCCTCCATGTATATCATTTATTGCAGTTTTCAAGTTTGAAATCTGCAGGCTTTATTGGATGCTTTGAACTTCCTCAAGATAAAAAATTTAATTTCTCAGTACCCGGTCATGAATATTGACAATGTACTAGGGCTTGGACCTTGCACGCCTTACAGACAAGCGCCAATTTGCATTTGTCGATGGGCTATCTGAACTATTCTACAGTCCTACACCCGCCACAGTAGCCCCTCAACCATCATTCCCTAGTACTGCTGCTCCTCGAACAGTCATCCCCGTACGATCCCAGCCGAGCCCTGTACCGGCGCGAACCCCGCACCCTGTCCCGCGGCCGGGCAATACCAGTACAAACCCAGCTTCAAGGGAAATCGGACCAGTCAAACGACTGCACCTATCGGGGAATGGCATCGCAGCTCTCGACAACCTCGAAAGAGACATCGCTACAGTGATCAAACAATTGAAGGCTCCTACACCCGGCGAGGCAGAGGAACCCGAGGTTCTGTTGATCGTCGATCAACCAGATTTGCTGCTTGCAGCTACAGGTCCGAGCAGAGGTATTGGGGCTACGGAGATGGGAGACTGGGTTATGGGATTACAACAGGTACGTGCTAGTCACTGGAGGAGCCACCGTCAGGATGCATGAAGATCCCTGCTAACTAAGCCAGCAGAACGCCCATGCAACGGTCTTGGCACTTTCCTCCGATTCACCGTTGATACATAATGCATCTGCCTCGGCTCTCCAGCCGGCAACACCGCTGGAAACCGAGCATGCAGCGTTCGCTATAGGGTCGGCCCACAGGGCCCAAATGGTCATGCAGCTCCGTAACCTGGAGACCGGTGCCGCTAGGGATGTAAGCGGTGTGTTAAGGGTCAGCAAAGGAGGTGCCTGGGGACAAAACGAGGTGGGTGCGGAGGGCAGCTGGGAGGAGAGAGAAGTATTATACTTCATGCAGAGGGATGGAGGCGTCAGCGTGTTTGGTAGGGGGGAATAGACTGCATAGAAAGTGTCCATATATCAAATACTGGCGTTAAGGCGCATGGAGATAGCAAGGGCCCTGCAACATGACATTGCCGCAATCTCATGGCCCAACTTAACTGATCCGGCTGAAACCGGTCTATAGAGCAGCAGAAAAGCTCTTACGCTGCGGAAAGTGCGTGAACGCGGGTAGACAGATCACATTGGATATTATCTCAATATTGTATCTGCCCGGACATGGGATATTCGCCAGCCATAAACAAGAAAGGAAATTCATGCATGCTTTCCCTTTTGATACTCCCTTTCGAAGACCCCAAGAAATTTTCCGTCTTTCATTTGTCGTCGTTATTCTAGGATAAACATGCTATGACGGCAAAGGAAAGACCATCCCAACACCAACTCCAGGGGAAAGCGTCTTTTTTCGCCTTGCATTGAAACTCGGCTACTTCAAATGCCAGGCCTTATCATACCAGCCCTCTCCAGCCTCCGAGAACGAAAACGCGACGTCGGGATTGATTTACTGGCTCTCGGGGCCACGAGCGCCCTTGGGGGTGCCGGTCTGGAAGCCGTTCTTGAAGCGACGGTGAACCTCCTTGAGGTGCCTCATGCGGCCGGTACCGGTGGTCTTGCGGCGCTTGGCCTTCTCGCTCCAGTTGACTGTTCCAAGAAAATTCGTAAGCCTCACACTCCTCACAATCACATCACATCTCCCAGTAGATCCACGGTCGGCCATGCAAAGGGACAGGACTTAAGGTATAACCCGGGGATTCGTACACTTGCGAGTCTTAGCGGAGGGGTAACCGCAGTTGGCACATGTCGACTTCTGGACGTGGAAAGAGCGGCGGCCTGAATTTTCCAAACGCAAATCCCAATCGGTTAGCTCATCTGAACACCAGCATTCCTCCCGAATTTCCTAGCTGTATCCCCTATAGAGATCGGCAAATCTTGTCGGGCAACAACTCGGAGTGATGAAATACTGACCACAACGCCTGCAGAGAGTGTGAGTCTTGTTGTGGCGCTTGCCAAAGCTGGAGGTACCCTTCGCTGTAATCGGTGTCAGTCTGCAAAGTCCTGTCGGCGTCGAAGCAAATGTTGCTGGTCGGCTAGGATATCGAGATTGTACGTACTCATCTTGAATTATGGAACTGCAGAGCAACACGATAAATGTCAGCAAAAATTGTCCGTCACGAAATCCTGCGCTCCGAAATCATATGGGGGCTAGTGACCTACCTGGCGATTCCGCTGAAGGGCTGGTTGTCGTTGTCGTCGTCGCTAGGCGTATCGGAAGTTGCGCGCTGAGATCTGGGGCGCCTGCCGCTTAGCGAGTGTGTGTCACCAGGGCTTGTGCCCTGGTCCCGTGATTCCGTATCCTCCAAAGGGAACCATCAATCACATGATGTACAATCATCTCCACCCAAGTAGTTGAACTAAGCCTGACATGGTATTAGCGTCGATTTAAGGTATCCTTCCGGGATACCTTGAGTATAGCTAGAGTAGGGATGGACTTTTCAGATAACAGGACAGTATGCTTGAATCTCACATGGTATTTACAAATATTCTTTTTTCCTATTTCCCACCCTATTCTTCCTGATGCCTTTAAAAATAGCCACGTAAGGTAACGAATTATATTATACACTGTTTACTCCGTACAGGGTATTTCATCAAAAGCGCCCCGCGCCCCATATTGAACTGCTGTAAATGACTAAGTAGAATTGATGAAGACTGGGAGGGAGCCATATAGTTTATTGTCCCAGGGTGTCGTTCCCTATGAACCTAGCCATAGGATCATCTGCCGCGAGACGACTTTTCTTATACGATTCTAACTCCTCCTCGGTGATACCAGATTGTACTTCCATCAACGTCCTCTTTTTCGACCTGGTGCTGGAATCCTCTGTTCTTTTGTCGTCAATGCTCTGCTCTTCGTTCGGACGTTCTGTTGCATCTTCAGTTTCTGCTTCAGGCTGTTCGCCTGCCCCACCGTCGGCATCTAGCATCAGCATCTTATCTGCTTCTTCGAATGCCCTCTTCCCATCTTCGCCGGTGCAGTAACTGTTCTTCACCGTGGAGTAACAGCAAGCGTATCCCCATTCAAAGTTGTGCCACCAGCTTCCCCATACGGAAGTGTGGTTGTTGGTGAGGATATCCTCCGGGTACTTTGATTTGGCGGCTTTCTTCGGCGCGCCCTTAATCGCCCCGGTCTCGTCATACTCAACGAACCTCTCGTTTTCAACGACCATGGTATCTCGTAGTGGTGTCGGAGTCAGATGCTCTTCACCGCCATATTTATCTAAAAGTGCTTTACGCTGGGCCTGACGTTTAGCTTCAGTATCTGCCTGTTCTTTCTTCCGCAGGATCTCCCCAGACGTCGGATTTGCTTGCAGGTGAATCTTCTGCCGACCGCTTTCCTGAGCTTCCCAGGCATATTTTTGGGCTTTCTCAAACTCCGCCGCATCGCCGGAAGCGCGAACGAAATTCTCCTCAGCAACAAGAGCTGCGGCCTGGTCTTCCTGAGCGCCCATATCCACCATCCGTCGCGTCTTTGGATCATATTTCGCCGAGTCAAGATCAAGATTGAGCAAGTATTTCGCAGTGTCTTCTCGGATACGTAGATTGCGAGTAGCCGTGCTTTGCTGTCTTCCCATATCGGATTCTTCAGCATACCGTGCCTCCTCTTCCGCACCTCCTTCCTCAGCTTCACCATCTCTAATCTTTTTTTGCCCCGTTATCCGTTTAAGCTTTTCAAGCTCTTCGTACTCTTCTACCACCTGGCGATATTCGCTGGCATCGTAGCCGTTCCATCGATCTCTTTTGGCATCCCATCCCATATCAACGTTCTGCACCACCTCGTCGGCCTGAATATCTTTACCAGTCCACTTCGCACCCTGCTTCCGAGGCCGACTAAGGCACTCCTTTGTTTTGTGGGTCATCGCGCCACAGTTCTCACATGCGCCTTTCCGATACTTGGTCGCAGCTGGACCGGCACGCTTGCCGCGCTCATACCACTTCGACTGCTCTGTGGTCTGCTTCTGCAGACGTTGATGCTCCAGGTAATCATTTGTGGAATCGTCATCTATATAAAACGGCTTCTTTGAGATGAAAGACGGAATATATTCATTGCGCTCCTTCGACGCCACATCGGCGGGTTTTCGCGATGACATTGTGACGGTGTGCCTGGAAAGATGTAATGGACCGGGGGTACTATAGAATTGTCTGTATTGCGATTGTAACCGTGAAGCGAGGGTGAACCTGTTCGGCGGCCTGCACTTTGCCGCGCGAGAACAAGACTGTTGCTTGAGTTTGGAAGATCGTCCGATAGGCCTGATAACGTGCACGTGACCTGGTGTTTTTTGTCCGCGCTTGAGAGGCGCGTAACTTTCAGTGGCTGCCACACGTCATGGTTCCAGCCAACTTCAATTAACTTGACATTCCGGATGGCGACGCCAGTAGCGTGTCAGCACGAGTGACATGAGTTCACTGTATACACGCTGGCCATGTCGCTGACAGCTTGCGCTGTCAAACACGCAACCGATGGAGCCCTTTCAAGTGCGCCTTAATTGCGTGGATCATTACCAAGCCGCCCCATCCGAGTTTGATCCTCCGTTTCCTTACAGGGATCCATCTACCGGAAAATATGATAGACCCAAAGTGCCCGTAATTAGGGTATTCGGTGCTACAGAAACAGGCCAAAAAGTATGCGTCCATGTTCACGGCGCGTTTCCGTACCTGTATGTCCCATACGCCGGTGATTTAACTCCAGAGGAAGGTTTGTCTATCTAGCGTACCTTTGGCAGATAACGATCCAGGCTAAACTGTGTATTTAGTCCGCCGTGCTATTAGGGATCTGCACATCGCAATTGACCATGCCTTGGCATTAAGTTACAATCGCAATGCATATGACAAAAAGGCCGCCTTTGTTGCCCATATTACCTTAGTAAAGGGCGTCCCCTTCTATGGCTATTATGTGGGCTATCGTTTTTTCTTCAAGGTCTATCTTCTTAGCCCTATCTATACGGCAAGACTAGCGGACCTATTACTCCAAGGAGCTATATTGAAGCGGTCTTTACAGCCTTACGAAAGCCACTTACAATACATCCCGCAATGGATGTGTGACTATAGTTTGTACGGCTGTGCGTATATGCAGTGTAGCAAAGTCAAGTTCCGATCTCCAGTACCGGAGTATCTCGAATTGACCAACTTATCGCATCGCTGGCATGATCGATCTATACAACCAGATAATATCTCGGATGCGTCAGAACTTCCGAAGCAAAGTCACTGTCCCCTAGAAGTGGATGTTTGTGTGCAGGATATCTTGAATCGTCTCGAAGTCTGCGAGAGACCCATACATCATGATTTTACAGAGTTTCTGAAACCAGTCGACCAGAATGAGAAACTTGTTACGAGCATGGAAGGGCTGTGGAAGGATGAGACGCGCAGGCGAAAGAAACGCCTAGGAGTAGCTGATCCTGGAAGTAGCCCGTTTGGCCCCGAGGAGCTAGTTTCGCTATCAGCAGCTACAAGGGAGCACTATAGAGGAGAGTGGATCCATGAGGAGGAATATCGTCGGTTGACACTCCGTACAGTCGCCGAGGAAAGGCGTCAACATGGTGATGGGGACGTTAATATCGATGATTATCTCGTACAGGACCCCCTCGGGAAAGATGTCAAGACTGTTCTAGAGAGTGTTGAGGATCTTTATCCAGATAACAATAAGTTCCCGGATTTACAAGCGCCTCAGGATCTCGAAGTAAATGAATCAGCGAACGCAAGCGCTTATACTAATGAAAATGTGGCCTTACCTGTAGCGTCTGATAACGGCTCATACTGTTCAGATGACGATGACATTGCCGATTTTTTCTCTGAAGAAGGTAACGATGAGGAGGAAGGAGATTGTTTTGGCGACCCTCTGGTAGATGCGTTCTCTGATCTACCATTTGAGGAACACCAAGAGCCGAATGCGCCCCTGGCTAGCACTTCTACCGATTATAAGCCGTTCTTTGACCGGACAGAAGGCCCATCAAGCAGACATCGCTTTAATACCTATACACAAGGTAGACCGGAACATATCAATAGCCAGGCGAAGATAAGAGAGGACATACGGAGGGCAGAGAGATCCCTCAAGCGCTCAGAGAGGGAAATAATTGATCATGCCCGATTTAACAAGAGGCCGAAGTACGCCTCGAAAAGTCGTGTCCAAAGTTCGGAACATAATGATGAAGAGTGGGATCAACATGAAGGTGTTCGAGCCGATACTAGTAGTAATGCCAACTTTAAGGATATGGCACGTAGCCATGAACCATTTGGCTCGCCTTCGCCTTCGCAGTCACAGTCTCTTACACAACCAAGGGGTCATCTTAAAGGCAGCGGACTGAACAGCAGGCTTAGTTTTCCAGTCGTTAAGGATCCAAACGACCCTATGACGATCTTGCGCTTCAGCCAGGATGGTGGTTCTTTGAAGGCAACACAGGAGATAGCGGATTTAGCCGAACCCAGTATAGACGCTTCGAAAGATGCGAGCGAAGATAAGAACTCGCTGCCAATGCTAATGTCATCCACAGAAAGAAGGTCTAACGAATCAAGCTATTTTCTGTCAGAGATGGCACCGATGATTTATGAAACATTCAACATACCACAGAACACACGGATATGCTGTTTGCGGCTAACCTGCCCCAGTCCGAGCGAGGTGTCGTCTACCCTTGGCGATTACGGCTATCCGGCTGTTATCTATAACAAAGCCTATTACAGTGACCAGGGTGATGTGCCAGATCGCCCACGGGACTATGCAGGCAGGGAATTCCGCTTACAAGGTAGTGGGATACATTATCTCCCTGACTTTGTTCTTAGCGGGCGGTCATCTGCGATGCTTGGCGAACACACCGCGATACTAAGAGATAGACAAGAGCAAGAGCAAATCGACCAACATCTCAGGAAGCTTACTACCTCTAGAGTCTGGGAGTTCGCCCCCGTGCCGCCAAGCCGCTCCGAAGTTGTACAGTGGTTCGAGAGCAAACAACGGGAACCAAAGACTGAAACTGTGCAGCCAGAGAGGCATTCACACGAACCGAACACCAAGCTTAACTTCCTCTCACAGATCGAGGGCCCAACACAAAATAACGAGTATGGATTTAAGTACTCACAGAAAGGAAGGTCTACTAGTGTCGAGCATCAGACCCAGTATATGAGCATAATGAGCTTAGAAGTTCATGTTAATACGCGTGGTGTACTTGCCCCAAACCCAGAAGAGGATGAGATATCTTGCATCTTCTGGTGTATACAGTCAGATGACGAGGATCTCGATGCTAATAGTCACCTTTCGGGTGTCCGTGTTGGAATGGTCTTTCAGGGTGAAGATGACAAACCCGAAGAAAAGCTTTCTAAGGCTTTGAGAGTCGACCTGGAACATGAGCCAACAGAGCTGGACTTGATAAACAGACTAGTGGATCTTGTCAGGCTGTATGACCCAGATATAATCACCGGGTATGAAGTTCACAACGGTTCTTGGGGATATGTGATCGAGAGAGCTAGAAAGAAGTATGATTTTGACATATGTGATGAGCTATCGAGAGTGAAGTCTCAAGCACATGGCAGGTTTGGTAAGGATGCTGACCGATGGGGATTCAACCACACATCTTCTATTCGGGTGAGCGGACGGCATATGATCAATATCTGGCGCGCTATGAGGAGCGAACTGAACTTGCTCCAATATAGCATGGAGAACGTCGTATTTCATCTATTACATCGACGAATACCTCATTACTCGTTTCGTGATCTCACTGAATGGTACCAAAGTGGAAAGCCTCGCGATCTCATGAAAGTCGTCGACTATTTCGTTTCTCGAGTGCAAATGAATCTTGAGATCCTAGAATCAAACGAGCTAGTACCGAGAATCAGTGAACAGGCGCGACTATTAGGCATCGACTTCTACTCGGTATTTTCTCGAGGTTCTCAATTCAAAGTCGAGTCCTTGATGTTCCGAATCGCAAAGCCCGAGAACTTCCTACTTGTATCGCCGAGCAAGAAACAAGTCGGCCAGCAAAATGCTCTTGAATGCCTCCCATTGGTAATGGAACCCCAAAGTGACTTCTATACCAGTCCTCTTCTAGTCTTAGACTTCCAGTCACTATACCCCAGCATCATGATTGCCTATAACTACTGCTACTCGACCTTCCTGGGACGAGTACATCAATGGAGAGGTCGAGACAAAATGGGATTCACTGAATACCAGAGACAACCACGACTGCTAGAACTATTAAAGGATAAGATCAACATCGCACCAAACGGTATGATGTACGCGAAGCATGAAGTACGCAAATCGCTGCTCGCAAGGATGCTCGCCGAGATCCTGGAGACTCGAGTCATGGTCAAAACCGGAATGAAGATGGACAAGGATGACAAGGCGCTACAACGTCTTCTCAATAACAGACAACTCGCCCTCAAACTAATAGCGAACGTCACATACGGCTACACATCAGCGTCATTCTCAGGGCGAATGCCCTGTTCCGAGATAGCCGACAGCATCGTCCAATCGGGACGAGAAACACTAGAAAAAGCCATTGCCCTGATCCATTCTGTGGAGCGCTGGGGTGCCGAGGTCGTATATGGAGACACAGACAGTCTCTTCGTCTACCTCAAGGGACGCACTCGTGATGAAGCTTTCGATATCGGCGAAGAAATCGCCAAAGCCGTAACAGAAACGAACCCATCGCCAGTAAAACTTAAATTCGAAAAGGTCTACCACCCATGCGTCCTTCTCGCCAAGAAACGCTACGTCGGCTTCAAGTACGAACACAGAGACCAGAAAGAACCCGAGTTCGACGCGAAGGGCATCGAAACAGTCCGACGAGACGGCACACCAGCTGAACAAAAGATTGAAGAAAAGGCACTGAAGCTCCTTTTCCGCACTGCAGATCTAAGTCAAGTGAAACGCTACTTCCAGAAACAGTGTACGAAGATCCTCCAGGGACGAGTCTCCATTCAAGACTTCTGCTTCGCTAGAGAGGTAAAGCTAGGCACGTACAACGAGCGAGGCCTCCCCCCTCCGGGCGCCTTAATCAGCACTAAAAAAATGCTCGAAGATCCTCGTCTAGAACCCCAGTATGGAGAACGAGTGCCTTACGTCGTCGTAGCCGGTGCCCCGGGCTCAAGATTAATCGACCGCTGCGTACCACCAGAGACAGTCCTACATGATGCACAGCTAGAACTCGATGCTGAATATTACATCACAAAAAACATAATCCCACCTCTAGAACGAATATTCAACCTCGTGGGCGCCAATGTCCGTCAATGGTATGATGAAATGCCCAAAGTGCAACGCATTCGCCGAGTAGAAGGAACAGTAACTTCTACCGGCAAGGACGCCAGAAAGACTACTCTTGAATCGTATATGAAGTCTTCTACCTGTATCGTCTGCAAAGCCAAGCTGGAAGATTCTGATGTTCCGGTCTGTGCTGAGTGCATGCGACAGCCGCATATCTCTCTGCTCGACTTGGTTACTCGCCAACGACATGTGGAAAAGAGTGTCTCTGATCTGCTGCGTGTTTGCCGGTCTTGTATGGGTGTTCCGTTTGGCGATGAGGTGAAGTGTGATAGCAAGGACTGTCCTGTTTTCTATTCGAGGACTAGATATGTGGCAAATTGGAGGCATACTAAGGCCGTTTTAAACCCCGTGATCAAGTTATTGCAGGATAAGAGTGAGAGCGAGTTGGAATGGTAGAGTAGTGGTGGGTGACTGCTATTGCACGCTTTACCGAGAAACAAGGCGTTGATCATTAGAGGGAAGGTTTTGTGTTTATCTATGAGCATTTCCTGGGGGCTGGTGGTACGGGCGTTGGATATAACCTAGTTATAATATCGAGTATGCTAATTTGCTCAAGTACTGTATAATAACACCCTCCTATGGTATGGTGGTTCATATTGACGGTGAATCTAGTAATACTCATGTCTCATTCGAATGCAACTCAGAAGTCGTCAGTCTTTCTTCACGCGCGCATTATGCTTTCCTCCTCAGAACCCTAGTAGCTCGTTGAGCTTATCAAGAGCAGTGGGCTTGATATCATCCTCTTCCTCCACAATTTCAACACATCCCTCGCATACAACGTTGGGTGTACTAGTCACGCCCGCGCTCTGAACAACACGCCCACCGCCAGTACTGCCACCTCCACTGGGACTGCTGCTGCGCTGTATGGTGTCAACAGACGTGGTAGGAGTGGTAGTGTCCATGCTCGGCACGACACACCCATCACCGGTACTACTGTCGCTACTCGGAGGTTGACTGCGCTTCGGGATATCAGTAAAGTCCAGCAAGCTGAAACCTGCCTCGATAGGAACGTCTGACGGTGCCGCACTAGTGGAGAAAGCCGGTCCATGCGACTCAGATGTTGAGAGCCCAAAATCAAGAAGTTGCTCCAAAGACTCGATATCATCATTGAAGCTCCGAGGCATAGGGGCAGCTGGGCTTTTACTACAATGAGAGGAGAGAGGAGAGGAAGGGTCAGGGTCAGGATCATCAGTGAACAGACAAAAGGGGTCGTTACCGACAATAGGAATGCACCCTGGTAATTCAAAATGTCCCAGCGCGATCTTCCCTAGAATATGTGGGAAGATCCATGGGAAGCTGATCAGAGGCAACTGGTTTATTTTGGGCGTTGGCTTATGGAAGAATTTGTTGTCTGTCGTTGAGTTTTCAACACGGTACTTGTTAAGCGCATCAGCCATCTCCTTGTTGGTGACGCGGTACATAGCTAGGGCTAGAGGGGCTAGCTGGTCAAAATTGTGGCCACCGACTTTTTCGTAGCATTGTTTTTTGAACGTCTCGCGGAGTGTAGTGGAAATTGCACCGATCTCCTCATGAAATTTATAGTCCTTGCTTGCGTTGGCGTGGCCGAGGACAAATGTAGACCAGATCTCGAACTCCGTTTTTATCTCGTGTTGTGCCATAATTCGGCGCATTGCATCATCGTATTGTCCCTTGAGATTCTTCGCAAATGCGAGTAGGTCGTCAGGGACTTCTATCTCGCTGTTGAGGAGTCGCTTGTCAAATGGCATCTCGAGGCTAGGGACGAAGTCAATTCGCTCAACAGCGTCATACAGCTGGCCTAGGATTTTGTTTGAGCGATAGATCCTGTCTTTGGGCTTGTTAAATTTCTCCATGAAGTGCGGCCACTTCCTAGGCTCAAGGTTGCGTGTCAATATGGCCGGGATACCTGTCTTGTTGTAATCGACTGCGTCGGAATGCAGCTGGGCTAGCCGGATGCACTTCTCTTCGTTGACGCCATCTTCAAGGAAGTCAGCCAAGGCAAGATGGGCATGTGCAATCCTAGGGAGACAGTCATTCTTAATGTATGTGACAAAGAAGGAGGTTATGTCGTTGACCGTCACATCCCTATTAAGATCCTGAGCTTTGTTGCTAGTATACTTCATAGGCTCACGAAACCAGTCCTTGGGCAATAGGTCCTGATCCCAGATAACGATGTAATCATCGCCATCCAAATCTCCGCCTGAGCACATGCTTGATACATCACGATCGCCCGTCTGCGGCAAGACAACCACGTCTTGAAGATGGCGCAACTGGGGAACATTGACTGCTCTCACGACACGGATGTCACCTGGGTGGAGGGAAGGGTTACGAGCTAGGATGCAGACCCCTTCGATCACCTCTGGCTTTTTGCCGGCTCCTGGGCGAGATGTTTGGACAAAAATTTCAGGCAGGGCAGCAGTCTTTTCCTCGATCGAGGCGTCATGCCCCGGAACCTTATCGTGGAAGTACCCCTGGAGAACTCCTGTTTCATCCATGCAACCCAAAAGACATGCTCCTTGGTCGACAGCAATCCTGGCCTTTTCCTTCAAGTATTTAAGATGCCATGCCCTCCACAGTGTCAGAACTGATGTCAAGAAAGGCTCCTTCGATCTCCTGAAACCATCGAGGACCATTTGACTGATTAAGAGGGTCATCTGGTTTGGGTCTACGTATTTTCTGAGCCAGTAGATAGCCTGTGGATCGCTCTCTAATGCTTCATTTAGTCCTCGTAGCATGGTGTGGAGTTTCGCATGGAATAATTGGTCTGGAATACCTAGCGTTGACAATACTATGATGAGCTGTCGGTTCAGTGTAGCCATGGAGAATTGAGACCAACGGACGATTTCCAATCCGTTGTGGATAGCTGCAAATTTGAATTGGCTCTTTCGAATATGCACTTCCTGGCGCTGGGCCTCGGAGGAGACAGCGAGCATTCCCTTGCAGCCGCCCAGACGGAACTGAAATGCAGAGGGAGGCTCTCCTGTTGGCGTTTTTATCTTAAGCTCCGACATGGACATTTGGGCAAGAAACCGCGAGATCCTCCCGACACCATCGGAGAAGTTATAATCGTTACGTTCGACGTCCTCGATCTTAACCACGTCCACAGGGCAACCAGCAATGGCCCGAGTTGTCGAGAAGCATTGTCCCAACCTTGCAGCATGCTTAGCAACATTACGTATGCTGTTGAAGTGTCCCATCCATGCACGGATATTGGCAGCTGTCAGGTTCGGTAAAGGAGCGAAGAAGAAGGCACCATGCTCACGGAATTGGGAATTCCCAAACGCGAGGAATTCGTAGTGTCTATCGCCAATCACAATGCCATTGGTCAATGCTCTCTTGATGCGAGTGAATATTTCATCCATTGTACTGTCAGCCGTGGAATTAATCCGACCTAGTAGCTTCTCGTCCGTAAATCGTACGCGAAGGAAGCGATCTGCATGTTCGATAAAGTGTCTGATGACACGGTTGGAGATGTCCACTGTTGGAGTGTTGTAATAGATGGTGCTTGGTGTGATTCTGGCTGAATGCATATAACAGCAGTAGGGGGGGATCTTCGCTTGAGTCACCCCTTTGATGAACTTCAGGTCGAAGATCTTCATCGGGTCGTAATACACCTGCTGCTTCGCGGAAACATGCTCCAAGAGCTTCACCGCTTGCGTCTCTCCAAGTTCAGACAGTTTGACAGCAAATTCGCGATTCATCGTGAACTCGGAAAGATACCCATTGGAAATACACACCTCGAGTTGATATCGGACCTGGAAGGGCAAATGAACAAAGTTATGGTCGAAGAGATCTTCCAACGAACATGTCTTCTTTGGTGGTTGGGAGTCAGACAAATCTATCCACTTCCAAATGGGCGGATTCATCTCCACGTTCGCGTCCCACTGGGTAAACCGATATGTGTCTTGAAGGGTGACGTTGTAGTCTTTGAGAATATTGCACATAAGCGTCACCTTCCCCTGGATAACAGCATCTCTAGGATACGTTATCTTGAAAGTGTTCCAACGACCTATGAAATTGATCAACCCTAGTCCCAAGTAACGGTAGTAAGGATATACACTCACCTATATCAATCACAGCCTTTGACTTTTTCAGCCCGATGGGAAGAGAAGATAACTCCAATGCATTGCGGACGATATATGTCTGTCGATACCAAGTCTCCGACTCCCTCCATGTATTGCTTTCTTCTGAATGAGTTACATCAATATTATTGATGCGACGATGATAGAGTGGGGGCGAGTCTAGCACTATGAAATGCGATATATCTCCTGTTACATTATCTTGCATCTGGAAAATCTGACTGAGTTGAACGAAGGGGATCTTCAGGCGATATTCCTGAAAAACGCCGCTGGCTGGAGTGGGCTTATAGCCCGGGGTGAAGATGGGAAGCTGGAAGTAAACGAACAGAGCTTTTTGCTTCAGGTTGAGCACTAGTATGGCACGCTCATTATAGCCAGAGCCGACAGAGCGCATTGGAAGCATAGTTGTCTCATTGAACAGCACACCGATATCCATAGACAAGATTGAAATTTTCTACATGAAAAGTCAGAACCCCGAAAAATAGATTCATGGAGGAATACACTTACGGTTTCAACTGGGTATGAGATGCCAGAACGGACCGGACTGGCGATCTGGGGCTCTTCACGGTTAACGTCAAGTGCAATGTTGATGACTGACGCTCGGCCATTGGGAAGCTTAATGGTATATAATCCCTTCCTCCAGAAGTCAGTTTTAGGAGGTGGTCTGTCCAGATATGAGAACAATTAGTAGCTGTACAGTGAGAGTTCAGTGAGTCTTACCTGAAGCGGATTTTCCCTCTAGAGTCTCTGTTGCCATGTGAGTCCTCGAATAGGTCAATAGAAGAGACATAGCCTTCGCTAGAGAATGTTTGCCAAAGAATACGTGTGTTGATTTCCTTCGGGAGGTTGAACAGGTTCACGGCCACGGTATTCCAGAATGTCCATGGGGCCAGCAATAACTGGGCTGGATGTTGTTGTAACCGGGATGAGTTCTGAGGTTGACGTAAGGTACCTTGACTGCGGCGGCCAACGTCTCTCGAGCGACTACCACGACGGTTATGCGACATGGTGGTTAATGATCGCGATGATCGACGGTTGAAAGCAGAAGATGAGGTGGAAGAGGATGAAAGAGAAGAAGGAGAATGTGAATTGGAATGGAATAAATGTCCAGTTGTGTTGTGGTGAAGGCAGCGCTCATTAGTAGTAAGCGGACGATGGGGATTGACACCAGTCTGGTGCGTTGCAACGGAAGAGCTTCTATTTTCACTGGCCTTACTAGTACCTGAGGAAGTGTGAGAGGAAGAAGTCGCCGTTGAAGACCGCTTGTGGTGCTTCTTTCCTTTTCTAGATCTTTGCTTCCTAGATCGTCTCCCATATTCACGTTCACTCAACTGAGATTCCTCAGCTGTTTCTCGCATATCTGCAATTTTTGTTGTTGCCAGTAGTTAGTACTAGTAAGTTACCCCTGTAATAGTTCCTTCCCCAGGCAAATTTAGTTCATCTGTGTGGAAGGAAAGCGCAGATCTTATGAGGTAAAGAAACACACTATTTTGATCAATGAAATCCAAAGAAACAGGGAAGGAAAAAGGAAAACACATTCCATCCACACAGTAAACAAAGACCCCCTACATCTTTAAATAACTTTACTCATTGTTGTGCCATGATAACGCAGCCATCCTAAGTGGGAGCTGACATAGCCCAAAAACCCCCAAAGGGGCCAAGGGGCTTTGATGGAACTTTCGACCTGTCGACTTCCAAGCTGCCAGTGAAGCTCGGTACGTTTGCAAGTTGAATGACAGCCTGAGTTCAATCAACTTTAACAATTTTAGTGGGATATCCTAAGACGAGGATCTTCTCCAGCTGCTACTTCAATCATGTTGTTGTATATGTGATATTTGTAGACACTAGCAACCTGTAATTACTATCTTAATTTATATACACAAGAAAGTATTCCAAAAAGCAAACAAACCATGCCAATATTAGTGCATCATTATTTCATCAAAACCCCACCTGAAGGGTGGACCCATCGGCATCAGGTCTCGGGCTGAGGGTTATGCTCGTCGGTGGCCTGGGAAAGAGAAGTACTGGCGAAAAGAAAATCCTTCGAAAACTCCAGATCCATCTCCAGGTTTACATCCTGGAGATGGTTTTCGTTAGTGTCACCGTAAAATTGGGTGTCTTTGAAAGATCTTCGTCGGCTGGGGTTGGAGTTGGACTTGTTGCTTTCTTGAGAACTGGGCTGGCTATTCTGATCTGTGTCTCCTAGCACAACTCGGTCACGCGATTGCCTAGTACCACCTCTCCGGTAAATTGAATGTCTCGACTTCTCTTCTGTATTATCTTGGGACTCTGCGGGTAACTCAGCCATAGGGAAAGCGGTAATTCTAGATCTCTTCGGACTACGCCCGCAAGAATGGGACATATCGGTCTCAAACGACTGGGCAAGACTGTTGTCGGCTTGCAGGCGTGAATATTCATCCTCGGGGCGCGTTTGTTGTTGTGTCACTGCCGCTTGTGAAGGTCCCAATGTGGCTCTGGACCGTGATTGTTTCTCTGAGGTTGTCGTATTTCCAGTGTCGGGTTTCCAGCCCATCACGGCCATCAGTCGAGTGATATGTTGCTGGGCTTCTGAAAATTCACGTGCTTTGGCTGCTCGCTCATCTCGTAGATGTTGCACCTATATCATAACTAGAGTTAACTGAAGGGGCTAAAACAATAAAAATAAACAAATAAAAGCTCAAGAGACGTCCTTCTCCATACCTTCTTTTCCAAGTACTCTATTCTCTTCTCTCTTGTTTGCAGCTCCTTAGAGGCAGTAGAGGCAGCAGTCTGCATGGTAGCTTGTAACGATACGATCTCTTCTTTTTGTTTCGTGCCCTACATGGCAAGTCAGAACAGTTCTCGAGATCTAGCTGTAATCCAGATGCCTTACCTCTGTAATACTGGCGGATAATTGCACCTCTAGCTGCTCTCTGAGAGTAGCTAACTCTGTCTTGAAATTCAGCTCAGCTTCACGGAGGGCGGATTTGAGATTGTCGGATTCCGAAACCTCTTCGTTTAACTGTAGGCCAAGTTCAGCAGTTGGTTAATAGGTTCAGGCAGTTTCAAGTGTCCTACCTTGCTTTGTAAGGTTTCCATCAAGGTCTCTATATCTTCCTTGGCAGCCCGCAGTCGAGTGACCTCCTCATCCTTTCCCGTTAGCAGTAACCGAGTTTCCTCTATGAATTCACGAAGCTTCGCTATGTCTTGCTCCAAAATCGCACTTTGTTCAATAGCGGCGTCTCTTTCTTTTGACCTAGCATCCAGAATCTGCTGTAACTGGCCGCTCTCTTCCCTCTGTCGATGGGCGTCTTCCTGTAACTGTTCCAGCTGCTCCTCTTTCTCTGCCAAAGAGGCAATCAAGTCCAGCTCTCTTGTTCTTGCATTTTCTCGGTCCTGGTTGGCAGCCTCTCGGGAGTCGCGCCGCTGATCCTCTAGCTCTCCTCGTGCCGCATCAAGGCCTACTGTCAACTCATCAATACGAGCAGATGCAGTTTCAGCATGAGTTTCGAGACAAGACATGTTCTCTTGAAGCTCATTAATTGTCTTGGACGCTTGCTGCAACTGTAATTTCATCTCGTCATTGTGTCGTTTTAGTACCTGTGCTTCGAGCGAGATCTTGTGTCGCTCTTCTTCAACAGCCCTTAAGGGAGCCTCGATACTGCCGCAACGACGTTCAAGATCATGGCATATTTCTGCAACTTTTTGCATCATGCTGTCATGGGATGTGCGTGCGTTTAACATGAGTGTCTCTGATAACCCTACTCTCCAATCATTTCTTGAACTAGGACGTTCATCGCGGATCGTCAGAGATGAGTGCATTCCCCCAAGTTCAAGAGCTTTAATTTTGGAAAATGAACAGGTATTATCGCACATAGGCTTTCTGGCTCTGAGCATAAATGCTCGAAAAGAATCGATGTGGGCCAGGTGGGAAGCTCCTTGATCTGGGCTTTGGGAAAGCGAAGCCTGAAAATACAATGAGAATAGCTCGTAGAGCAATTCGTTCTCTGCCTCGGAAATGAATGTGTAGCATATAGTGGAACTCTGGCACGATGGTAAGTAAGGCCGTCTTGGAAAGCCTTCGATTAGCTCATCGATGGATCCCTTGAGCCGTGTTAAAGTAGCTTCCGCTGCTGTAGAACAGAAGCCGTGTGAGACCACATTTTGTAACCCGAGCACAAGTGATTGTGCCACTCTGATAGTATCCATATTGGCAGCATTCATGGAGCACCTCGGGCTTAATGCGGCAGTCACATAATCCATGATCCTACACATTGCAGTCTGCCCTGGACAGAGCTTAAAGAAATTTAGTTTGGTTTTCAAAGGCGCATTGCTTCAACTTACTACATTCGCCTCCGCTAGCCGTGAAATATATTCCTGCGGTAGTGCTGCCAATATGCGTGTGCTGTTCTCCGACAAGAGCCAGTGCAAAGCAACTTCAGGCAATCCAGATGGCAAGGCGGCCGTTGGGAGGAGAGAAACCAAGAATGTTATACCCTACAAGGATAATTACATGTGAGTATCTTCGATAATCCCTTTTTGTGTCTCGATACATACCAGCATTTGCACTTCAGGATCAGTATTATCCCTCGTAACTTTCTCACAAAGCTTAGCAATCTTGGACGAGTTATTCTGTATCCAAGTCTCTCGCTGACTTCCCTCCACAGTCGCGCATATATCAATTCCTAGTCTGATACTTTCCGCGGCCTGATCGGCCATCAAACTTTGACAGCTCGTTGAGCAAGCAAGGATTACGCGCAGAACAACGAGATCTAACGTTTTCAGGCCGCGTTTTGCGCCAAAGAAATGGTTAATGCTCTGTAACCAGCCTGGAACTTGCTGTGCGCTCTCATCACCTCTAGATACCTTCTGAGAAGATGCGACACGAGCAAAGGTAGCGAGACAGAGGAGGTTGCCCATATGATCATCCAGATCGCGCAGCGTTTTAGTGAGCTCTATTTGGAGGCTAGACATGACCTCTGAGGGGATGCTATGGAGAACTCTCGGTGAGGTCTGCAAACCAGTCATGATCTTGTAAATTGGAAGGATCCTTTCCGCGCAGGGGTTGTCTCCTGTTGTGATAATTAATTGCTTGAGGAAGGGTGCAAGCCGCGCGGGTGGGATAAAATCAGCCGGAAGAGGAGACGACAGGATTGCGGTGCATACGGGTATATACTACTCCAGTCAGCATTTTGAAAGTGGAATATGCAAAGGTCCCATATGATTGATTGAGTGTGAATTTCAAGAGATTCAAAGGCAGACTGACCTCGGTGCCATCATCTTCAATAGCCTTCTGGAGAAATTGGTCCAGGGTACATGGATATCGCCCCAGTAAGCTATCACGAAAAGCAGCTAGTGATGCTACAAAATATGAGCATACATTTGGTAAGAAAAACACATATGAGCCTCTCACTGAATGTGCTAATTAAATGTAAAGCGAAGTTGGAGCGAGACAGGCCGTCTACCAGAACATCAACCAGAGCCCCAACCTGGCACGGTTTATGGAAAGCCCAGGAGCGGAGTGACACAGTAGGTGTATGTTGAACCAAGTCATAAAGGTCCTGGAGTAATTATTAGCTAATGTGACTAGGAAGTACAAGTATAAAGTATGAGGCCCGGTGTACCTGGAGGGAGGGAGCATATGGAGCTGTAATGAGGCGCTCCACCTCGCGCCCAACGAGATCGGCACTGTCTTGCATTGTTCAAACTATTTTCCCATGGGGTAGTCGTCAGTGGGTATCTTAATCTATCCTAGTCAACCACGAGGTCGTTTGTCTGATCCCGGAACACTCCGCCCAGCGTGTTAAGTGGAGAGAAGGAAAACGATGAATGTGTACGGCCGCCGTTGCCCCGCCAACTATCTAATCCGACATTTTACATACATTACTCTGTACACCAGGTGGGTAGAGAACTAGACGCAGTCCCTAAGTAAAGTGAATTAAAGTGAACAAGGATACAGTGTCAAAGTATATTAGCACCTATTCAAAGACATGTGAAATCAGCGATTGAAACAAATTGTAACTTTTTGGTAATTTATTTGTGGGGCCTTGAAGTCGGTATGCTACATACAAATGATACAATGTGCATTTTTATATATTCATTAAATGTGGTTGTCCGTAATTCTTAACGTACCATCAAATTCATTTATCTTCAACCAAGTGGTATATGTACATACCGTCATATCTCAATATCCCAGATACGTTCGTATGATAAGGACAACTTCCCACTAGTAGGTACTAATGCACCTATATGTGGTGGTCCATTGGATCACTCTGTACCTGCCAAGCATTCGAGTGTGGGATGAATTCCGCACTGTCGGACTTCAGTCCGAGAGTTTCAGGAATATGAAGGATGATAACCGAGTTAGCAATGGGCTTTTACAGGCCTCAGTCGTAAATACAAGTTCTTTGCTTACTACCCCAACTCGGCCGATATCCGATCCTACTCCTCATTATTAGTGTCGATGGCGTATGAGCTTACCAGAGCGGGCAGTGAGGCGTATAAAAGCTGTCGCAGCACCTCACCGAGACATAACAAGGGAAATTGCTCTTGAAAATTGGGCATTCTCCAGCTCTCTATTATTCCTATACCCGCGGTTGCTTTTAACTTCAATTCAGAGGCATGCGAGCACTTTCCCGCCTACCACGGGGTTTCCCCGCAAATCCCCGCGTACTCCATCGCCGACCCACACTCCCACAGCCGGAAGTCTGCCAACGCTCGAGGATCGCGCGGTTGAATAGCTCAAGTTCGAGCGGCAATGATCGTGAAAAATGTGGGGATGCTGCAAAACCCGAGCCTTCTGCTGATTCATCAAATCCTTGGACCGCGAGTCGAACGCTCCTTGTCTCTGCCCTGGCCGCCGGATTCAGCTACGCCTACGCAACCTCAAACAATAAGCCCCAACTGGAGAGTCTGAAGCAACCTCAGTATGGGTCCACAGAAGATCTTAAGAAGGTGGGAGCATTCACAGAGTTACTCTCCGATGTGTATGGTAAGGTGTTTACAAGATGTAATTGGCTAATGATGATCCCTGTACAACTAGGCCATTGTCGAATTAAGAGCCAAGTTGGGCGATGAGGCTATTAGCACAGATGAGGACGACCTTCAGGTACACGGATTCTCGGAGTGGTCTAGTGTCAACGCGGACCGGTTCCCTGTTGCTATAGCGTATCCGAAGAGCACGGAGGACGTCGCGGAGATTGCCAAAATTTGTCACAAATACAAAATGCCAATGATTCCCTATTCAGGAGGTTCCAGTCTTGAGGCCAATTTTTCTGCTGTCCATGGCGGCCTAACGATTGATTTTAGCTCAATGAACAAAATACTGGAGCTTCATAAAGACGATATGGATGTGGTCGTCCAACCGTCCATTCAATGGATGGATTTGAACGAAAAAATTAAGGACTCTGGCCTCTTCTTTCCTGTTGATCCCGGCCCTTCAGCGATGATCGGCGGAATGATTGGAACCAATTGCAGTGGGACCAATGCAGTGAGGTATGGTACAATGAAAGATTGGGTCATTAATCTTACAGTTGTTCTTGCAGATGGGCGCATTGTGAAGACGCGCAGACGTCCGCGCAAGACTTCTGCTGGCTACAACTTGACGGGCATGTTCGTAGGGTCTGAGGGAACGCTTGGTATAGTCACCGAGGCGACTCTCAAATTGACACCGATCCCAGAGGAAACTCGTGTCGGCGTCGTCACATTCCCTACAATGCGCGACGCTGCATCTACTGCCATGCTACTGATACGAAAAGGTATCCCTGTGCAGTGTATGGAAATTTTGGACGATGTTCAGATGGACGTTATTAACCGTGCTGGCGGTACGGGGCGAAGTTGGAAAACGCTACCTTCGTTGTTTTTCAAGTTCTCTGGCACAAGCGCTGGTGTTCTCGACAGTGTTAACTTAACCAGAGACCTGGCAAAAGAAAACCACGCCGAATCCTTTGAATTTGCCCGAGATGAGCGGGAGGCGCACGATTTATGGTCGGCACGAAAACAGTCGTTGTGGAGCATGCTAGCGTTAAAAAAGGAAGGCTCGCAAGTATGGTCTACTGATGTCTCAGTGCCGATTTCAAGACTTCCTGATATTATTGGTATGTCCTTGCGTAAAAGAAGGCTTGCTTGTCGTATGCTAAAGACAACAGAAACCACGAAAAAGGAATTGGATGATCTTGGGATTTTCGCCAGTGTCCTCGGCCATATCGGTGACGGAAATTTCCACACATGTATTCTCTATAATCGCAAGGACCCGGAGGAGACAGAGCGCGTAGAGAAGTTTGTTTATGACATGGTGGATCGTGCTCTTGAGATGGAGGGCTCTTGCACTGTAACGTATCCCTTGTTTGATCCACGACGAATGCGTACGACTGACCTCGAAGTAGGGTGAACATGGTGTTGGGCTGGGCAAGAAAAGGTCTCTTCAGAAGGAGCTTGGCCCAGAGACCATTGATGTTATGCGCAGCTTCAAAAAAGCTCTAGATCCGCATTGGCTCTTGAACCCGGGTAAGATTTTCGACTTTGAGGATGAAAGGTGATTTTAGAAACTAGAAGTGCAAAGTTCCCAGACAATCTTCATTGGAATAGAATACTCCATAGGAGACCTATGTATGTACATACCTACCGTTGAGTACTACTACTTACTTAGTAGTAGTAGTTAGTATGGATAGACCTTAGACAAAAAAAATAAACTACAAGTAAAAATAACCCAGCACGCAGTAGTACTAGTACGTATGTACTTGATTGGGGGGACTTAATGGCTTGTCTGTCCAATGGCAATGAAGAGAAAAATCTATCTACTCTTCTTTAGGCTGGGCGGGGGCTGACTCATCATACCGTGGCAAGTGACTAACTCCGAAGCGATATCGCAGTCATACCACAAGTATCCTTCTTTAAGCCCCTCTTTCATAGTTAAGCCGGTGAGTTATTCGTTTCCAATGGATATCAATGGTTGTTTCCCCAATTATTTGGAACTATTGATAATCTCTATATCAATCTCTTGAAATTCTCAGCTTATCAGTGGCGCTAGGTTGGCACTTTGACTCATCTGTTTCGATCACGATGGCATCATATCCTAAGAAGAAGTGCGGTACGAGGAATTAGCTCATGTTTGGTAATGGCACACCATGTTGATGATAAATAGGTGTCCTCGGTGCCACGGGCTCTGTGGGCCAGAGGTTTATTCTCTTGCTCGCCGATCACCCGTTTCTAGAGCTTCATGCCGTCGGTGCATCGGAACGCTCTGCCGGCAAGGCCTACAAGGACGCCGTAAGATGGAAACAGACTACGGCTATGTCTGAGAAGCTCAGCAGCCTTGTTCTCCGGGATTGCAAAGCCTCTCAATTCGCCGATTGTGACCTTGTGTTCTCTGGTCTGAACAGCGATGTCGCTGGTGAAGTTGGTATGTGGGATGCCCTTACTTGGAAGGGTTATTGCTAATCATTATCTTTCTAGAAATGGAGTTCATCAAGGCTGAGATTCCCGTGTTTTCGAACGCAAAGAACTACCGCAAACATCCCTTGGTTCCCCTCGTCGTGCCAACGGTCAACCCTCATCACTTCGATTTGATCCCTCATCAACGGAAAGAATTCGGCTTGAAGAAGGGCTTCCTCGTGTGCAACTCCAACTGTGCGGTCATTGGTATCGTCATCCCCTTCGCAGCTCTCCAGGCCAAATTCGGCCCTGTTGAAGAGGTCGAAGTCTTTACTGAGCAGGCCTTGTCGGGTGCTGGCTACCCCGGTGTACCCAGCATGGACATCCTGGATAACGTTATCCCTTTCATTAGCGGTGAAGAAGACAAGCTCGAGAACGAGGCTCAGAAGATCTTGGGTTCTGTGAATGCAGATGCCACCGCCTTCGAGGAGCAGGCTGGCCTTCGAGTTGGAGCTACTTGCACTCGGGTCCACGTGACCGACGGTCATATGGCGTTTGTTTCGTTGAGATTTAAGAACCGTCCAGCACCGAGCGCCGAACAGGTCGTGCAGGCGCTGAGGGAATACCAGTCCGAGGCGCAGAAATTGGGAGCTCCTTCTGCCCCCAAGGAGGCGATTAGGGTATTCGACGAGGCGGACAGGCCGCAACCAAGACTCGACAGAGACATCTGCGGCGGATACACTGTTAGCGTGGGTCGGGTGCGTGAAGGCGCCCAGGGAGGCTACTTCGACCTCCGCTTTGCTGCTCTCTCACACAACACGGTCATTGGAGCCGCTGGATCTTCGATCATCAATGCTGAGATTGCAGTCCTGAAGGGATACATCTGAAATAAAAGAAAGCATAAGTTTAGATTAGAGTACATAGGTAATTAGAAGGCGTTCGATACCACTCTAAGAAGGAGGTAATTGATACTCCGCAGTAGATGATGCATGGTATCAGTACTAAGTGCTAAGTTACCCCCGTTCTGTCATTATGTAATCAATAGAGTGGAGCAAAAAGAGCGGGCCTAGATCAGGACTAGCGTCGAATTGTACACCCTAGCCCTAATTATCCTAATTAGGACAAGCACAAACTCCACTAAGCGAGTTTTCGTAGTGGTCCGGATATCATTCGACATCTTTCGGCTTCTTCTGGTTTTTCTCCTTCGGACACTTCGACAACTAACCGGGTTCAAGTCGACAAAGCAGTCAAGATGCCTCGCGGACCGTGAGTATACCATTGCAATTTCTCATTGAGATTTCCGATGAACACACCACTCCTCGAAAAACTACGTTTTGAAGGGGGCCGATGGTCACCGTTAAATAGCAGAATCGAAAGAACTCGACTGACAGCGATGTCTACAGTACCAAGCACCAGAAGCGCCTTAGTGCGCCTTCGCACTGGCTCCTGGACAAAATGTCCGGAACCTATGCTCCCAAGGCCTCCCCCGGTCCTCACAAGCTCCGCGACTGCCTTCCCCTCATCGTGTTCATCCGTAACCGTCTCAAGTACGCCCTGAACGGCCGTGAGGTTAAGGCCATCATGATGCAGCGTCTCATCCAGGTCGACGGCAAGGTCCGCACCGACCCTACCTTCCCCGCTGGTTTCATGGACGTCATCGGTATCGAGAAGACCGGCGAGAACTTCCGTCTCATCTACGACACCAAGGGCCGTTTCACCGTCCACCGTATCCAGGCTGAGGAGGCCGAATACAAGCTGTGCAAGGTCAAGCGTGTTCAGCTCGGCAAGGGCGGGATCCCATTCTTGGTTACGCACGATGCGAGAACGTGAGTGCATACTCTCCGCAAGTTCCGCGTCCATCAGTCGTTGGACCAAGCTTTGGTTGATCGGCGGAGGACGAAAGAACTTTAAAGTCATGATGTGACTTGCTGGCGATCAGCAAGGCTCGAGTTGTAGAACTGTATATGCTAACAACTGTAATTACAGCATCCGCTACCCTGACCCTGCCATCAAGGTCAACGACACCGTGAAGGTTGACATTGCCACTGGCAAGATCACTGACTTCGCCCGCTTCGACACTGGTGCTGTCATCATGGTTACCGGTGGTCGTAACATGGGTCGTGTTGGTGTTGTCACTCACCGTGAGCGCCACGATGGAGGTTTCAACATCGTCCACGTCAAGGATGCTGTTGACAACACCTTCGCCACCCGTGAGACCAACGTCTTCGTCATTGGCCAGGAGAAGCCCTGGATCTCCCTCCCCAAGGGCAAGGGTGTCAAGGTACGTTTGCTATCCATTTTATGTGTGTTCTAGGACGCGAGATACTAACGCATCATACAGCTCACCATCGCTGAGGAGCGTGACCGCCGCCGTGCTGCTGCCATTGCCAACTAAATGTATCCTGGTAGGTGACATTAGACACTGCAGCAAAATCAAAAGACTTGAAAAATCCGCTAGAGACGACATCTTGTCTTGCTTTGTGGGCCTGTATGATGCCGGTTATGATTCTTATGATGCGTTTCTAGGAAGAAAAAAAGCTGTCTACAGGACGCATAATGGGGGCTTGGTACTTTCCATTTCCATCTTCCGTAGGGTCAAGCCATAGCAAGCAAAACAGGGACTGACGTCTCGTTTGATATGATACCTCTTAATTAGTCTTGTTCTGAAATGACCTGACATTTGATACCCCTTTCAAGTATTCGCTCGAAGTAGATGTCACCGTCCTTTGACACTCATTGTATGTTTCCATAATGTCGACCCTCTTGCTCTTGGTCCGCGAGGAATAGTCCGAATGGGACGGAATGGCCTGTCGCGCAACGCCCGATTTCCACACCTTTTAGGTAATGGAATCTGGTTTGGTCGATCGCCACTTTACCTCTCACATTGACATGATTCACACGTAAATCTTTCCAACTCAATCTCAAATCTGAGCGGGACAGATTAGATAAAAGAACGACATAGGAGCCGAGCGAACCCCCGTATCACCAATCAGCGTCTGTCCATTACATCCACCACGGTGGGTAGACTGGCGAAGATACCTGGATCTATACGAAAGAGGCACAAGTGGGAGTGGAACACGTCGAATTCTCTGCAGGATTTATATGGATCCTTCCTTCTCCGGCATGCACCGCTCCCGTTCTAGTTGTGCCCTAAGTGCCTTGCCAGTAGCGGCACCTACCATACCCTCCGTTGAGCCCAATCCTCGGCATTATCATAGCGACGTAAGCGCGCTGACCATGCAGCAGGAGAGAAGAATCACCCGGCTAAAGCGCAAGCCTCATGTGGCGGTCTTGAACCTTGGTTCGGGTGCGTTGGATGGAGGTGACAAGTCATTGTTGGAGCCGATCTTACTTCCATTTGGCGTCCCGTTGTGATTGAAGGATCGGAAACCAATCATCAGGGGCCATCGAGGTACTGGGGAAATCGAGGCCTTCGAACTAAGGAGGAACAAATAGGAGAACTTTACTCATTCGGGTGATAGGCAATTCTTTGAAGCTTGATTTAGGGATTGAGTTTGAAATCTCGACGGGACTCTCCAGATGGATACCGACATGACGGACTCCCTATCTCGTCATTCCACAATGGGAACCAGCAGCGGCCTTGCATTTTGTACCACTATCCCTGTTCCTAACTTTAGAGTGCCTTCCCAAGAGTTCATCTATTCCCCTTTTCGGTGGTGACTCGCGGTCTGAGGTGGTCCGCATGCGGATGATCTCTTGCCATGTAGAGATGCGTAACTAATGTACCGCAGGGCCGCTACAGGAATCGGGATATATACTTCTATGCACGTCACAAGTGACGAGCCAATCTGCTTCATGATCAACGGTAGACGAGCTGCAATAGGGTTTACCCAAGATTGTGTACGGAGTAGTGCAGGTTTTATTGTTCCTGTGTGGACCGTTCAGTTCAGGACTACAGCTACAAGGAAAGGACCAGGGGCTGTCAAAAAAGAAAACAAACATGTCTAAGTGAAAATAAACTATTGTTTGAGGAAAAGAACGTCTTAGACCCAACGCCACACCTTCTTTCGAATGCAAATGTTATGTATGTATGTACTACAGCAAGCAAAAGCAAGTCCGTTAACTGCCAACTGTTCTTCCTTTCTGGCTTTTTGCTTTTCCCTCTTTTTCATTTTTATTTATTTTGGTCTCACGCATGCCTTTCTCCAGATGCAAGTTCGTAATACCGGTTCAAGGAACGTGGCAGTCGGTACTAAATCATGTCTTGGAGGTGTCGACAAGAAGCGAACAGCTCACGAGATTCCCGCAGACCACTGACTCGGGCTTTCCATTGGATGTATTACTAACCACTAGTACTAGTAGTAGTTGATACTAACAACCACCTTTGTTTCTGGCAAAATCAAGGAGGAAAGAAACTGTTACACAGGCTTGGGGCAAATTGAACGAATGCCAGCTTTCAACGGAGAGCGGGTCTTATTGCATTTACCTTCTCTTCTCTTTCAGCTCTCTATGTTGTCTGGGGCGTTCACCATTCTCATCTGTGTGGTCGGTGAATTTCTGCCTGTAGTACTACTAGTAGTAGTTCGCCGTGGAGAGAGAGAGCCTTTGGAGTGGTCCATGCAAGCCAACGCGCGCCATCCTTGATTCCGAAAGATGATTGAGTCTCGCATTTTCCTATTGACCTGGGGGGGAGGGGGGGGGGGGGGGTCTTAACAGGGACACACACAAAAAGAACTTTAAAAAATAAAAATAGAGAGGAGTGCCATTCCAATGACGGCAGCTGCCCATATACTCTGAGCGGGAACTCCGACTCGCTTCTTCCACCACGCCACAGGAACAACATCTATCATGTCGACTTCCTCTAGCTCCGTGTACTCCGTCTGTACTGTGGAAGCCCATCGGCAGATGCGGACCGGGGATAACCAATGGAGGATTCTACTATTGGCCAGGGGGGTTGAGTTCAGTTGATCACAGCGTACTGGACGCCGTTATTTTTCGACGGCCGGCTACAGCCGCGAGTTCCTTTTTCCAATGTCTCCACCAGGTCCTCCGTATAGTAGTACAACATAGTAGTAGTACTACGGAGGACGTACGTGCCAGCACAGCTGCAATGCCCAATCATGAATCCTTTCGTGTACCATGCCATAACGGTCTGCTAATTACACTTTCAAAATTTCCTCTTCTTCATTTCCCCCCTTAGGAAGGTCAACGGCTCCGGGCGCGAGTACAACAGAGAAGCCGCTGGTCTCATAGGTCGCGCGGTGTTGGAGACCTGAATCGGATCGACATTTACAAGCCCCAACCTGCCAGAGAATCGGCGATACGCTTTCACGAGGCAGAGAAACATGGGCAATGAATGAAAAAGAAAAGAGACGAGCAACTAATTTAGTTACTGGATCAGGAGTGCCCGCTAGCGGTTCCCTAGTTCCACCATGCTCCATAGACAGTTTCTAGCGTGTATCCGCATACAGGGGCCAATGGAGCTGAGAAGGGAGAGAGAGAGAAAGAAAAGTGGCGATCCGAATTACTGGTCGATCCAGGCCAATTCAAGGCAGGATGATGCTACGCCCATCTCTCATTGCCGTTATCATTAGAAGTCTGACTAGCATGGGCCGTCCGTTTCTCGGGTTACCTCAATAAAAAGCCATCTTCTGCCAAATCCCGAGCTTTCCGTCCAGAAAGTTGACTTCACCGCTACAGTCTCAGTCACTAGTTGCTTTGGCTTAACATTACATGTCGACTGAACGATTGAACCACATTCAGTGTGGGTGAATCTTCCAGAAAAGAATGGCTAATGCATCTTATTCGACCCAATGCAATGTTGCTGACCGCTTCTCTTCAACGCTATCCAATTGCTGAACGGATGGCCGCCGTTGGCTTCTATTATTGCCCTCTCGTTACTATTACCCTTCTGAACCAGTCTAATTTACGCTTCCAGTGTGATGGATGAATGGTGACTCTCCATTGCCCCTGTGGAGTCCTCTTTTGTATTCATTACTTTTTCTTTCTTTTCTTTTCTTTTTTTTTTTGGATTCCCCCCCCTGTTTTTCCTGTGATTTTTGTATCGTTTTTTTTTTTTTAACCTTTATGTGGCTGGAATCTTGCTAGAGTCCTTTAGGCCCATCTTGTTTAACGGCATCTCAGGGGCTATGTTGTAATCGTTGAACGCTTTACATATATTGTCTCTTGACTATGACGATTGATTGATCGACCCGGCCCACTCCGCAGCTCCAGACTTTCCTTACTTTCAGGCTTCTTTAATTTTTGTTAGCCCTCTATGGCCAATCCCCGTTTCTGAGCCTAACCTGGATTCCGGGAGACCCAGCGGTTTGGAACAGATCAGCCCCCTTCTTCGTTTCTTTTGATTTTATGATGCGCCACTTCCCGTCATGTTCAGATGTGAAAGCCACTGCGGGCATTAGGTCCTTCTAGTTCCCTCGTGAGTTGAACGTGGCAAGACTGCAGAATCCGCTGTGCTGGGGGCTGTTTGGGAAGATAAGACATTTTAGTCCAGGCAAAGGAAAAGTAATAAAAATAAAATAAAAAATGGACAAGGAAGCAAATGCAGGTGAATGCTCCGTACTGGTGCAATAAAAGGCCAAGTGCCCGGACCCTCATTTCCCACTACTGTCTGTCTGTTCCAGATATCCCCTCGTTATCTACCTAAGAGGATTCATTCACCTCTTGAGGCTTGACCCGCTTCTGGACGTTGTTCCCTTTCTACTATCATCATATTTATATTATAGTTGTGTTGCCTTTCGCTTCCAGATCCCGCCAGGTTGTGCCCCAGCCGGCTCAGCATATACTTGTACTTACACCTTCAGTGCCCGCTCAATCCTCTAGGTCTCAGTTGGGTGGCGGAAACAGGCGCCTCGTTTCGGAAGTCGCTTAGCTGTTTGTACGCCGTGACGGCCCAACTAAAGTAATTAAAGCACGGATCAGAAGGTATGGACACTAGCTGCCCAATAGTTGGTCCACTGTGGAAACTGTCGTTTGTCGTTTTGCTGAGATATCGATCCCGAATCAGGATACAGTGGTAGGCTGACAGCACCGCCTGAGGCCTTCTTCTCGTTGCCGGAGACTGGTTGCATGGCTGGGGTTCCACGCATTCGTGCAATGGATGAGTCGATGAGTGCGACGTCAATGTCGGTGCAGTCGAGCTACCCATCTCTGTTTCAGTCAAGTGCGGAGATCCCTCCGTTCTTCGTGACATACCGATGGTGGGAGGATGAAGCAACCACCGTGCTGTGGGCTTTTGACGTTGAGGATATCAAACGAGTGATTCAATATGGTCTGTATCGGGATGAGAACCTGCCTCGTTCCTCCCTGCAGAGTCGAAATGCATCGGCCGTGGACAGTTTCCTGCTCACACTAGTCCAACCCAAAGAGAGGACTTATATCGCCAATCTGTCATTTATCCAGAAGGTGGAGGAGATCATTCGCCGGTGCAAAACCAATACCCCATCACTCGTTGCCTGGAGTTGGTTCCCGCCTCAAGTGAAACGGGACTTGGAACCCGCTGCGATTGCAGATGCGATTGATGCGGAAAGCCACCTGCATTTCACTCGTATTCCCTTCGAAGAGCTGGTCCGCTACTCCTTGGGCTACCCTGCGATCGCTGTCGAATGGTTTTTACGACAACATACCGCACTCTACGTCCATCTGTTGAATTATTTCAATACCTTCCCCGAGGAGATAGTGAGGTACGCCAAAGTTGAACAAGTAAATGGCCCGGTTCCCTTGTGCTTGACCCTCGCAGAGGATAGCTAACGTGACTGTGAAGCATCTTCGAAATCGAAGCCCATTCGCCCACCGCGCCTTGCTTCATTGCTTGCTCACCCTGCAATCGGGAGGGAACTATGAGATACCGAGTGCCACCCCTGGCTTCGAATTCATAGCGGATCCGATTCAAGGTTTGTTCAAGGATCTCCCGCCCAGTCTGACATCAATTTTGAAAGTACTGTCTGTCCTGAGAGTCCGCTTTGAACGGCAATATGTGCACGCCCGGACGATGAACTGGAACCAACCCTTTGATATCGACTTCTCCTTCTACGAAGACTTGACAGGATCGACATCCGCTGCAGATTTCGCTCGCACATTAACGAACGCCGACGAGCGCAGCTTCTCCGCACTGACGCCGCAGCAAGTCATGGCGGAGGATCCCGTGGTGACGCGACTGCTGAGCAAGTGGGAGTCGCTCAGCATCGAGGTTTGGGAATGCTGCACCGCGCTGCCAGACATGATGCCGTATATTCAAGACTGTGTACAGGTACGAAGCAGAAACTTCCTTACTGGGCCCACCCGCGTCATCCATCACTAACTGGGCTGTTCCAGGCCCTCATTGCCCTTCGGAACTACCACTCGTTTTCCGCCATCATCAACGGCCTGCGGAAATATAACATCACCGAGTCCGTCTTCAGCAGCAACGGTGCCGCTGACGCAATGGCTCTGAACCCCATCATTCCTCCCGAATTGCTCTTCCTGACTGTTCCTTATCAGAACTACGCTGCCTATCGACAACAGTTCCAGTCCTCGCCCGGCATCCCCTGTCTTATCCCGCATATCAAAGAGTACCAACAGCAAGGGCAGCCGGCCTTGCTACAGATGTTCCAGAGAATGCGCAACGCTATGCGCTAGTTGAGCCTACCTGTGCCGGACACACAGCATTTATTTCTTCCATAAATTCGAGAAGCTCGAGGATATGAATCGTCCATGTCACGATTTTGCATTAAGCATGTTGGAATTTACGAGATTTGTAATAAATTGGCGCTGGATTTCAATTTTACGGTTCGAGTAGGGGTTCGTTCTGCAATTATTTCCTTGCTCAGCGAGTTATCTGTTAGTTTGCGAAGCATTTCATTTGCTCTGACTGTGTATTTCATGCACACGTTAAATATTCGTTAATTGGAGAAATGTGTCCATGTCTGAGAATATGTAACAAGCCCAGATAAACTTTCTCGTAAACATTATTCCAGCAGCCAGTGCCGAGATTCGCAAAGGACAAAGTCTCCCATCGATGACACCTGAAAATCAACTGAGCCCACCCACCACGCCTACTCAACACATACAGGGCAACAACAGACACGCACCTCGCCGTATTGACGACCACATAGTCCACAATCACATGATCCACCCCAAACATCAGCAATAACCAAGTCAGCCCCTCCTTAGCCAACATATAGACCACCCAAGAAAGGCCCAACTCCCACCCAACACACGAGAGAATAACCAAGCCGAGCAGAAGCGCAGCGTTAATCTCCGCACCCCAACGATTCCTTACCCACACGGCCGGATTGCGTCGTCCTCGTCAGCTGTGCGCTGGCTCAGCTCCTCTTCTGACGGGTCTCAGACGCCTTGGCATTTCCGAAGACACCGAGGAGGAACAGGATGCGGTTCACGAGCATGAATACTGTCATGCCAATGTTGCCCCAGGTGAGGAGGTTCTGCCACGCCCAGGGGTCGACGAAGGTGTCCCAGCCCACGCCGCGGTAGGTTGCGTAGAGATGGTTGATGTCGCTGAAGACGTAGGCGAGGATGTAGTTGCGGAAGACTTTGGGGTCATTGGTGTTGTGGTGGATGAGGAAGCTTAGGAGGCCGAGGACCGCGTAGATGTTTCCTAGTTGGCCGGCGAGGACGACACTGCTTGGATGGATGGTCTCTGGCGGTGGGACGTTCGGTGTTGAGTCCACGATGAACTTGTTTAGGTCTAGGAGGGGGAAGATGTAGCCGCCAAAGCTGCGGATGTGGTTATTTGAAGCTCTTTATTTTCAAATCGATAGCTGTTGAATGCTTCTCTTTTGCTGTTCATACCAGGATAAAGGTTCAAAGACCCTGAAAAGAAAGTGCGGCCAGGAGGGAACGTCGACACCCATGGTGATGGTATTGATGTGGTTTGTATTTCTAATGTATATAGAAGTGAATATATAATTTGTTATTTATATCGGTGTTCTCGGCGTATTGAGAAGGGAATGGTTGCTTGTTTATGAAGAAAGGTGATATGGTGAAGGTCTTTATACGGGGGAAAAACAATGAAAAAGATGTGGGTTGTCACAGCTGGGGGCCAATATGGACATGGGCCCAATGGTATGGGAAAGCTTAAGCAGACTAGCTCTCAGACTAAACTGCAGCTGCACAGTTTCCAGGAGGAGAGGTGGAAGTATTCACAGGGATTGACATGAGTTGTTCCATTCCGCAACCACTGCCGAAGGCTGGCAAATTAAACTGCCTGTTTAGGCAATCCTGGCTCCATCAGGCGTGGGGGCCAATGCTCAGTCAGCCGTGCACGTGCCATCCCAGATTTGGTTCTGGTTCGGAATACGGGGCGATAAGTTCCATCGCAATTTATACACGCTATCGTCATCACTATAATCTTTTTTCCCCCATTCTCCTATTTATTATCAACCCCAACTCCATGTATCCAGCGACTGAGGCAAAATGGCCCGTGTGATAAACTCTAGCATCTCTATAGGGCCGACTAAGACTGAATGATCTCAACGACCAACTCCCGATGGTGTGAGTGCGAACAATGGACTCTAACGGCACCTTTGCCCGGTCTTTCGATGAATCCCTCACCCGCGAATTACCCCAACTGCAAAGCCTCCGCATTGCACCTCTCCGCCAACCAGTCTCCTCCCGCATCCTAAGCATCCCCTCGCCGCTTGAACCGAATGCGAGTGGAGTTCGAGAGCCAAACTCCATCCCTAAAACCAACAATTCAACTGGAGTGCTGCCTGGCCGCAACGACTCCAGTGGACTCTCAGAGAGCGTCAATGCGGCGCGCGCAAAGAAAAATGACCATCCCGTAGATGCGGTCTCAAGCTTACAACCTCCCCCCAAGCCCATTCTCCCGGAATTTGTCAATCTCCGCGCCCTGGAACGATTCCCTTATTCCTCATTTGACGACGACTCGCACGCCCGCAAGCGTCGACGGTTGGAGGTCCAAGCGGATACCTTTGGGGAACATTTGCAGCTGCCCATTCCGCAGGCGCACAAGGAACCACGACCGCCACCATTCGGACCTTTTGCCATTCTGAATGGCCTGAACGAACCTCCGCCCAATGCCGCTCTTCTCCCTCCGATCGAACCCGGTTCCATCACGCAGCTGCTGACCAAGCCCTCGCGAGGAACTTCCTTTGTGGAGCCCGCACTGCTAACTGCTAATACAATTGTTGAGAGCCAGAGTGTGGAGAGGAGAGAGGGCAGGATCCATGAGATTTTGGATTCCCCTGTTGGGGAGAACACTGTGGATGGCGAGCAGACTAATATAGAAAGTGGCCTTTTTGATGATGCGAGCGTTAATCAGATGGGACGCGAGAAAGGCGACTTGCAGATTGACAAAGAAGCCCGGCCCTGTGCGGAAGAAAAGGAGCCGCTGTCCCCGAAGACAAGAGGGCGATCCCGCAAGAATCTTCGTAAATGGACCGAGGAGGAAACAACTGCCCTGTTGCGCGGCGTGGTTAAATGTGGGATTGGTAACTGGACCGCGATCTTGGCGCAACCAGAGCTGAAGTTCAACAAACGGAGTGCTTCAAACCTGAAGGATAGGTACGGCTCCGGTGATGACCCTGTCGCGAAAGTATGGACTGACAGGAGACTAGATTTCGCGTCTGTTGTCCTTGGGCTTATCGGTAGGTTATTGTTGTTATTGTATTCCCTGGCTCTGCCTTCTAATCCTTCGAAGTGCCGCCGACCCCAATGAGGCTACGAAGAAACTTCGTGATACACTAGCCGATGCACTCTCACGGGCCGAAACAGAGGGTACTGATGGCGTCCCGGGGAAGATTCGCCTTCCGCACCCATGGCCTGCCTCAGAGACGCCGCCTGGAGGGATGTCAGCCGGCAGTTCTCAGGAGTCCTTGTCGTCTTGCGGTACCCTGACCGAGGAGTCCGAGCTTAAAAGCTCGACTTCTCAGGCTAAACCAGCCTCGGCGAAAACCGGGCCTACTCTTTCTAACAAATCCAAGTCTACCTTAGCATCTCTCGGAATCCCGGAGCCACATTTCACTATCAAGTCCCGGCGTCGGTCCCGGCGTCCATTCACTGTCGCTGAAGATGAAGCTCTTCTGAAAGGCTATGCAGTGCACGGTTTTCAGTGGACACTAATTCAACAGGACAAGCGGCTGAACCTCGGTCATCGTAGAGCAACCGATTTGCGAGATCGTTTTAGGACCAAATTTCCGCACGCGTACCGTGACGGCGGGTCTGTCAGCGGTAATTCGTTCAATCAATCTGAGGAGTCCGGTCTCAAAGATGGAAAAGACCGGGCATCCAGTAGCAAGCGGAACTTGCAACCTACCAAACAACCCCCAAACAATCAAAATGGCAAGTCAGATAGCTCTGAGCAGTCCGCATTAGGACCCATTGATCCTGCACTCTCTCCTCCAGCTCCACCACCGGGACTTCCTCTCGAAAGCGTGGCAGGTGCCCCTTCGACAGCCGTGTTTTCCTTTCCGTTGGATGAAAATACTGCCAATCCATCAGGCGTGGACCCATCTTGGGCCGATAATACTCTTGCCCCAATGGTTTGGGATGAATTGGCATGACTGCAAAGAAACTTGAAGCTCTCTCAAACACTCCATTTTGCTAACTTGATCTCAGCTATGGGGCGGCGCGTCCCAGGGTTTTCTTAATGTCTTTCATGTAAATTGTTCCAGATATTTACTTCGCCATGATTCCTGTTGTCTACAAACCCACTTCCGGCGACAGGTTTCTTATATGCTATGCCGTATGTGGCTCAGTAATGTTTACTACCTGTGGTAATGGTACAAGCACGAGTGAGATAAACAAAAAATGAACCCAGCCCTTTTGATCCTCAACTCCTGGTCCCGTTTCATATTTCAGGTATATGCTTTTGACTGCTCACATACATTTGATACCATGTACCCAACCGAAAAAATAACCCACCAAGCCACCGGTAATGATCTTTGTCTAAACGGTCATAACCTACAGAATCAGTAGTAGGAACTGAAATAGATATTAAATGCCATGTTCGCCTTTACAAAACAAGAAGAATCAAGCATCAACATGAACGCTATTTTGCGTGGGAATTCCGCCAAGACAGACAGACAAGGTAACCGTAAGAGATGCACCAAAGACAAGAAGGGGAAGGAAGGAAGGAAGGCAAAATCACAATATGGGTATAGCTGCAGGCCACTGGCCATGGATCAACACACCCACATGTAATTGAAGAAGAAAGGGTAAAAAGAAGGATGAAAATCGAAACAGCCGAAGCAAGACCCTCATCTCAATGACGATCCACTGCACAACCTAACTCTACCAAGCATTGCGGTCCCAGTTCGGATCTACACCACACCAGTTAGCAAGCCACATTACAATCAACACCCGTAGAAACAAAACGAAAAGAAGAAAAAAAAAGAACAGAAAAGACAAACCCTGTATGAAGCTCGCCAAAACCTTACTCCCCGTTTGCAAAAGCGGATGGCCGGCAACAATCTGCAAGAACCGTTGCAGTCCTACCCTGCGGTGCTCGATGACCTCGTCACTGAATCGATTCGTAAACACCTTCCCGGGCAGCGGCGGGATAGTCACCCTCGTGCTCTCGCGCTCCAGGATATCGCGGAAGTATTCGAAATCGGAGTAGCGGCGGCGCACGACGGAGTGCTTAAGCTTGAATGCGGGGATATTGGTGCGACAGACGATTTCGTACGAAGTGTACATGTTCCGGGATGTGCCATGGGTTTGGGGGTTTCGGACCTAGGGAAATATGGTTAATTGGTTTGAGGATATAGAGATGGGACCTATGTATGACATCTTGGGGCGGAGGGGGTAGTGTGTCGCGCGACATGGCCGAATTGAATTTCATTGATACGACTGTGTTTTCTTCCGGATTTTGCTAGCGATAGTGATAAAGAGGAGAAAAATCACATACCTCAATTTCGAGGAAATTCTCCGGAGGACCGTAGATTTCATCGAAGGTCTGCTGTCGCGATTCCGGGACGGCTTGCATTGTGACGGGGATACGACCTGTTGCGAAACGAGATGTTGAAAAAGGTGGGGAGGGAGACCGCGGGGAAGCTTTAGCCGCCGGACGACGAAGGGTGGATGTTCGGGTTTCTTTCCTTGACCGGGGGAAGGTCTGGGTGTGGAAGGTTTCGTGGTGGTTTTAATATAGGTAGCGATGGCTCGCTCGGAGGCCGGTGAACGAAAGGCGCAGAGGATGGCTGGTGGATTTCTGTCAAAAGAGGGAATGTTGGTATGACGACGACGGGGGCACTGATAACTGATTTCATGCTCTCTTAGCGTCGTATTGCTGGCGTATGGTTCTGTCCGGGCTGGGGGCGCATCGTTGTTCCGTTCCGCTGTCATGCCGGGTCATGTGACTGATTTATAGTTTCTCCCTGGTTGATGGATGCTTCTCGACTTAACCTTGTTGAGCCAATATACTTTTTGTGGATACTGATTCGGTCTCCATGCTTAGTAGCCAGTCCGAATACGATTGAACTTTGTTTGATAAAAACTCAAACCGTCAAGCAATACGAACGAGACCAAATTGCGAGTGTCCTCGACAACGGATAGTACATATATGCAGCAATTGATAAGCGAACGTTCATGCTGCATGACGCAAGGCATATTCTGGAAGTCGTGGAAATAAATTACCCTGCCGGTTTTGCGCAGGCATGGCTGAAGCAAGTGGCAGTACTCGAAGGATATGTTGAAGAAAGAACATTACTGTCGTATGCGGCAAGACGAGGATCTGAAGCAGTCATACAGCTGCTTCATGAGACAAATAAATGTGCGAGCAATTTCAAAACCGAAAGCGGATTGGCATCCCTGACGTTAGCTGCCGAGAACGGCCATGAGGCAGTGGTTAAATTGCTGCTTGAGAGGGGCACCGATATAGGAGAACACGGGTTCAACTGGACACTACTGGAGCACGCTGCCAAGAACGGACATGAAGGTGTGGTCAAACTGCTGCTTCAGAAGGGAATTAACCTGGACTCACGGTTCTATGCTAATGGCAATCTTTATACATTATTGTCATACGCTGCCCGGATCGGAAATGTGGCGGCAGTTCAGCTACTCCTTGAAAGAGGCGCTGATCCTAACTCCAAATCCTGTAGCAGTGACAGGACACCCCTGTTGGTTGCTGTCTGGGTGCGACATGAGTCAGTAGTCAAGCTGCTACTTAAAAACGGAGCTTATATCCAGTCTAAATCATATGATGGTCAGACGTCGCTGTCATTAGCAGCCGAGAGGGGAGATACAGCAATGGTCAAGGCACTGCTTAAGAACTGAGCTAATATCGACTCTAGATCATATAATGGTCGGATGGCGCTGTCATTGGCAGTCCAGAAAGGACACAAAGAGGTGTCCATGGTGCTGCTTGAGAGCGGAGCTGATATGGAGTCTGTGATATTTTTATCTTACAGGTTGTTGATATCAGACTTTTGCTTCGTTTATCTCATTTGACAAGGTATAGAACCCGATAGATGCGCAATCTACCGCCCACTATTGAAAAGCCAGCGGATTTGAGTTCCAACTTTTGGTGATAGCAATGTCTATACACAGGGGGCAGGTTCAGCTGTACAAGTCATCCGCTGTTAATAGGGGTTAGCAGGTACCTGATATAACGTGCAACGGCGGGGTCATAATTCGGTCAGCTGGGAATTTAAAAGCTACTGTAATACTGGATAGGTATACATACATATATATGCACGATTTAGACTGGTATTCGTACAGGTAATTGACGTCAATTTGTAACTTCTTGTGGAGACCACAATAGATCCTATAGCTAAAATCATATCCCCAAGCTCAGTCAAATCGCCGAACGGCACGCATTGGCATTCCACCGGCAGGAGTTGGCCCTGTCCCGCTCATCGTCACATACGCAAGACCGCCATAGATGTCCGGCCCTCTGGTGGACTGGGGGTCGTATGCCAGCTCCAAGTCAAACTGCCGCGCCATAAGCAGTAGAACTAATTTGAGTTGTATGAGCGCCAGCTCCTGCCCAGTACAGTTTCCCCTCCCTTTCTCAAACGGCCTCCAGGCATCATGAGGGATTTTTCGCCTGGCATCAGGCAGAAAGCGGTCCGGATCAAATTTGTCCGGCTCAGGAAAAAGATCAGGTCGTCGGTGCATAGCAGTGTGGAGCAGAACAACCTGGTTAGGATCCTAGGTTAGGTTCGAGTTGGACCAAGAGATATTGGCTACGTTTAGAAACCTACTACGTGGCCCCGGATTGGGTACATCTGTCCATCAGGGGAAATAATGTGTTCGCTATCAAGTTAGTCTCCCTTAATGATCACAACGCAGAGAACGGAGAATCTACCTGTTTGGTTGTCTCAAGATCACCCCCATGGTGAAGAGCCGCAGTGTTTCCTTTATTACAGCAAAAGTGAACACAAGCTGATTTAATCGCTCGGGGTTGGTCTTGAGCAGCTGCAGGGTGATATCTCTGTCCGGGCTGAAAATATGATTATGCTCTGCTCTCACGCGCTGTGCGATACCTGGGTATTGATGTAGAAGCATGAGGCAGTACTTGAATCTAGTCACTATATGCATTTATACAACCATCGGAAGGTGTGCGAAAGTGTTATATACTGACTGATAAAGCGGTGCTGCCGCTCACAGCGGCGAGGAAAATACCAGCACAACTGCAACTGGCCATGTCAGTGACATACCGAGGGGCTTTTTTCTGCGGCTGACCTAGAGACCAAATCCTCCACGTATTCCTCTGTCATTTTCTTATTGCCCCCGATATTGACAGGAAACTGTGGTAGCTTATTGTTCTGATACGCCGCAAATGACGATTGTAAAAGCGAGGGCTTCGAGCGGGACTGGCTATCCTGCTCCCTAAAGCATGCGTAAACCTCGTTTCGGATCAATGTATGGAAAGCCTCACATTGGGTTCTCCATTCCTGCATTATAAATGGACGCTTGAACGGATTCCTTGCCGCAGAAATATAACCCACGGCTCCCTCGTACAAGGCGCTCCATTCACTATTTTCTGAGAAAGTGTCAAGCTGCCTCCCGAAAAGAACCCGCCCTGTCATTTCCAGAATCGAAAACTTGGCCACAGTTTCCATCTTGAATATCTGTCCTGTTTTGGCACATTTTGTGAGCATCTGGTCCAGAGCTTGCAAATCCTCCGCCATGGAAGGGATCATTCGAACAAAACGAGATGCTGTAAACGATGTCCCAAATATGGAGTGGTTCTTTGTCCAGTTGTTCTGGGATAGTGTCTGGATCCATCTCTGCGATGCGGCTGGTGCCAATGGCTCGAAAACGCCAGGCCACCGGGGAGTTCTGTCTTCCACAGTGATCTTGCGAGCGACATTTGGGTCACTGACACAGACAATCGGGGGAAATAACGGCCAAAGGTCAAGAAAGAAGATCGGCGGTAGGTCGAACTTTCGTTGCATTCCATCTAGAATATATGCATTAAAGGTATCCCAGGGGTAGCCCATCCACTCTTGAAGGAGAAGTAACCAATGGCCGAACACAGCACTATGCGGGGGTTTGGGCTTAGGGGTTAGATTCAGTATTCGTCCAGATTGACTTGGGCAAATGTGTGTGTGTGTGTGTGTGTGTTGCATAACTTACTCGATTATAAAACTTTGATCGTACGCGGGCCACTCTGTATAGAAACAGTGCCACCAGTGTAGTAAAGAGAAGGCCAACACATTGGAATATTGTCGTCATATTCGCAGTTAGTAGTTTTGAGACCTAGGATGGATTCAATCAGCAGTGGAACATCCTTCACATAATCCAAGCGGGTGATGTAGGAATACTTGAGAAGCTATTTTCTCTAGGTAAGTGGGATGCATAGCAGAAAGACAACAATCTCATGGACATCATTTGAATCACTAACATAGAGATAATATATCATGTATCGTTATTTGCGTATCATATAAATGAATATCTGTAATTTACGGTACGGTGAACCAGAAGGGGCACACAGTGTACGGTCGTGGATAAAGATGTCCCCCTCCCCGTCCCAACTCATCAGTCTCTAAATTCGTTGTTCACTCTTGTCTTAAACAGTGTTGCGGCCTCCTCGTCCTCAACAAACCTGTTTTCTCTTTCCTTTTGCTTTGTTCTTTCCCCACAGTGACCAAATCTCGACGCAAATGGGTGCAACGAGCCAAACCAAGGGCTACGATACGATCCACGCAGTGGACTTTTACCATTCAATGGCTCAGATCCCTGGCTTGTTGCAGGATGCACCAGTCTACCTCGATGGCTATCGAAAGGCATTACAGTTGCAAACCACCAGGGAAAGACCTTTCGTGGTTCTGGATGTTTGTACGGGAACTGGTCGAGTTATTCGAGACCTAGTGGCCCACCTGTCGGAGCACGACGCAGACCTTCACGCCACCAAATTCTTCGGGTTAGACATATCGAGGCCGATGCTAGATCACGCAGCCAGGCTTCCACTGGCATCGTCCACCGCCGATGTAACTTGGATTGAAGCTCCGCCCTGAATCTCCATGAGGTCCCTTCTTTCCGAGATGGCGTGTTGAAGGCTGATTTGCTGATAGTCGCCTTTAGTTCGATTAGCCACTTCATCGAACCGGGCCAGGTAGCCCAGTTTCTCACAGAGGTTGCCCACGTGCTCCAACCAGGGACTGGTAGAGCCTACATCTCGGTGCGCGACATCCCTGCAACTGTTCAATCGGATATTGCCTCGACTGAAGGTGATACCAATAGCTTGAATCTTCCCAGTCTTGTGTTACCAGGCATTGCCTATCGCCAGATTGGCAATGACGTTCAAGTCAAGAACGGTGTGGTTCATGTGTTGAGCAATGTGCAAGTAGTCTCGGGCGAAGGGGATATCCTCAGCACGGAATCCGCTACTACGGCATTTCGCACCTTGGAAGATGATGAGCTCCGTACCCTTGCTTCGAGCGTGGGGTTGGCCGTGGTGGAGACTATGAAAGCAGGAGAAGAGATCTATTACGTGTTACAATCCCCTTGAGGGGGCAGGATTGCTACACACCCCTCAAGAGACAATAAATGTCTCATTTTAATTTGGGCCAATTGGGAAGTTTTGAATGTTTTTGAAGAACACATGAGTAGAATCGGGACCCAATCTTCATACTGCATATACGTTCTTCCTGCCGTTTGCTCGCTACCACTACTCCTGATGCGAATAGTGTCTAATCCAAGTTCGCAGAAACAGAAGGCTCAATGAATACCAAAATACCTGGAGGATATGATGCTCCAAGGTGTGTCGTACGCATTCTGCAGCCAAGTAGCACGGGCTGGAAATTGTGACCATGTATCACTCCTACATCCAACAGCGTCCATTGACTGCTGCAAGCCGGGTCACCGTACCACATGTTGTCCTTCAACTCTGATATGCGGGCATCTCAATCCTGGCTAGGTGGGGGCATGAATTACTCGATCCGCAGCGCGGCAACAAGTTCATTCAAGGCTCAGCTGAATATTTGAAAACTTATCTCGTAAGTTATGCCCCATGGTCCATTGGTTTGTGATACCGGCGATGCTGGCATACAAGGGTAAGACAGTTGCCTTTTCGCTCCAAGCTCGGCTTCTTTCCAACTTCGTGGCTGCATTGTCAGCTCCAGCTGTGATTGCGTTCCGTACGAAGCAAAAGAGTCCAAGTTGAGGAATGGCTGGTCCTGGATGCTGTCATCGCCGGAACCATTCTTCTCGGGCCGTTTAGCGTAGGGATTCTGCTCTACTGGGATACAGAGCGTATCCCCATCCTGTGGCTGTTTGAGACTGTGTCTTTCAGACGGGGTATATCCATAACCTTCCTCAGCAATCGGTCTCATGATTAATGTAAGCGGGTAGACGAAAGAAAAATAAGCCAGCCGCCTCGACTCCGATTCGATGTTGTAGATTGCGAGATGCATCCTTTGTATTAGACCATTGTTATCCCCGTTTGCTTTGACAGATCTCACGACCTCATGGCTGAATCTACGCCATCATGCTTCTTTCCACGGTTCCCCACCGATCACAATCTTGCACATATCGAGATCCTACGCTATCCAGTGGTCCGCCTAAGGTCGTCCAGAGAAGTAACGTCGTTGACAGCTTATATCCAACTAGCATGGACAATTCTCATCGGTAAACTCACGGATGCGACAGATGTTGAGTTTGGACTCACTCTGAGGGGATCCAATGGCGGTTTCCACAACGTTTCCTTTCGCTTTCACATCAGCGAAGGTGACAAAGTTGAGCAGGCATTAGCTTCGATACAAGCTAGCACCTTCGGCTCTTCTGAAAACTCCCCTGGTGACTTCCAATTCCACTTGGATATTGAGGAGAAATGGAACGATGAAAATGAATCGTGCTATCCACCACCATCAGGGGTATGCTCCCTAGCTGTGACATGCTGTATTCATGGTGGGTTGTCGGCGAAGGACATATCAGATTTACAGTTCATTGTGTACTACGACACCAAGGTCATGGAAACAGTCGAGGTGTTGCGCATGATGCACCAGCTCAAGCATGTATTATATCAGCTACCGGAATCGCTGCAGATCAAGTTACGGGAACTTGATCTTGTTAGCCCTGAGGACTGGTTGACGCTGAGGGACTGGAACGCAAAGTTACCCAGGGCAAGCAAAGTCACCTTGCACGAGCTGGCACTTCATCATGGGGGCTCCCAACCCGCCATCGTTGCCTGGGATGGCAGCATGACTTACCACCAGTTGAACCGAGCATCCCTCGACGTAGCTCAGCATCTCCTACACTTTGGGTGTTGCCCGGGAATGTTCATTCCCCTCTGCTTGGAGAAGTCCAAGTGGTCTGTGCTGACCATCCTGGCCATCCTTCGTGTTGGGGGCATCTGTGTCCCCATCGATCCCAGCATCCCGATCGCTCGCGCTCGTGAGATGATCGAGGGTATGGGAGCCCAATTCGTGGTAGCCTCGGCCGCTCAACGCCACAAGATGAAGCAGCTGGGCCCACGTTTGCTAGTGGTGTCCGACAGCATGGCTTCCACGGATGCCGTCAATTACATTCCTCTTCCTGAAGTGCATCCAGAAGACCCAGCCTTGGTGCTGTTTACTTCTGGGACAACCGGTCGTCCAAAGGGCATGCGAATCCATCACGAAAATATTGGGACAGCCGCATTAGCCATTCTTGACATGTTAAACATCGACTCCACCACCCGTGCATTACATTTTGCCTCTTACAGCTTTGATCTGGCTATGTACGAGATTATCTGTACGCTCCACTGCGGTGCTTGTCTCTGTATTCCCTCCGAATCCGAACGACTCGACGACATAACAGGTTTTATGCGGGAGCAGAAGGTCAGTTGGGTCGCGTTCACTCCATCCTCTTTCTCTCTTCTTCGCCCAGGTGACCTCCCAGATTTGCGCACAGTGGCTCTTGCTGGTGAAACTATTCCACCAAGCCTTGTGCAGGCATGGGCACCGCACGTACAGCTGGTCAATGTGTATGGACCAACTGAGACCTCTATTTGCAGCGTCGGACCAATTCCTCAGCACGGGTGGCGCGCGAGAACTATTGGGCCTATGCTGGGAGGAATAGGATGGGTCACAGATCCGACAGACATCGAAAAATTAGTCCCAATAGGTGCTATTGGGGAGCTACTAGTGGAGGGCCCTGCAGTAACAGGAGGTTATCTTAACCGACCATCCTCTCTCTCTGCAGAGGTTATCTTAACCGACCATCCTCTCTCTCTGCAGAGGTCTTCATTGAAGCCCCCTCTTGGCTCCGTCGCTTCCGTTCATCCCCCAGTTCTACCCCGGTTCCGGGGCGTCTTTATCGCACGGGCGACTTGGTCCGATACACGAGCCTTGGATGGATCCAATTTGTCGGGCGGCTAGACACGCAGATCAAGATCCGAGGACAGCGAGTAGAACTAGGGGAAGTGGAACACCGCGTCCAAGAGGCATTCACCAGCGCCCCCCATGTCGTGGTCGAATTTGTAAACCCGTCTAAGGGCCGTCCGACACCCATCCTCGTGGCGTTCATTCCCATACAGCAGGATGATACACCCTTGGAGGCAGAGTCCACTCTACTCTGCGAGCAGAGTACTGACTTCGAAGCGCAAGTACTGACAGCATCAGCAAGATTGCAGGAATCTCTGCCCATGTACATGATCCCATCCTTGTTTGTGCCCGTCAGATACCTTCCTCGGACCATCACGGCGAAAACCGACCGCGCTCAGTTGCGGCAGTTGGTGATTGATCGCCCATGGCGCGAGCTGCAAAGATATCGACCAGGCGCACCACTGTGTTTGGGTAACAGACAGGCTGCACCCTCCTCCCTTACAAGAAGTAAAGAGTTGCAGATCCTAGTGCCGCTGGTCGCAGACGTACTGATGTGCGACATCGAGGACATCCGGACAGAGGACAGTTTCCTCTCGCTAGGTGGCGATTCCCTTTCCGCCATGGAACTAGTGGGATTGGCACGAAATGCTGGTCTAATTCTGTCCGTATTGAGTGTCCTTCAGACTCGATCACTCCAGGAGCTATCCAACTCTTCCGCAGCGCTTCAGCAATCTCTGACCGACGTTCCCACTGGACAGGCCTTCTCGCGACTCCAAGTTGACGACCCCAAGACATTCCTTGCACATCTAGTCTTGCAACTGTCTCCACAGACCGTCTTAATTGAAGACATCGAGGATGTTCTCCCGGCAACGCCACGCCAGAAGTACTTGTCCGACTTCCCCTGTGAGTATCTACTGCTCCGGCTACAAGGGTCTATAAAGCATGACCGGCTCCAGCAAGCGTGCAAGCGCCTAGTGCATTACCACCCTATCCTACGTACAGTCTTTGTCCGATCAGAGGACCTAATGCACCAGGTAGTGCTACGGCATCCGGCTGTGGCATTACACGTCCAATCACCCATAGCGGATACAAACAAGGATGTTAATGCCAGCGCACTGCAATGGTGCCAAGCAGATTCAATTCTCCCCGTCAGCCCTTCGAAGCTCTCAGTCCGCTTTGTGTTGGTTCAAGGGCCGGCCCAAGATGACAACGTTTTGGTGTTGCGTTACAGTCGGTCGCTGTTCGACCCTGAAACCATCCTCATCCTCTATCGCGGGTTGCAACAATTATATGAAGGCCGCAGCCCACCGCCAGCCGTCTCGTTCCCTGCTTTCATGTACCATGCCCTGAGACAGGACCGGACAGCCGAGTTTTCGTTCTGGCGAGATGTACTTCAGAACGCAGAAATGACCCAGCTCCCAACGCCGATTAATCCGGATACCAATCCACAAATTCTCTTGACGCCCTTACTGTTACCGACAATCAAACCCCCCGCAGGCATCACGGCAGCAACAGTTGTCAAGGCAGCATGGGCAATCGTGCTGGCCGAGCAGACAGGCGAGCGTGAAATTGTCTTCACGCAGATAGTCAGCGGCCGATCGATGCCCATCACGGGCATTCAGAACGTAGTGGGTCCCTGTAACAGGATCCTGCCGGTTCGCGTGTCCCTAACGTCCGATGACCCGAGAGACAGTCTGCTGCAACAAATTCACACCCAGCACATTGACAGCTTGCCTTTCCAGGGAGTATACCTGCGTGACATTATTCAGCACAGCACCTCGTGGCCAGCCGATACCACTATAGGGTCCATCGTCCTGCACCAGAATATAGAGCACCCGAGGCCTTTTGCCATGGGGGATCTCCGATGCACGCCGTCATACTTCAATGCACCCCCCCGCCACATGCCGGTGACAGTGGTTTCTATACCTCAGGAAACAGGCCATCGCATTTTCCTCACTTGTTCGAGCGATCGTGCAAACCAAGCCTATCTGGATGCGCTGCGCTCGTCCATGGGGCGCTATATGGCTGCTCTGCTGAAGCCGGAGGTAGATCTATGATTGCTGGGTTCCTCGTAGTAAGTTATCTTCGCATGACTGGATTCACCGATGGAACATCTTGTATGACAACGATGGGGCAAAGCTACACGTGACCATATTTCATGCTTAGTCATGCGGTTTCAGTCGTCGATGGGAAGCATCTCCATTTCATCCTAAAGTGGTTATGAAGCGTATATGTTCAGTATGTATAGATATTTTTTGGTGGATGGTAAGGGATGTAGGGTTAAGTAGATCGTACTGAGATATAGTCATGATGTATCGCAAGTACATATAAGATAAATCTGGAACATCAGTTTGATTGTTGTAAAAAATGTCAATTAAATCTCAATAGTAGAAGATATTCAAGGCAGTAAAACGTTAATAGTCATACAGTTGTCAACCTGAATAGCAACAGGTGGTAAATGAAGCATATCCTGTTAAACCAGCTCAAAATGCGCAAGAAAGAACATTCGATTTGTCTAATACACCATAAGAAGAGCTGAAAACCCGCGTGAAAGTAACAGACCAATTTCCCGTTAAACCGTTAGAAAAACAAGCAGTATGAAAACGAACCCAAGGGATGAATGATGGGGAACTTAGATGGTAAAACATGTGGTACAGAAAAATAACGATTCCTCAATGTCCAGATATCGCCAGGGACAAACCATAAATAATGCAAGCGTGTCAAGAGGATCATCTACTCTTGTCGACTGCGCTTTGCGCCATGGGGGTTCCATGATCCATCACCTCCGACCCCTTGGTTAGGAGGGAAGAAGTTTTGATTGAAAGCCGGATTAGGGCCTTGGAAGCCGCCTTTACCTAGCGAAACAGCCGTGGTCAGAACGTGTCTACATGGTCGGGCGGATTATATCACTCGCAACGAGACATACCTTGCATAGCCATGTTCCCTCCCATGCCGCCCATCATCGGGTTCATTCCACCAGACATCGGGTTCATGCCCATACCACCCATCGGGTTCATGTTCGGCATGCCCATCATGTTGGGACCCCCCATACCGCCGCCTCCACGGCCGCCGCGCATACCCCCGGGTCCACCCCGCATGCCGCCCATCATGCCTCCACGGTTATTGAAGCCGCCATAGTTTTGCATACCTCCCATCGGATTTCCACCGAAACCTCCAGCCATCGGGTTTTGGAAGCCCATTGGATTCTGGAAGTTCCGGTTGTTGAAACCTCCCATGTTATTGTTCATACCACCCCGGGAGTTGAAACCGCCGCGGCCGCCACGGAAACCACCGCCGCCGCCACCACCACCACCACCACCACCCATGTTGTTCATTCCGAAGTTCATGTTCTGTGCAGGCGAGTTGAAGCCTCCGGACATCGACCGAGCCTGGTTGTCCTTTCGCATAGGCGCATCCTTCGGGAGTGTGCGGAAAGGGTTTGGTTGGGGGTTGGTATAGTTAACAGAATACTTCCGTCCTGACGATCCTGTCATACTGAAGGATTCGAGCTTGTGTTTGGTGGCAGTCGCGGCCTGAAGTGTAGTGAATTCAATAAAAGCTTGGCTGGTTGCGCAAATCAATTAGCACACTACACCCTAACAATTCAGCCATAATTGCTTACCCTTTACTCTTGCCATTCACCTTGTGTTCGCTGAAAGTTACATCCTTAAGTTCATCCTCGCAGTCGGCCTCACGGATCCAACCACGGATATCATCATCAGTGGTCCACCAGTACAGGTCAGAGATAAGCAGGGCAGGTGTGGCATCTGGATCCAATGGACGGTCGTCATGCTCTTTGCGCTTTACGCCCTGCGGGGGAGCTGGCGTCTCTGTTACCGCTGGCTGCTGCGCATTTGATTGTGTTACATGTTCCCCATTGGGCTCTGTACCTTCGGCATGCCCCTGCTGCGCGTTGGTGTCTGCAGCGCCATCGCCATGAGCAGGAGCGGCATTCTGGGGATGCTCTGGAGCGTCTAGGATGAGCTCGGTGTCATCATGCTTGATATCATCTTCTCCGCCCTGTTCATTGGCGTTATATCCACCACCATCACCATAGATATCAATATCGAAGTTATCATCTTCAGTAGCCATGGCGTTAAGATATGAATCGGAAGGTCAAGGCAAATTTTTGATTGCTTGGATAGTGAAATATACAGTCCTTTGTTTCTTTTCTCTGATTCGTTGAATCAATGGAAGTACATGTCTGCAGACATAGACCGTCAATTAGCACGGAAGTTGCCATCGCTTGAGAGTGAAAGGTCGCTGCACGAGTCTCCCAAGCAGCAAGGGAGTAACACTGGGTAATTTTTGTAGCAAATGCCAAAATCCACTTTGCAACTTCTTAAAGCAACAGGGGCGAGTGCAGTATAGACCGACAAAAGGATAAAAAAGGCTCGAAAATACGTACAATCCGAAGCAACAACAGCTTCAAAAATGAACAAAAGTCTTCACCAGTCCGTAAATCTGATTGCTCTGAAACGGAGATACAGAGCAGAGCTTTTGTCTCAGGGTTCCAAGTACAGGTAAGATAAGTATGGCAAGATTTTTTTCAGTGAGAAAGTAGAGAGAAAGAGATGAAGATGGGAGTAGTTTCCACAGGAGATGCGGCGCCGAGTGTTAAGTTCTGCTGCCACAGTTCAGGCAACAAGTGCACTCTTTGCTAAGGAACAGAACTGATATAACTCTCCCAGCGGGAGTAAACAGGAGAGCAAAGGAAAATCAGCAGAAGAGTGCTGTCAGATTTAGGTCAGTAAGCCAGTTCGCAAATCACTAATGCGAACGGGAAGTACAGAAGGACTTCCGCCCAGCAGTTTGTATCCCCTGAGTCGTAAGCCGTCAGCGCACGGGTTGAGAAGAAAGAGAAGTTGGTGAAAGAGGTGAAAGAGAGATGGGGAGAAAGCGTGGGGTTGAAGAGAAAGCGTTGGTAGGCGAACAATCCCTTGGTACAATAAGACGTGTCTGAAGGACGTGCCGAGTGGAGCGCGCAAGAAGAGAAGGGAAGGCGAGAGCTTGCCTTTGGATCTCGAAGGAGCTGCGGTTGGGGAGCTGGACCCGGATCGCGGCTCAACTGTACTTCCGAACCCCAGAAGGCCAACTCTCCTGTTGCGCGCGTGTGGATGATCTGTCGATTATCTCTTGCCCAGATCGCCTCTTTTCGATTCTCCAATTCTCTCTTTTCTCTCAACTTTCCTGACTCACGCATACTACTTTTTTTTTCTTACTTTCCATTCTCATTCCTTTCTTACCGTTCTTATCAATTCTTCGTCACAATGTCTGAAACCCTCCAAGAGCTCGCCGACATCCCCAAGGACTTCCTCCGTGAGGGTACCCTCTTCGTCCGTAGATGCACCAAGCGTACGCCACACCACAATCGCTCTGATTTCTCTCGCTCTAAACTGACTCAATGGTATACAGCCGACAAGCGCGAATTCATCAAGATCAGCCAGGCCGTCGGCATGGGCTTCCTTATCATGGTACGAGACCCTCGATCTTCCATCGGACGCATAAACGCTTTGTCTGTGAATAACAGTTCTAACTAAAATTCAGGGTGCCATTGGTTACTTCATTAAATTAAGTAAGTCGGTCGCATGTGCATTCTGTCCTCAAGAGGAGCACCCAGACTCCCAGGGGCATAAATGCAGGTGGCAACCGATCGATAACTAACACTGATTAGTACACATTCCCGTCAACAACATCCTTGTCGGTGGCGCATAAGCTATGAGCGACATTAATCAACACTCGATAACCTACTACCTTAACTTGATGTGGGGATGGGATTCTGCATAAAGAAAAAGGGGGGGAGAATCCGTCCATGCTTGTATCCGATACCCGTTACTCTTACTGCGTTGAAACGAAATATATTGATGGGAAATGGAGGTGTTTAACTCATCTTTGACTTGATGGCATGCCGTCAGTGCGTGATGGAGGTGGAATTTGCTGCATGAAACATTGTAGCGATTCCTTTGATTCTGTATAAATAGCGTTTCCTGATTCTGTTAAGCATTCAGAGAGGATAACTTGAGAGAGTTATCTAATCCTTTGAAATGGCTATTGAATGGGAGTCTAATTTCAATCTCATAAATCCCAACTTGAGCTTGGTATACAAAAAAGGCTGCGCTCGCTCGCATTTTCGGCTCCAAAAGTAGACCATGCTAAATCAAAAGAAATGCTATTTCGTAGATCACCATATTTCACCCGCGTACTCGTCATCTTCTAGCCTCCGCCGATATACGGGTCGACTGCGGAGGTGATGGATTGTTTCCTTGAACTGGTCATATTCGAGCACGGGTTTCAGCCGGCAATCGTAATTCTTAGAGACCGGTGGAGTCCCCTCGTCCTCGGCGGCGCCGCCATTCCAAGAATGTACCGTGCAGGTGCCGGTTGAAAGGCCCCAGCCATTCCATGACGTCGCTACAAATCATCATTAGAAAGTATACTTTCCGGTCTCTCAACAAGACCAGACTTACCGGCTACTACAGGGGCGTTGGGATGCCAGCTTGCGTCTCGGACACATGTTTGCCAGGCCAAATCGCCAGCGCGGCTGCTGAAGTCATATGCACTATTGGTTATGTCGGGGTCTTGCGGTCGAGTGTCCACCGTTGCCTGACCGACGTCGATTGTTCCGGCAAGGGTTGCATCCAAGTTGTACACATAAACTTTGCCGTCTTCACTTCCAGTATACACGTACCTAGAGTTCGTGCTGTCTGGGGGCGAGAAATGGCATCGTATCAAAGTTTTGAGGACCCGATGGCCTCGGAATGTGACCACGGAGCAATCGTGTGGGTGCGCCTCGTAGTAGTTTGCGGGGTATGGCTCGAACCTGTAATCGAAGCCGCTGGTGTAATCCTGGGCATCAATCGTATCGAACCTCGCTGTGGTCATCATCTTCCTTAGATCCCAGAGCTTCATGTTCTGGTCCTTGCCATTGGAAAGCACATATCGACCATCACCTTTGCTATCGACGTAAGTCAGTCCTTCCGTATGTCCGATGAACACGCCTGCTTCACGCCCGTCACCCATTGAGCGCCTGTCCCACACTCGTAGCGTGCTATCATCGGACCCGGAGTAGAGAATGTGAGGGGAAGACTTGTCACCAAAACAGACAGCATTCACATCATCCTCGTGGTTGCGTAGGCGTAGGACTGACTGTCGGGTTTCGAGGTCGTAGACAATAACCGAGTTATCTGACGTGCCTGCTACTATTTCACGGCCGTCACCTGAAAACCGAACCGACCAGATCTATTATACTCAGGTCAGAACAACAAAAGAACATGGGACGGGGAGATACATACACCAAATTGTCTTCCATTAGAGGATGAAAGATCTAACACCGACGGCTCAGAGGTATCAAATGGATCTGTAGGAGCAAGGCAAACAAGGTTCCGTATGGAGGTATACGCTAAAAATCTGTTGTCTGGACTCAGGGTGGCATCGGTGATAGTCCACTGGCCAAAAGGGTAGTTCACGGTTTTGTAATACTTCCATTCATACGGGTTAGACGTATCATACATCCTCACCCTGAAGTCCTGCGAGCAGGAGAAGAAAAAGTTACCATCATCGGAAAACTGCCCCGAGTAGCACCTTGAGTCGAAATGAATGATCTTGTCGGCAACTGAACCAGGTATAAGACCCTATACATGCGGAACGTCAACATCGAGCATTTGATGTTACACGGTCAAAGACTCACTTGAGTTATCGACTGCACCTCCTGCCTCGGACCAGACAGATCAATGCCTAGTTCCCGCCACATCGTCCTCGTCGCAAGACTTTTCCTCCTCTTTTTCAACTCATCCGTATAATATGAATTGCTTCCAAAGTCGCCAGAAGCCATTAGCTTAGTCCCTTCTTCGCTGGGTACTTTAGGTGCCGGATCACCTCCGCCCCGCCGTGTGCGTCTCCTAAATCCAAAAAAGCCAGCAAGCTCCTCATCTTCATCTTCATCATCGTTGTCCATTTGGCCACCAGCCCGACTGTAATGGAGAATATGTCGCAGGCCGTTTGATGCCAGTAAGTTCAACAACCGGGTGGCGGAAACTGCTAGCAATCGGTAGTGAGAAGCCGTAATCAATGAGGTTATAGAGAGATGAGCATGGTAGAAATACCTCGGGAGTGCCGACCACCGGCCTGACCCGCTGCTTCTCCAGACTGTTCCAAATTTCCTTCGTCCATGGAGAATTCAATATGTATATTACCTAGATGTAATTCAGGGTCTACATCAAGTTGATCATCGACAAAGTATTAGCGTCTCGGGAGCAACTGGACATGGCGGAACAACAATACCGAGATAATTTAGATGAACGCCGTAGAAGCCGTCCTCGTCGTCCTCGTCGATGAAATTATCCTCATCCGGATGGGGTATGTCCTCTGAATGTTCTGAAATTTCAGTCTCGGGTTCATAGTCCATGTCATCTTCCTCATCCTCTTCGAGCCATTCTCTGGCCGGATGCCATATAGCGGGTGAATCTCTCGACGCCGGACGGTCGCCACTAGCGGGATGGGGGTCGGGGGAGCTCATCATTGGGGAAAACTAGGAGGGGTTAGGGCTGGGCTATGGGTGGCAGGATTGGCCGCAAGGGTCATATCATTAGGTACACTTGACCAGCTTCCAATAATAAGTACGAGGATAGACAACAGGCGTCAATTGACCGGCAGTTTGCTTCCGAATGGGATTCTCTTATCGATACGGTTATGTCATCCCGCGGCAGTCTCCGCTCTTCCTTAACTCCTATCCCCGAGATGCTTATCTACGTCCATCCATGTTTGGAGGCCATGAAGGTTCACAAATATATGAAGCTACCAAAGAAAACCAGAATATTGAGACATGGTATCGTGACTGTCGTGAACATACCCCTTTTCATAGTCCATCCAACTCCCACAACCCTAATCCCGTTGTATCATTGCGTCGTGTCGTTGAAATCCGTCGATTTGAGTATATACCCGAAAGTTCGTGCGTCACATAAAAGAAAATGTCGAAGAAAGGAAAAGTCGAGAAGACAAACACCATAAATCATCACCATTGGCCAGGTCACCATACTCTGCGGTTAGTCAGCATATATATCTCTAGACAAGTTAAACTAACTCACCTGAGCTTCCTATATTCAGCAATGTGCTGTTCGATCACTGTCGGGCTAACGGGAGTTTCCAGGTAGCTCGCCATGGATCCTACAAACGTCTTGACCTTCGGCCAAATCTCTTCTTCAGCTTTGTACACCGGTGTTGCAAACATCGAAGACTCAACATTGTCTATCAGGCCTGCAGAAAATGAGGAAATCGTCTCCCGGAGCCACTGGGGCAGGAAATTGAGATCGGATGAGTCAAGGTCGCTGCCGGGCTCGACGAGGTCAGTGTCTTCAGACGCTACGGTAGGACTCCTCAGGTTTCCATCTTCCAGCTGCTTCGAGACTGGGAGTGTATGGGCGACAGATGCTTGTAATACAAGAATCCCAATGATGACTTGAAGCTTTCTTCGCAATTTAGAGTGCCTCCTGCGCGTTAGCTGGTCTTCGGCTGCACTAGATGCATTCATCAAAAGAGTCGAGCGCTGAGAAGACTGTCTGTCTTTGACGACACGGTGAAAGGTAAACCCTCCGCTAATTTCCAGAGCTGTGGGTTCAACTGTCAGGTCTGGGAGGTCTCTGTTAGTACTTCTACCGCAATGTTTGAACCGGTAGGGATTACAGATGCGTACATACCATGTAGAGACAAAGTCCCACTCCAGTGCGGCCCGACGGATAAAGTCCGAATTCGATGGTTCCTGGAAGACACGGTTGTCGATGGAATTGTACAAAGGCTCTCAGAAGTCTTCGCAAGGCATGGGATGGCATACTCAGCAGTCAATGCTGACACTGCTACCTTCTGTGAATCAGACTCGTACGCAACACTTGTATCTCCAGTAATATTCCGTGTGCCGTATAGCACTTCAGAGAGTTCGATGTGAGTGCATTTGAACGAGCCAGAATGCCCAATCTTGCTGTAGATCTGTGGTGAATCAAGGGCCAGGGTCATCGCTGTAAAACGAGATCGGGTAGCATGAGGCTCCAAGGCACTTGGGAGAACCTTTATCGAATAGCTGGAGCCCATAGCCTTGAAGGTAGACTGCTCAGAAACTTGAAGCGCATACACCCTATCAATAGCTGTCATAACTGAGACCCATGGAGGTGACTCATCGAACAAATAATCTGTGGATGTACGACTGTTACCGGTTGAACATGGATCACCTTTTGGCTTGAAAGCCTGAGACACTTGTTCTAAGGCCCAAGCAATCTTTGACGCCGAGCGATTCCGGTCTGACATGCCATTACACGCAAAATCATAATATTGGTCATAGTCTTCCAGAACCCTGGGCGATCCGTGCTGCTGGCTGGCTTTACCAGCGCATAGATGACATCTATTCACAGCTCCCTTGTGAAGCTTGCATTCAACGCAAGTCGTCATTATATGGTCACATAACTTGCATTTCTTTGGAACCAAATTCGGAGGCTCAGATGCAGGGCGTGCTTGAGACTTCTTGAGGGACAGCTCTTTGAACAATGTCGTTCGGTGCGGGCTCTTGTCATTGCAAGATGTTGTTTGAGAAGGGCCCCTGGGATTGTGCGATTTTCTCCCACTGTGGTGACCCGAATTATCCCTAGGTGTAATAACCTGTGGGTTCCTTTCCAAGGTGAAATCAAGAAGCTGGTGGTGACCCGAAAGGCTGTTTGGTCTGAGATGATTTATCTCGCTAGCTTGCTTCCCTGGATTAGGAGAAAACAATACAGGGTCTGGAGGAGCATCATCTCTATCCGAGACCGAGCTAGGGGAGTGTGATAGTCTCTGCTCAACCAGTTGAGGAAAGCTGTTCTCCCTAGAGTAGCTGTTTCCGTAGAAAGAGGATCCATATCCAGCGAAGTGATTGCTTCCATTGTTAGAATTGCCTCCACCTCCAGTTGGAAATTGGGTCTGGGGTCCCTGTCCATTAAATGGGTTTCCAGGAGCGAGATGGCCATTGAATCCATCCCCACCACTCCCACTGTCTCCACTGTTTCTTCTGCTTTGAACCCCACTTGTTCCCGGGGAGCTACCGTGCTGTATGCGGCAATGCTCGGAGACACAGTTGAAGTAAGCCTCCCAGGACTGTACAGACTTCTTGCACAGCGGACAATCTCTCGGTGGTCTGAGTCTGGTATGCCTGATATCGTTCCGTTCGAGTCTGGCTGGTGGTGGGTGCCTAAGTCTAAAATGACCCCAGACCTTGTCCCTCCTGCAGGTAGGCCAGTCACAAAGAGGGCAAAAGAATCTAGACCGAGGGGCATGTTCAGTGGAGACGTGCCGACGGAATGCCCCCCTCGAGGAGTAATTTCTTCTTCTGTAAGGCTCACACAGCTGACAGGCATACCTGTCGTTGTTGCTGTTGGTGCTGTTAGTACTGTTGGGGGAATGTATCTCGTAGTCAACCTCGTCTTGGATCATGGTGTCAAGGCAACAGAAGGTGTCTCTCACAAGAGACCTCATCTCGAACAGTCTATGAGAATGGGAAACGTTTCTGACGCTACTTCGGACTGTCGATTGGAGCCGGTGCAGGTCCGCTCTAACTTCATCGAGGGGGTCCGGAGAAGACACGCTCGGTGGACAATAAAGATGGGGGATCTGTGGAACACTTGTGCTGAGAAGTCTTTCTGTGGAAGGCACATGCCCAGCATCCATGGGCAATGTCGGCGATATATCGTTGGCCGGGCTATCGAACAGGTAGAAATCCGTGTCAATCTCGGGCAGAGCAGTACCTCCGGGAAGGAGATCTGCACTGGTGCAGCTCAACGGTGATACCGGTGACGTGGCCGCTGACTGATAGTTGGACTTGGAGTCGATGTTAGTACATCGGCATAGAGACGGAGTATTCACGAGAGGGAACGTACTGAAGAGTTGGGATCCATAGAGGCGTTCGGCATCAGGTGGCCATCTTCTGATGTGGCACAGTAGCCTGTTTGATAATGACCAACAAACGATAGCAGGTCATAGTATTCATTAGGGCGCGAGCTACCCATATTGATGTAGGTTGGCCAAGACAATGATATAAGAAGACCAGCAGCTTAAATATTACTTGGCACTATACAAGGCAAAGTGAAGGTATCGGAAGGAGGGAGAGAAGCAAGAGAACAGAAAAGATATAGAAAGAGGGCACAAATACGAAATGGACTAATTAAGGAAGAATACAGAAGAAAGGGATGGAAGAGAGAAGGGGGGCTTTTGAACGAAAGACAATGTCAGTTGGTTGATGCCAACGGTACTAAAGTACTGTCTGACCACAGCTACAAGATTTGGAGCGGGGAGTTTAATCCGATGGAGCTTTTCACACTGACTCAAATTCAGTAGTGGAAAAACGAAAGGCAAAGAGTTGGAAAGAATAGGCAGGCAACACTGGAATCTTTATAGTCAAGGTAAGCAAGGTACTAGTCCGGTGCCCACAGGGTAAAATCGGGTTGCCGACTTTCATGACGCCAACCACAATGCCGTATCGGTATGTAACAGACTTCAGGTAAAGCTATCAGGCAGGAAGGCATCTCGATGTGGATGTTCGAAGGTCAGAGACTCGGTAATTGGGTACCAGTGCCCTCAAGTACTACTAGTAGTAATTTGGGAGGTCAGGACAAGTAAACCTAAGGCTACGTATGTACCCGTCTGAGCCATGTTATACCAAACCGTATGAACCAAACCAGGAATTTCCCCACGTGGCTGAGCAGTGACCTGGTTCAGTATTAGTAGTACTGTGTTGCTTGAAATCTAGATTATTGCCGGAAAATAAACAACTTCCGTCGTTCATCTTGACCCCATATTGCCCTGGTAATTTTCCGTTACTTTGTATGCAATTTGATTGGATTTTTGTCTCTATCCTACCGTTGTAATATTGGATATATGCTCGTCCTCAATTCAAGTACAGGATTAGACAATGAATGACAGTAAGGGAAAGGAATTATGAAGAAGAAAAAATAAAAAAGAAAAAGAAAAGGAGGAAAAATAAATTTTTAAAAAATAAAAAAGAAAAAAAAGCAACTGATACTGTGTAGTAGCTGGAAAGTTTAATGTGAACAATCATTGAATCGAGTGGATCCCCGGGGGGAACTATCTAGTACTACTTAGTATCACCCGCGTTTTCTCCCGCTGCCGCAATCCATTGATGGGTGGGGAATGATAATTTAGTCTCTGATGCGGACCCCTCCTCCTACCTTCGAGCTTTGGGGTTCATCTCCAGTGTTCGGAAGGAATGGGATCCGGACACATCTGTGTAGGAGTATGTGTGTGGATGTACGAAGGATGTTTTGCACTTGATGCGGCTCTGTCACTTTAGTCACGCTTGCATTTTGACTTTTCGCCACCCTTGTCGATGATGCAGCTTCAACTTTCAAGAGACCACCGTTGATCTAGATGAAACAGATTCAACTGATGAGGTCTATTCAAGACGCACCACGTTCAATCCACTGGGGCCACTTGAGTGTCGTCGCCACCCCCTCGTTTCAACCGTCATAGAAGTCAGCAAATTGCAAAGGAGAGGAGAGATGAGATGAGATGAATCAGTGATGAGGCCATTCCCAGAGGCGGTCAACCTCTTCTTGGCAAACCAATCTATACTATCATCTGCTATATCCTGACCGACGTATCCGTGCACCGTTCACCACAATAACAAAAGGGAGGGAGGGGTGGATGACGACGTTTACTCCTCTGTTTTCATTATTTTATTTTATTTATTTTATTTTTTGCTTCTTTGCAACAGGACCGGCCAATGCATGGCTAGCCTCGGAAAAATGGACTAAGTGTCACGTTCATGCAAAGTATCGGCGCGTAAAAGTGAGGCGGAAGGTCAAAGTAAAATCCATCCTCGACTGTTGTGGATATGTCTAAACCATAATCTAACCTGGAGAGAGCGAGTGGGGGAGGGTAAGGAAAATCGATTCCTTCTTCTCAACTTGAGATCCCGAACCCTTCAGGGTTTACAGACCGACCTTTGGGAGCTGTTGTCAATGTCGATCTGATTGGGTTGCCTGAGTAGTAATATTGACAGGTGGGTAGCAAATTCTTTCACAACTTGAACAAAGTGTGGCGGTGTACGTCAATTGTGGCTGATGACGTGGCTGGGTGAGGCTAGGGTAAACAACCCTGCACACCTCTCCAACAGGAAGCAAATTTCCATCGGTATGAGTAGGTTCAGGTCGGTTGGAGTTCCCAAAGTTCATGGTAAAGCTGCTTTGGATTAGGTACAGGGTCCGGGACCCTCCGATGAAGTGATCTACCCTTCGTCAATGGACTGACTGAATTTAATCGGCGTTATTAATCCCATGTAGTTGGATGGTAACAATTCCAACACATCAGAGATTTTGTGTCTACTATTGGCTACGATAACATTGTTTTTCTTTTTCGTTTCATTTTTTTTTTCTTTTTTACAAAATGACGTCTCGGAATCGACCGTAGTGAAGACACAATTCCTGACTACGATCACTGCCACAGTCTCTCTACGTCCTCTATGTACTACGGATACATCATAGAGCAAACAAGCTTCCATCGCGGAAGCATAGCAGTCGTGATAAGCTCCCAACCGACGTGCTTGTGCTTATCCAGACTCTGTGTGCCTTGGGCGCGACATTCTTTGCATAGCCCCATCCTAACCCCAAGAAGTGTTGGTGACTCAAAAGGTGCCCCGGATATTGCAAGATTCAGGGAGAGGGGGGAAAGGCAAAAAAAAAAGAAAAGAAAAGAAAAGAAAAGAAAAGAAAAGAAAAAGAAAAAAGAAAAAGATCTCCCTTTATCCAGTTCAATAGAGAAAAAAACGTTTCCATCAAAATTTCCGTTAGTTACTTTGATATCGTATTACGCCATTTCAGGTCCCTGCCGTAACTTTTCTTTTTATTCCCTGCAAGAATTATGTCATTCCATTACACGAAGTACTGCGTAGTACTACTAGTAGTAGATATACCGTCCACCGAGTCCAGACCTCACGACATAAAAAAAAACCGTTAAAAGCAATATGCAGTCCATCGCCCTCCTAGTACCCATAGCACCCGCGTCTAATATCCGATCCCAATCCCTAACCCCAGGAGCTCTGGACCTTTACTTCGCGATCTAGACACGTCGATGACCTGGCAAAAAAAAGTGGGTCCTGCCGCTGCTGGTGTGTGATCTTCTCGAGCTCTAGGTAGTCGGTTTTCTTTTCTTTTGATGATCGGTGGGGATTAGATTAAAATGAGATGTAACTGCTGAGGTGAGGTATGTTCTAGATCTTATGCTGGTTTCTTTATCTTTTTCTTTTCTTTTTTTTTTGTAGTGTTGATCATAAGTTTGGATTCTTGTGGTGTCCTCTTGTGTGGGCTACAGATATATATCTCGGGACAGTTACTCTTCTTGGGAGGATTGCCCATATGTTGTTACCTACTTCATGTAGTTGACGACGGTCTAGAATATACCAACGGAAATGATGCGTTTCTATTTGTTGCTAATATACATTCATCGGGATTAATATAGTTCGGATCGCTGAGCGGAAAGAATGACAGATGAGCAAGACACCGGCGCCCAGATAGAAAATGCCAAGTCAACCAAAGAACTGTGCGCCGTGAACATGCAGTTTAACCCTTCTAAGCAGGAAAACAAACCCGGAAGAATAACAGATAATTGAGATAATATACAGGGCTTCGGATAAGAGTGGGGTAAAGGTACGTTAGAAACTGCGTGAGAGGAGGACTAGGAGGTTGTTCCAAAGAGGCGGAGGATCACCTCGTACCTGTTTATAGTTAGATCTGATGATCATAGTCATGAAACTGTGCGGGTCCAGAGCAACTTACATTCCGAACATGATGGCGGCGGACGGAACGACACGCAGCAAGTGCGGTGTCAAGCCGCCATACAACCCAACCATACCCTCCTCCTTCCAGACGGTCTTGAAGCACTGCACAAGGCCAGTGTACTTCATCACCACCTTGCGTCGCCAATAGACACAGTCGGCGCTTGCCTCAGCCGTGTCCGGACAACTTCATGAGGGTAAGTGGCAGCCGCGGCGACCAGCTTAGCCAATCCCGCCGAACAGATCCGTCCGCCCCATAGTTCCACGTCGTCCCAGGTACCGTATGTATAGTTGGGATCGGCCCGTTTGGCCGACTCCCTGCGGGCGAGGAACATCTTCATCTGCTCGTACATCACCCATTGCAGCGTCGACTCTGTCACACCGAGGTACGATGCCGAAAGTCCTTTATATAAACCGCGGATGCCCTCATGGCGCACCGTCTGCTTGATACAGTCCCAGCTGTTCTTATATTGCCGTCCCTGGCCACTGTGGTGTTCGGCGTTGGATTTATCTAACTGTAGACGTGTCTTCACAAGCCAGATCGGGTTGGTTGCGGTTCCCGTGGCAATTCCGGCGACGGCCGCGGCGGTCAGATGGATTCCGACGGGTGTTTCTTGGGAGTTTGTATAGTTGAAGTGATCGCTCAGGATCCGTTTCCCGTTCCCGTAAACGTAGAAGTTGATGGCACGAGCAGGCACCACTCCGATCAGATTGGGACCCAGACCCTTGAACAGAGCACGCCAACCTTCATGCACGTGGATCGAGCGCAGGATTTGGAACGTTTCGGTAAAGTGCATCAGAGCACTCCGAGGAAGGGATGACAGCGACGAAGATGGCGGCAAGGGATGAGCGGCGCGGAGCGATCGCAGCTGCGCTTGGTAAAAGTCGGATTGCAAGCGGGTTTTCAAGACATCAAGAGGAGAGGTAAGGGTCGCAGCGGTCATACCACCGAGTCTATGAGAAAAGAGATGTCAACACATGCTACCCAGAGTTGTATGGAAGGACGGAGTGCATGCTTACCCACCAGCGACAAAGTGGGCAAAAGGCTTTGCCTGGTCCTTTTTGTCGATATTCCCAGCAGAGGGATGTGGGGGTTGTGGGACAACATCGCCAGTTTCCCTGGACTGGATGATTATATCCTTGCCGATGTTCTTCTGGGTGTCATCTACTGCCAGATGCGCCTGCGCAGAGTTGGCATGGGGAGTAGTGGAGAATGGCATATCAGCAGCCGCAAAGGCAAATCAGAAGCGTAGATCAAGAGGTATAAAGTACAAGATAACAAAAATTAAAACATTTGTTGTGAATGTATCTAGGAACGAGAAGAGAACGAAGTTGCGAAGCTGAGACAATTATCTATAGGTCGAGGTTACTACCTAGGTACTTGATTGACCGCGATTCTTTCTTTTTACGTTTTTTTTTAATTTTTTTTTGTTTTTTTTTTTGCCATTGGCGGAGTTCGGGCGGATGTCTGGGCGCCCGCCGAATGGAAATCTCTACACTAGTGGTAACTAATAGTAGCTGCGCCACATATCTAAAGGCTATTGCTTGCAACAGAGCAGCAGGGATGTAAAATACGTGCTACAGCCTAGGTAGTAAATTCGAGATAACCAGACTGGACATGCTACTTTACACATACGTTTGGGTGAAGGTTTCGGTCATTCGCTGAGGAAGTGACAGCAAGACTGATCTTCAGACCACAAGAGATTGGTTGAACTTTGCCAGGCAGATATATTGTCATTGAAATAGCGCTGTTTGGTGTTGTAAGTGCCCTGACTACAAGCGTCACTCGTGGAACACCACATCCCAGATCCGATTCCCACGTGCAAGGCAAGATATCAGCATTTGAGGACATGGTGGGCGCAAGGCGTCCAATACTTGCAAATTTAAGGTTCCGGAGCCGCGCGGAGAAAGCCAAAGACAGGCGAATGCCCCGGCTGAGTTTGCTGAACAGGGAATCGAAATTTTGTTTTTGTTTCATTCAGGGGAATCTATGCACAGGCTGAATTGTGCTAGTACATGCGAGTACCCTTTTTCGCTTCGTCTCAATGCAAAATCCACCCTTAGATGGCAAAACCCAGAAACACCAAACAACCGCATCGACCTGACCATTCTATTCGTTTAGATGTGGGTGTCGTAGGGGATAGGAGTGATGGTCTCGGGAGCGGCGGCCTCGACGACGTGAGCCTCACGGGGACCGACGGGCTGGCGCTTAAGGTGGAGGTGGACACCCTGCTCCTTGGCCTGCTTCTTCTTCTCGGCGTTCTCCTTGACACGCTTGATGAAGTCCTCACGGGAGCGGGAGTGCTTGACGTGCTCGATGCGGATGTTGACGCGCTTCTCGAGGTAACGGTTGCGGACAACCTTGTAGAGGAGGACACCGACGGAGGACTTGGTGACGTTGTAGACAACACCGGTCTTACCGTTGTAGACCTTGTAGGGCATACTATTCCAGTCTCAGCAAACGATCCCACACAATTTCAAAGGCAAATCCCAAACGCATTTCCACGCGGACTTGTCGCTTTTTTAATGGGCGGAATGAACTGACCCCTTCTGAACGGCACCGTTGACCTTGATGTCCACGATGTCGCCAACCCTATAAACACATCAGATCCTGCACGTTATACACAATCACGTCCAATCCTCGCGATAGATTTCGGCGTACCGGTAGGTCTTCAGGTAGGTCGACAGGCGGATCTGGCCGTGCTCCTTGAAGTTACGGCTGAAGGCATACTATCATATCACATTGTCGTTAGCGCACCCTTTCCCATCGAGCGGCACAATATCGTTGATTTCATCATTCGCAAACATACCCGAGTGCCGGATCTCAAACCGTGAGAGTGACCCATGTCGGCGGTGTTGGTGGTGCTGGAATTGGGAACTTGTCGACAACGAAGTGCTTCACTCTGCCGCCCTTCCCGATGGTGTAGACTTCTTCGGATGCTTAGTGCGCCGTCCCGCTTGGGAGGGCTTTAGCCCTAGGCCCTAAAGCCTCTTACAGTTGAGGTGGCAGCACTAGTCTTAGTCAGGGCGATTAGGGCCTATGGGCAGAAGCCCTCTAGCACTAAGCCGGTTTCAGCTCCACCACGATCCACTCTCGCTTATCCCCTAAAATGCAACTTCATCTTCGAAGCTCTACGATTTTCGTGTAGTTTGGTGTATCGACAACTCCGCGACAACGCGCAAATAAGCAGCAATGGCCCCCGTTCCGTGAGTACATGGCTTCATGATGATGAATGCTGAGTCGCATCATTCTAATCATTTTTGAATCACAGTCGCGTCTACTCCAAGACCTACAAGGTCCCTCGTCGTCGTAAGTAACCTTTGCGATTTGAAATTGATAACTTGTCAGAGGTCCGTTCATATGCTAATATCTCTGCAGCTTTCGAGTCGGCTCGTCTGTTAGTACTCTCCGGCCACTGATCAGAAGCGTGCTTCTGTTTATGTCGTGTGTTCACGTTCCTAACTTGTTTTCACTAGTGACTCGGAACTGAAGATTGTCGGCGAGTACGGCCTGCGCAACAAGCGTGAGGTGTGGCGTGTCCAGCTCACCCTGTCCAAGATTCGTCGTGCTGCTCGGTATGCGCCCTTGCTCCCTGTTGCGATACCCCGAACGTCATGAAGGGGATGGTCCGGACATGAAGCTGACTGCAAGTTTAGTGAGCTGCTCACCCTCGACGAGAAGGACCCCAAGCGTCTTTTCGAAGGTAACGCTTTGATTCGCCGTCTGGTCCGTATCGGTGTGCTCGATGAGTCCCGCATGAAGCTCGATTACGTCCTGGCCCTCCGTGTCGAGGACTTCTTGGAGCGTCGTCTCCAGACCTGTGTCTACAAGCTTGGCCTTGCCAAGTCCATCCACCACGCCCGTGTCCTGATCAAGCAGCGCCACATCCGCGTCGGAAAGCAGATCGTCAACGTCCCCTCCTTCATGGTCCGTCTTGACTCCCAGAAGCACATCGACTTCGCTCTCACCTCCCCCTACGGTGGTGGTCGCCCCGGTCGTGTCCAGCGCAAGAAGGCCGCTGCTGCCAACGAGGGCGGTGACGATGCTGCTGAGGAGGATGATGAGTAAATCATTTAAACCGGAGTATGGACGGGTTTCGTTTTGGAACATAAAAATGTGGGGCCTTAGTTGTGACTGCAGCATAGCGTATGATGTTGTACGATCATGCCATTCAATGAATAAAATGATAGCCTTCAGGCTCATTTCGAAACCCGAATCTTGATTTTCCTGCGTAAGTTCGTAATCATGTATCATTGTACGCTAGTATTTTAAACCCATAATTACCGTAACTCCCAACCCCATCATATCATAGTCATCCAAGATCTAGACCAAGTCGATATCATCCTTCAACGCCTACCAAGTGTTTGAGTGCTTCTTCCGCACTTCTGTACCATCTTCCTGTCTCCTCTAGTCCATCGCTTTCCCCCTCTTGCTTCTTCCTCTCTGCCTCCTTAGCCTGGGCGATAGCCTCTGACTTTCGTCGTTCCAGGACACCTAGCTCTCGCTCCATTGCTTCCGCCTCCCGTGTCTTGCGAGGCAAAGCATTCTGTACTGCGGCAAGCTGTCGGTTAAGCGCAGCAAGTTCTGCTTCTCGCTCAGCCACAAGCGACAGAGTTGCAGGAAGCGGAAGATTCTGGGAGGATGAAACGTCTGAATCGGATGCCTGTTTAGCACGCAGTTCGGCAATTGAAGACTCTAGATTCTCGATGGACTCGGGCAAAGTGGAGAGCTGTGTCATCTGCAATTCAACATTGTTGTAACCTGTTGTGGCGACATAGTTGTCAGTGTATCTTGCTTTTCCGTTGTATTCTCGACCTGGATGTGGCTGGAATGGAAATGCATCAAAGGGAGCATCACAAGAGACGGATGGAAGACTTACGATGGGCGAGGTCTCGACCTGTCTTCTCCATTTCTTCAATCATCATGCGAACTTCCTCTTTGCTTGCCTTAAGCTCCGCCTTCACCTCTGCTAATTGCGTCTCGAGTTCCACGTTCTCATTATGACCGACTACCAGGGGCGGATCGCCGACAATGGCACGTAGAAACTTTTCTTTCGTCACTTGCTCGACATATGAAAAGCGTAATTTTGAGAAGAGTTCCTTCACCGCAAACATTAGCATGTCTATCTATTGCAAGCAGACGACATCCGCACCTTGTAGTGTGCTAGGTCGCCTCGAGTGAGGCCGGCGTGGGGTTATCGATCGCAGAAGCATCCGAAGTGCGTTTGGACAAGGATTGACTCTGATTCTCGGCATCAGGCGAGAAGATCGGTTCGCTGATACGAAGAATCGCGAGCTGCGATTTTAGATCTCCGCTCTCCTTCTGCAGTTGCTGGAGTTGTTCCAGTGTTTCCGTGGGGTTAATATCCGACATGATTTCGCATGCGACGTCTGTATGGTAGTATGTTGCGACAGTGGCAGGGTATAAATCGATTGACTGGTATGCCTGAACTGTATCGAAGGAATGCCAACGATAAGCCCCTCAATGCGTTGATTATTGTAGCGCGTCGGCAGAATATGCGGAGATAAACAAAATTGAGTGAGACCGCTGATCTTCCCTGCAGGCGGTGAGCTTTCCCCAAGGCAAAAGCCGGCAAGTATGACGGACTAATTCGCCCTTTCCCTGCCATCGCCGATCGTTAGTCGGTGAAACAGATGGGGTGCTCCTTTCATGCTTTAATTGGATTGTACAGTGATACAGTGCTGCCAGTCTCTCTCAAATTACTACTAGATAATAGATATCCCCCGTCTAGGCCAGATCAACAGTCTACCTCCAGTGTACACACTAGGTACTCGGTGTTACGATGCCCCCCAGCACTGGGAGAGCGAATGGCAGCCTTGATGATGATGATTACGTTGCGCAAGTTCTCGCAAATGAAGCACGCGACAGTTCTCTGAAGTATTCTGCCCTGGGGATGGGGGCTTATATGCCGAAGAGGTTAGTAGCCGCCTCCACTTTCTCAAGTCCACCAAAGCTGACGTAGCTATCGCAGACCTACAGGTGCTGCTCCTAAACCGAATACGCGATTCTTACGACACATTATAAAAGAAACAGACAATCACAATTCTGCATTAAAGAGAAAGGAAGAGAGGGAAGCTAGAGAGCGAATGCGACAGCTACGGAACCAACTTACCTCTTCATCAAACGATTCTAGAAAAGACTCACATAGCCGTCAACCGCGACCAGACGATCGCAAGTCGCACAGGGACAGAAGAGAAGACCGTGAAGATAGACATAGCTCCTATCGAAGAAGGCATAGAAGCCGTTCGGCTTCGGCGGACAGAGATCGCTCCCATCGACACCGGCGGAGGCGTGATTCCTACGGCGAGGATGAAGATCGACACAGATCTTCTCGAAGAAGCCATCGGCATCGTTCCTATTCCAGGTCGCGCAGTCGATCTCCGCGAGAGGATCGAGAAACGAAGACTCGCAGTCGCCATCATCGGCAAAGGAGGCGCTCTAGGTCACCTTCAAGGCCTCGTTCTCGATCACCTGAAGCGAAGGATCGACGCAGACACGTAGACCGTGAGCATAAAATCAAGGCGGCATCGCCCTTGTCCCCGGTGGCTGCCCAAGATCAACAGCCAGGATATGAATCGGACCCTCTTGAGGACCTTGTTGGGCCCCTACCTCCGCAGGCAAATCACCCTACTGATGCTGCGCCGATTCGTTCTCGAGGACGGGGTGCCTACAGGCCTAATATGAGCAACATTGACGCGCATTTCGCCTCTGACTACGACCCTACTTTAGATGTGCAGTTAGAAGATGACGATGAGATTGCTGGTGGCAAGCCCAGCCGCCGCCCTGTAGCCGGCCTCATGACCGGAGACGATGATTGGGAACTCGCCCTCGAAGCCGTCCGTGACCGAGCCCGTTGGAAGCAAAGAGGCGAGGAGAGACTGCGAGAAGCTGGTTTCGATGACGCTTTTGTGAAGCAGTGGAAAAGCAACACTACGCCTACTACCGGTGATTCTGAGGGTAGGTTAGAGGACGTGAAGTGGTCCAAAAAAGGCGAAGGTCGAGAATGGGATCGCGGGAAGTATGTCAACGAGGATGGGCATATTGATGTTAAGGCTTCTTGGTTGTGAGATCCAAAAGTATAAACTGGGTTTAGCGTTTTGGAAACTGGGATAATTACCACTTGGGGCTCTATTATTTGCTTAGTAAATACTTTTACACATCCGGTAGTTATCCTATCATGAATTACGATGAGATGAAGAGCATGAACATGTACTTGAACTTTAATCCTTCTAGTCTCTTAGCATACACAAAAATATATAACTTGGAACGAGGCCCCATAACAGACCAACTAAACGAACACCAACCACAATATTCCACACAAGCCTAAAGTTAAATTAATAACCGCAAACAAGCTCAACAGCCTAAAATAGGCCGACAAAGGATCGAAAAAAAGGTGAAAAAAAGAGTCCAGATCTTATCAGATCCCAGATCCATCGACACGGTACCTGTGCCAAGAAACCTTCCATTCCGCGTTTTTGTCAGAGTGCGGAACGAACCCATCCATTTCTAATTGTCACAAGAAATCCACATAATCACATCATTCGAATATATCAGCAGTAAAAGGAATAAATTACCTACTTCAAATAGATCTGTTACTAAATACATACTACCTTATAATCTATCCACGACAATCGTCTTCCGATAATCCCTGTATTGCGGGCGGTTACCCGTGATCTATATCTATTATCTACTTCCCCTCTTTACTCGCTACTTTTTGCCCCTCCTATCATCGTTTCTACAACCAGGAGCAACAGCACAATGACTGATCCGTTCGCTTTTGAATACCCTTCGCCTTTGGCGGGGTATGAGGGCTTGGAGCCACTGCCTGTGTATGTGCAGTATATTCCTATTGTCTTGTGCAAGGTCACCTGGGATACTACTCTACGATGAGACTAACGATGTACTTCTAGAGAATTGAACGAAGATGGCAAATCCATCAAGAACCCACAACATGGTATCCTAAGCAAAGCATACGAAGAATTCCCCGATCCGTTGGCAAAAGATCGACAGGGAGGTTTCGATGTCCATATCTACCATTTCCAGGTTCGTTGCTATTCACTCATGTACCCATATAGCATAAAACCAAGGGAGTGGTCAGTACTGATATGGCCATAATCAAATAGAATAATCCAAGTCAAGTTGCATACGCAAGGGCTCTTTACGAGCGAGTCCGCCGTGAATGTATAACCTACCCCACGACCTTTCTTTTGATTTCCCGCTCTGTCATGGACGAGAAGCAGATACTGACGTCTATGATCGATAGTCCCCGAGTTACGCATCTATAGATTCTGGGAAGGACCACTTGGACCTCATCCCATTGCCATGTTTGAAGTTAACCTTTTTACCCCAGCGCAGTTTGGGGCGTTTATTCCCTGGCTTATTATCAACCGGGGACCGCTGAGTGCGCTGCTTCATCCGAATACAAATGAGGAGGAGGACGAGCGGAATCATACGCAGCGGGCGACGTGGTTGGGGGATAAGATTCCGTTGGATTTGAGTCTTTTCAAGTTGAAGAAGCAAGCGGAAAAGAAGGATAAGCAGAATGAGAGTGCTTTGTGATGCTTGTTAGAGGGGGACTGTGTATCTGTTATTTGACCATGGAGGTATGAGATGTATTGTTAACAAAATTTTGGACTTTTATATAAGGTATGAGCATTAATTGTACTATCAGCTTTGCTTAGTTGACATGACCGGAATGTCTGGCGGGGTGCTGTTGTAGGGTATTCTACGGATGATATACAGATAGGCGGGTGATCACTGCAGGGATGGCGGGATTCCCGATGATATCACGGGATGACCAACGTGACCCGTTGGTCACAAGCCACGTTGGACCTCTGATATTATTCATTGGACATGCTTATGTTGTCTAATACAGAAATAGCTTGGCTAGTCGTGGAAGGCTGAGAGTCTCCGAAAATCAGACTTCAGGAGATGAAGATCCCGATAAAAAGATAAGACCCGATCCGACCAACTCTGAGCCGTGCGTGGCCCTAAAGCCAGAAGGCATTGGCTCTGGTACCTGTCCGTTAGCCGATTGATTCGCCCATGTCTCATCAATCGGATGCGATGACCCGGGATGCTGCAGGTAATGGGAGGGTCAGCTGCGGTATGCAGTCTGCGTTACTTTCCCACGGCAATTCCTATGACGGATTACTGAACCCCGTCTCCCGTGACCGAATCTGAGGGGAGATACAAAACATTTTAAACTCGGGAGGCACGATGTTGCTGAAGGAAAGAGCGATGCGTCCCAAAGACGATTTGTTTGATTAGCCCAAGGCACGCCTACATTAGCAACCAACTCTCACTTATACCACAGGGGTCAAGATGTGGAACCCAACTCCCCCGTGGATTTCCTCTCTCCAAGTACCCATACTGGGTGCGATACCTCCTCATCCCGTAGAGGCATTGTTCCATGTCTCTCGACGAGATGTGACTGCAACAACAGTACCGAGTTACGTATTCGAATATGGTGAGCCATGCAATGCCTGTTACGCACCATCTTCTAACAACCCGTTAGCACCGATGGTCTGGTTACATAGTGAGGAGACATACATGCCCTCTGACATCGGGGATCAGCTTGTACACACTACACCGATGGTAGATTGGAAGCCTATCCAGAAGGCCCCGTCGGCGACAACTCTTGATAATCTTGACCAACTCAACAACCTTGGCAACACAAGCGTTTATCTAACTTCAAAGAAAGGGATAGATGCTGACCCCCAGCCTGCATGGTTTAGAGGTGTCAAACCTGACCAAGACGGTCGAACGCAGGATGCAATCTCTTCAGCTATCATTCTTCGTGACCATGGAGATGGGTTCCTGGACGCTTTTTATTTCTATTTCTATGCGTGAGCGATATCCGTACATCAGTGCTAATTCAAATTAAGCTTACCAGATTTATAGGTATAACCAGGGCAACACAGTTTTAGGAATGGAGTTTGGGGATCATATCGGAGACTGGTCAGTCATAAGGTTAAGTAAGTAGTAATCGACTTCGGAAACTGATGTGGTCTCGACAGGGAGCATAACATGATACGGTTCTCCGAGGGTGTCCCACAAGCAATCTGGTACAGCCAGCATGCCTCGGGGCAGGCGTTTACGTATGGAGCAACGGAGAAAAACGGAAAGCGACCGATTGCATATTCAGGGAATGGCACGCATGCTAATTATGCCATTTCTGGGTATGTACTCCCACGCGTATTTTCGGCCCTAGATAATGCGAAGCTAAGGCTTGACTCAGGAAACACGATCACACTATTCCTGGCTTCAATCTCCCTGATGGACTGATTGTGGATCAAACTGATTCGGGTACATTATGGGACCCGATTTTGAGTGCCTATGCGTACAACTATGATGCTTCTGTGGGAACATTCCAGGCCTATGACTCTGGGTATCCGGTCAACTGGTTGCATTTCAATGGCCAGTGGGGAGACGATGCACTGCCGGGAGGGCCGGAACTGTTTGGACAGAAAAAGTACGCTGCGGGGCCGAATGGACCAAAATTCAAGAAACTGGTGAGGGACAAAGTGTGCCCGAGTAGCCCATGTGTCGTTCTTCCTTTCCGGATCTGGGAGAACCGGACGTTGGAAGAGCATTGATAACGAATGGAGGCAAGTTCGTCTGGACCGATCGACTGCCTTTACAACGGCCATTGTGCATAGATAGGTTGGATGTGGGGACCTAATATCGGGGATTGTGCCCCTGAATGGATGTGTTGAACATGTTGTATCGCATGCACTCTTTTCATTTGCAGAAGCTAAACGGGCCAATTTCAATCGTGCCACATATGATGGGGATCGACGCGACAATTTGCGATCGCAATTAAATGCCGGCCGCACAATGAACCATCGTTATTCCTTAATTTACAAAGACTCACTAATGGTTAGCGCTGCAACTAAGATTCCAAGTTTCTAGCCCTTCCGGGCATAGTGTCATATCTTCCACCCACAATCGCCTCAGGCGTTCTCTAGACTGTATTTGGCGTACGGAGTATTATCCATGTCACCTTAGAAGAGACCTCCGAATGAATCGTAATCTGATACATCCAAGTGACAACCCCCAATTAAAGACACAGGAATTATGTTTAGTCACCGTTGATTATCCTGCGACCTATCGCCTGACCGGTAGCTTCGTCACCATGTCTATCAGAAATAGATTAAAGATAACGAGGAACCAATACGCTCAGCCCTGCCTCATGTAACTGAGGGGTCCAGAATAAGCCTTGTCAGTAGGATTCTGCTATTTAACGGACGTCTTGGCTGTAGCCCTTTGGAAATTGAACAAGCTGATAGCCTTCATTTATCGCCGAGAGCTCCATCTGTTGCCCTATTGACTTCATCTTACCTGAATTAGGCTTCTACAACCTGAGACAAAGAGTCAGCTATGGAAACATACCACGCCAACTGCCACTGTGGCGGCGTCCAATTTTCCTTCTCCCTGGCGCCGTTGAAGACCATCAAAATAAACCGATGCAATTGCTCCATTTGTACGAAGAATAGCTATCTCCTGGTATATCCTCTCCGAACGGACGTAGTCTTCCATCGCGGAGAGGAGCAGCTCGCAGAGTATCGATTCGGGAACCGGATGAAACCGCATAAGTTCTGCCCCAACTGCGGGACATCCGTTCTGATTGACTTTAAGGAGTCTCAGTTTGACAAGGAAAGAGAAAGGATGACAATCAATGTAGGTGGTTGTTGTTTCAGATCTCCGTTTGCCTTGCGTGGTAAGTTTGGGTTGCCGGTGAGTGTAGTTCTCTAATGGGCTCCAGATCCACACCGTTCAAGGCATTGAAGATATTTTGGACGAATTAGACTATCGGGCCGTGGACGGGAAGAACAGACTTGGACCTCCGTATTCCATCTGAGCATATGTTCGACCGTCACACCATCACCATTGCGGTGGGTATCCATGGTTCATTGGCAGGGGTAAAGTTCAAGGTCCTAGGGTCCAAAACCTTGTAGGGAAATTGCATCACGAGGGGAATAGAAGTCTAAAGCGTAATTGGCAGCTTCAAGGACGCGTGAGTCGTAACATTGAAGTTTTGGAACAGCTCACAAATGCGGGTTCA